TCAGTTTTGATGCTTCTACAGACCCATAGAGTCTCAACTCTTTACTCAATTTGGTTCTCAAACAGTGTTAAAACTTGCATCGTGTAGCAGTTAAAAGTTGATTATGCATAGCAAGTAAAGGAAAAGTGTTTATAAGCTTACATTTGTTACGTTTTAATTACTTTTATTGTAAAATGACCATTTTTAGCCTAATTTTTGCTTTTAACTATTTGAGAATTAAACTGAGCATTGATTACATTTCAATATTGATGCTAGTTTGCTCATTCTATCGATAATTTAATATGCTACTAAACTGTTATTAAACTGCTAATGTGAAAACTCTTGTTATGTATCGTACTAGAGAAGACTTATGTTTAAATTGCTACTGAGTCCATCTTGATACAGCAAGTAGTCTGTTTTGTGTCCTAAAACATCTCTTCAATGAATAAACAATAAATTTGATTCCAGTTACGACTTACGACGATGGATGAATATAAATTTGCAAACTAAAAACCAATGATAGACGCTCTGTCTTGTTTTTACGCTTTAATTCTGATGTTATGTACACATGGTTCATTGATATTTTACAAATAAAATAGGTTATTGGACTGAAAAGGGAAAGCAACTTTATTTGGAATGGTATCAAGAATAGGATTAACTGTGCTTTTTACGATTATTTTAAATGATTTTGATGCAAGTTGTGGACAATGGTTAACTATGACCATAAAAACTTAGCTTAAACTTAATATTCGTCGATGAAATTTCTGATAAACATCAGCGATCGAACAATTTTGTCGACAGCTCTATTGATTTTGATCATTGACTTAAGCACTTTGACCATCAATATTTCGAAATTGACTATTAGTCTATTTGCAAAATGGCCGTCAACAATAAATTCACTAACTTATTGATACATTTTTATATGCCATTAAGCTAAACAACAACAACCTGCATCAAAATACGTTTGAAATCGTAGTAAATTTAAGTACCGTAAACCCTATTCTTTATACGATTCCAAATAAAGTTTGACATTGCTTTCAGTCCATTAGCCCATCTTTTACACGCAAAATAATCCAATGGTCAATGTGTAAATAGCATCAAAATCAAAGCGTAAGAACAAGACAGAGTCTCTATCATTGGATTCTAGTTTAATTAAACATCATTTATTTACAATATAAGTCAAAATTGAAATATAATTAATGTTTATTCATTGATGAGATGTTTTACGACACAAATTGGACTGAGTTTTGTATCAAGATGGCCTAAGTAGCAACTTCAAGCATCATAAATCGTATTCTTCAATACGATGCATAACAAGAGTTTTCACATTTGCAGTTTAATAACGCATTAGTTTACTGATTGAATTAGCGAAAATAGCATCAGTATTGAAATATTATCGATGCTCAAGGTGTTTAATTTAATTCTTGAACGATTAGACTAAATAGAATAGCAAAAATTAGACTAATAATTGTGAATTTACACCGGGAAATGCTTAAATCGTAGCAAATTCAAGCATAATAAACACTCTTCTTTTACTTACTATGCAAAATGATTAAAATCAAATAAATTTAAGTACCATAACCCTATTCTTGATGAGTTGTCAAAAAAGTTTGACATTGCGTTTCAATCCATCAGCTATTCGCAAAATAAGCAATGGTTGAAGTGTACATAACATCAAAATTAGAGCGAAAGAACAGGAGATGGGATTCTAGTTTAATAACCTATTATTGTTGTAGTTTATTGATGAAATTAGCGAAACTAGCATAAGGTGATCAATGCTCAAGGTGTTTAATTCAATTCTTAAATGCTTAATAGCAAAAATAAGACCAATTATTGTGATTTTACACCAGGAAATGCTTACACGCAAATTCAAGCTAAAAAACACTCTTTCTTTACTTTCTATGCATAATAAGCACTATTTACAACTTTATACTTTTATACGAGGCAATATTTAGCACTGTTTGAGAACCACTTTGAGTTGAAAGATGACACTTTATGGGTCTGTAGAAGCATGAAAACTGCATCCATGAGTGCTATTAAAATGTTTCTCCGATGAATAGTTTTCGAGCAAATAGAAGTCAAAGCTGAAATTTCGATTCGACTTTGTACGATTGTGGAACGAGATTTTTTCAAGAGATTCATTTTCGTGAGGTAACTTTTGATGGACAACCAGAAAATGAACTTATTTCAATCAATAACCTTTTCTGTTTCGGGATAAAGAGATAAGTTCGATTTTCAGTTAAATCGACAGATCTTCGTGACCGTATAAGTTAGAGGGCTAAAGCCTTATATTGATGCATAAAAATCAATTGTAAATATTGGCAACAAAACAATTTTTTCAAGTTATTGATAGTTCTCCCGATTTTGGACGTTGACCTGAAAAGTTTGAACATTGATATTTCGAGAATGGTAGTACTCACAATCATCATTCTTCGCTCAAACACTAGATTTTACTATGGGCTATTACATGATATTACTGAATATTGACGCAAATATAAGCTAATTCATTTAATCATGAATATTCAAAAGTAACCATTTGCATTTATTGATAAAGATTAAAATTTCCAACGCAAGTTATACAGTGCTATAACACTTTTTGTAGAATATTGAAAGGTTTAAATTGACGACATCTTTAGAGTCAATAATAAAATCTAATGTTTATTCAAAGAATGGTGATTGAATGGGCTACCATTCCCGCACTATCGATGGTCAAAGTTTTCAGGTCAACGTCAAAAATCCAGAGAACTATCAATAACTTGAAAAAATTGTTTTGTTGCCAATATTTACAATTGATTTTTATGCTTGAGTATTAAGTTTTAGTCCTCTAAACCGTACCATCACAAAGATCTGTCGATTTAACTGAAAATCGAACTTATCTCTTTATCCCGAAACAGAAAAGGTTATCGCTCAAAATAATTTCATTTTCTGGTTCACCATAAAAATACACCCTTACTGAAATGAGTTTCATGAAAGAACCTTATTCCACAAGCGCATAAAGGTGAATCGAAGTTTCAGCTTTGACCTGTATTTGCGCTAAAACTGTTCATCTATGAAACATTTTAAAAGCACTCATGGACTCAGTTTTGATGCTTCTACAGACCCATAGAGTCTCAACTCTTTACTCAATTTGGTTCTCAAACAGTGTTAAAACTTGCATCGTGTAGCAGTTAAAAGTTGATTATGCATAGCAAGTAAAGGAAAAGTGTTTATAAGCTTACATTTGTTACGTTTTAATTACTTTTATTGTAAAATGACCATTTTTAGCCTAATTTTTGCTTTTAACTATTTGAGAATTAAACTGAGCATTGATTACATTTCAATATTGATGCTAGTTTGCTCATTCTATCGATAATTTAATATGCTACTAAACTGTTATTAAACTGCTAATATGAAAACTCTTGTTATGTATCGTACTAAAGAAGACTTATGTTTAAATTGCTCCTGAGTCCATCTTGATACAGTACGCAGTCTGATTTGTGTCCTAAAACATCTCATCAATAATTTTTGATGCCAGTTAGGACTTATTCGATAAATGAATATAAGTTATCGAAATATTAATAAAGTTTAATGATGACCCTCGATATTTCGAGAACGGCTTAAGTCACAATCATCATTCTCTGATCAAACATTAGGTTCTATTATGGTCTATTACGTGATGTGACTGAATATTGAAGAAAATCTAAGCTAATCCATTTGATATCAATATTGAAAACTACAATTTACTTATATTGATAAAGATCAAATCTGACATCGTAAGTAATTCAGTGCTATAATTTTGATTGTAGAATCTTGAAAGTTCTGAATTTTCGATATTTCTAGCGACCATAATAGAAACTCATGTTTGATCATGAATAATGACTATGGCTGCTACCATTCTCGAAATATCGATGGTCAAATTTTTCAGTTCAATGGCCAAAATCAAGAGAACTGTCGTTAACTTGTCAAATTTGTTTGATCGCTAATATGTACAATTTATTTTTATGCTTGTATACTAAGTTTTAGTCTTCTTAATCTTTTGGTCACAAAGATCCGTTGATTTAACTGAAAATCGAACTTAATTATTTTTTCAGAAAAAGAAAAGTTTATTGTTCAAAATAAGTGCATTTTCTGGTTGCTCAGTCAGAGTTGCTTGACCGAAATGAATTGCTTGAAAAAATCTTATTCCAAACTCGTACAAAAGCGAATCGAAATTTCAGCTTCGAACTGTATTTTCGCGAAAACTATTGATCGGAGAATCATTTTAATAGCACTCATGGATGCAGTTTTTGTGCTTCTACAGACCCATAAAGTCTCAACTCTTTACTCGACGTGGTTCTCAACCAGTGTTAAAACTTGCATCGCATAAAAGTATAAAGTTGATTTTGTATAGAAAGTAAAGGAAAAGCGTTTATTATGCTTTTTGTTACGATTTAAACACTTTCTTATAGTAAAATCATAATTATTAGCCTAATTTTTGCTTTTAATCATTTGAGAATTAAATTGAACACCCTGAGCATTGGTTATATTTTAATATTGATGCTAGTTTGGCCCATTCTGTCTATCGTATCTTTTCAGTTATAACCTGAACTTTGTTTCACAATAAAACACAGAACTTGTGAAACAGTTTTAGTTGAAAACCCCAGTTAAATCTCAATCAAAGTTCACTATCTCGATAACATTAGGCAGTCGAAAATATTTTATCAATGTTCTTCCGTGAATAAAATCAATATTTGCAATATTTATTATTTTTTAGTTTCTCTCTGGATTGTATTGACTAATAAAATGATAATCAACTTCATTATCATGAGCTGGATTTCCCACTCATGTAATCATTTGTTGATTATGTATTATATTATCTTTATAATGGTTAGTGTATAAGTATTGGGAATTAAATATTGAACCGTTGAAATGAAAAGATTCACTCCATCATCTTAATCAACCAAGACATGATTCCAAGATTCTTATAAATCAAACTCTTTATTCAGAAATCAATTAATTGCGCAGTAATTAGTGAAGTAAATGAGTTACAATAGTGGTCAGGGTTGAGTTTAAATAAGATTGAATTTTATTCAGTTTTCGGTGGATGAATATTCATTCAATAAAAATTGCAAAATAATTTGTCAATAGGTGATACAATGTAATTTATACCTAAACATGCTTTTTAACATAAATTAAAGGTTTTTTTTAAAAAAATTAGACTAAGAATTGTAAGTGTTGAAGTGTTTAAAGACCTCATCTAAAGACACTCAATAATTTGAATAACCTAGGAGTGAAAATGTCGAGAGATTGACTGATATGATCCCAACTAGTTAAATTTAACTGCTTGATTAATGCCACCACGAATGTTTTCTTGATCAAATGTAATGCTGAAAATAGCTCCAGCGTCAGGCTCAGCTTGTAGCTCGTCTTGGGAAGCTCCGTAGGTAGCTGAGGTAACATAAAGTGTCCTGAAATCAGGCCCTCCCCAAGTGGCTGAGGTTGTTTTACTAGCTGGTGTGGTTATGATTCCTAAAACTTTACCTAAGTAAATATCAGATGAAAGTAAACAAATGATGAGTAAAATAAATTTCATGATTATAATGCGATAAGTTTACCTGTTTCTGGGTCAATACGTGAAACTTTCTTTCCATTAAAGGAAGTCACCCAAAGTTTATCGTGTAAATCAATTGTCATACCGTCAGGTACTTCACGGCAACTTAAACCATTACAATCTTTGTAATCAATAACTGTCTTACGGTTACCTGTAAATCATGAAAAAGAAAGATAAAATTAACAACTTAATGAGAGAAATAAAAATGCAGAATAAAATCCCTTACGTAAACATAAGAGTCATTTTTGGTTAATTTAGATTCACTTTAGGTGAAGTGTTTTTAGTTTGGTTCAAGTAATATTTGGTAATAGTGGAGATGATGTACTTACTTATGTTGCCAGATTGATCATCATAATCGTAAACCCAAACTTGACGTGCCATTGAATCGATGAAATAAAATTTGGTTTTACAAGATGACCAAGCTAGACCATTTGCAATTGTAACATTGTCTTGATGTAAAGATACTTGTCTATTGTGATTGAGAGAGTAAAGACTTCCAAGATTAGGAGCAAAGCAACCAGGTTTACGTTCCCAGTTCATGGTACCAAACCAGAGACGACCAGAAGGATCACATTTACCATCGTTAACTCGAGTATCTTTATCATGATCAACTGTTGTAATTAAATCACAACTCTTTTTTGCCCAATCTAAAGTGTATAGGGAACGATTCTTGGAAATGACAAACTGACCGGCTTTTCCTTCTATTGGCACAATCAAAGTTAAACCAGGCTCAAAGTAAATTGATTCATATTCAAGTGTTTTCGTGTCAAGGTAATAGCAACCACCTTTAACCAGATCAACATGATACAATCGACCAGTCTTCTCATCATAATGTGGCCCTTCGCCAAGTTCAACAGTATATGGTGAAATCCGCTTCAGATTGTGGCGTATCTCTGGCAAACTAGACATGTTAAAGCAGAAGTAGTTTCCTTGCAAACAATGAGCAACAGGTTAAAATAATAAGACAGAGAATCTCAGAGAGGGAAAGTTTGAATGAGCAAAGAATAGCTAAGCAACAATTAAATTGACGTTAACTAGTCAAATTGTTAAGCAAAAAGTTGACTTCTTAATTGAATTGGAAACTACAATTTCAACGTTTTATATACTCTTTGACAATCATTAAATGAAGAATCAAGATAAAAGAAAAGACAAATTGAAATAAAACAGGCAAAAAGGTTTAGATTTTGCGCGATATCTATCCCTAATGGTTAACCATTTTAGGGGAAAGTTTAGGGGAAGATTTGGTAATGAAGCAACTTGAGGTTACAAGTGTTTTCTTGCATGTTATTACACCATTACAATTGTGATTTGGTTCATTTTTCAACAATTAATTGTTTATTTTTAATTGTTGAACATTTTTCTGTTTAATATGTTTATTGATCTTCTACGAAACTGATGGGCCCACAAAAGGGAAAAGGTTGAATACTAAGTGATGGTTCTTGGAAACCATCAATGTTTATCATTGTGTTAATGATTGTGAACTTATCATCAGGAGATACCATTGAACAAATTATGGCAAAATAAAATACAATGTAAAGGCAATTACATTATTATCACTGACTCAATCAAAATGGGCTCATTTTCCGACATCACTTTATTAGCACTTTTTTGGTAGTTAAATCATGTATTTTATGAATTAGATCTGGTTTGACCTCAACAATTGGTCACAAATATTATTCATATTCAATATATTACATGTCGCTCACTTCAAAGCTTCCAGCTATTGCTTACGATACAGTTTCCCTGCAGTTTCGTTGACTTATTTTGAACTCTAGCATGTTGCAGCTTACTTCTGGTTTCCCTTTATTTTTCATTGTCAACCATTACTATGGCTAATTATCAGCTGAGTTGCATCAGTTTATTACTATTTACCTTGACATACAACAATTACGGCAAATTTTATCAACTATTTATTGTATTTTTTAATAACCAACGCAATAGAAATGCTCTTTCCTTTGAATTTACATTAGACAGTTAACGATACTGCTGGTGGTAATTTAATCTTGACAATAGAAAATTCAACATTTAATCAAACTGCATTGTTGATATATCAACAATTATTATGTCAATCATTAAATTATCGAGAAGCATCGATTCAATTTATGCCATCGCCATATGTGTTTGCATCAGAAACTCAACCATTTATAACATATCTTCATCATCCTGAAAGGTGAAAGACTTTACATTGAAGTGTCCAAAACGCGTTGTGATTAGAATGGAATTTTGAGCTAATTTAAATGGATAAAGATCATTGTATGCCATTGATTGTTGGAGATCAAGTTTATCGTTTATGTAATAGCTTATCATTTGCCTTACCAATATTTTCTGCATAAGGATAAATCAAAGTCACAAACAATGGATATTTATTATCAAGTAGTACATTGGCATCTGATTTTGGATCGATCCACTTTTGAGTAATCATTAAATTAAAGAGATTTCTCAATTTGGTTAACACCTGAATAACTTATAAGACATTTAATTATCAAGTATCTACAATTAATTATGAGTGGCACAGTTGATTAAAGAGGAACAGCATTATGCAGCATTATGGAAATCGCTTTATAAGGATCTCTCTCACAAAGATAGCTTAAGAGTTGGCAAGGTTAAGATTATAACAAATCATCTAAATTTGATTTTCGATGAATAATCTTGAAGGAATTATAAAATGTCAAGCATAATTTAAAGGCAAAGCCCTTCACATAATAAAACAGAATCAGGAATCGGCGAGACCCAGATTCCTTCCATAAATGAACTTGTATCCTGTTGCAATATAAATCTTTATGGACCTAATTAGTTGATACAAAATTCAAAATTGTTTTTATTTTCCCATTGTAATGACAATTTTGACAACAGGTGGCGTTTAATTTACGATAATGAAAGCATCGCATTTAGATGCCCATTTCAGAACATTGTTTCAAGTTTAAATTAATTACCATCAACTGATTGTTTCATGTATGTGTACTAACTAGCGATTGAAAACTCAATTCACTCAATGACTAAAACAGTTGCCTCAATTTTTCCTCATTTTTCTGTTGTGTTAATACTGGAATAAGGTGGATACCAGAAAAACACTGCTTCTGTATGGATCTTTATGTTTATGATATTTGTGTACTACATGGTGACATGGACTGGTAAAATATACCAAACGATATGAGAATAGATATTCTGTTCTACGTCAGATGTGTGAATGTGTGAATTATGTGAATAATAGACCCAGGAATGTTTACCACCTTTGGTCAATTCTTTGCTGAATCTTTGGAAACCGATGAGGACAACGTTGAAACACAGTTAATCTTTATAATTCATTGTACGCTAATGAAACTACAAGGTTGAGCTCCCCAGGTTTGTTTGGTAACCAGGGGTGGATTCACCAATGTTGGTTCTACATGGCACTTGAACATACTCAAGCTATGTATTACCTCATGCTGGGTTGAACAATGAATCATTGACGATTCTTTCTTGCCAGATGATTTAAACTAGTTTTTTATGTTGATTCAATTCAATCGAATCAGTTTCCACTGAGAAACGTTTTTACGAAAATGTATCTGCTATTCATTGGACTCATCAAATTTTGCAATCTAATCGCCGTTGGTATGACCAATATAAACTTAATTCTGCATTAAACGGTAAGAATTATTTAGTTAATTTTAATTTGCTATTTTAAAACTAGATATATGAATGCGAGATGATGTTGGCAAACTATTGATATCAAGTTTACCAATTTCATCTCATTTTATCCTATTGGATGAAAATATCTTGAAATTTCATTAGTTGTGTCACTTTTTACTAATTCATGACTTGAATTTTCCAGGTGAACAAGTAACAAACGAAATTCACAATGATACAGGCATCATGATCCATCTAAATAAACAAATCGGATTAATACAATGATGTGGCATACTGATGGATTTGTGCTATTATTTTATGTGTTTCTCATAGTTTTAAATATGATTGGAACTTGAACTTCACAATTTTTAAAGTGCTAAAATAATGGTTGAATTGGCGATAAAAGGTAGTTAGCTGCTTTTTGCATGAGATCAATAATTTATTAACATTCCAAGAATATTGAAACTCGATTAAAGTACTGATGTCATTATCTTGCATGTCCTAACTTGCATGGGTGTTTAATATGCTTACTAATGTCTATGCATGGCTAATGAGGACCATAGAAGCATCAGAAATTATACATTGTAAGTATAAATAGATTAACGTTAACACGATTTCTGTATTTTTTTACAGGTGATGAATGAAATTGATTAAATAACAGATGACGTTTTAAAGTATATGTATATATAATGGACGATGACAATTTTGAATGAAGTTTGGGTTGATAATAAAGGAAGTTAAAACAACCGAGACAACGTCTTTTGTTAGTTTTCGCACTAGATACAGATGAACTCATTTATGATCACATAAAAACTTAATATTTTTTTTGTTGAATTTTGATGCAAATATGGTATGATCTCCATGACTTTTAAGATTTTGAGTAAAATGTTCATTGCAATGTACAATCCACCGTAAATAGTTGGTAAGGTTTAGAAAACAAAAATGATTTTGAAGGAATCATTGAGACAATCAAAGCAGATCATCAATCGTAACAAACGAAGATAATCTGATGGAAGAAAGTCAGAATAAAATAGAACAAAAATGGTTCTAGTTAGAGTTAGGGTTGGTCAATTTGCACAAGAATTAGGTTACATCAGTTATTGGTTGTGGGCCAGCTTCTTTAACCGTCGAATCTTTGGATGAACTTTCAGTTGAGGTTGAAACGCCTGGCCCAGGTGTTGGAGGAGGTGATAATAAACCAATATCTTTATCTTTTGAGCTTTCTTTGGCCATTTTAAATGAGTTGGTCAATTCTTCGAGTTTCTGTGAGTTGGGTCCCCATCTAGTAAATCCAGGTTCATTTTGCAAGAAAATGACCATCATCGGTACATTCGGTTTAAAATGAAGTTGGTTTGGTTCGCATATGTGTTGATAACCGTTTCGCAGTTCATAATCATTGGCTGAGATAGTGATTTGGGCTCTTTTGAAAACACTCAGTTCGATTTTGTAAAGGCAGCTGATTGGATTTTCTTTGTACTCAGGTATGAAGATTATAAAAGAAAGAGGATCCGAAGTATTCGCTAAAAGTCTCTCGAAATGGTCAAATATTGCTTCCATTAATTGGTCACTGTAGGGTGGAAATGCTTGAAATGATCCACCAATTGGAAAGAAATTCAACATGGATCTAAACGATAAGAAACAAGCCATTAGATTCGTAAGTATTTTAAAAAGTGAAAAATGTGTATTTTTAAAATAATATCTGAGTTAAGTTTTCATATGGAAAACATAAAGCGCAAATACGATGGATTGCATGCATCAAAACAGCTGATAAAATTTGCCGCCAATTTAACAATTTATGGAAAGAGGAAATATTCATGCATAGAACGATGTAAATAGAAACGAGAAAATATATGACAAATTCTGAATTTACCCTCGAGATCCAAAGAAACCATCAACGTCCCCATAAGCAGAACAATATTGCCGAAAATAGCAGTTGAGAGGTGATGCGAAACATTCAAAGGTGACACCAAACAAACGATTTAGACAAGCAAAAACGGTTTTGGGTAGCGATACTTGGGTAAAAACTCCTTCTCCTTGAGGGTTACCCAAAAATACCTGATAAATATTGATAATATAACAACTGTTAGAAGAATCGAATTTCAAAACCATTGAAACGCGAAAAGATAATGAGAAATAAGAGTCTATTGAAATAGCTTGCATCAAGCATGATTAAGTTTTGTTTACTACATTATGATTGGTGATATTAAGCAAATTCATTTAGATGATAATTAAATTCAAACAATAGAAATTTATTAATCATAAGGTTCTCAAGAAAATCAAAACTAAAAGAGATCTATTCTCATTATCTGCGTTTCAACGCTTAGTTTAAATTTATAAGAAAATAACGAACTTGGTATCGTTTGAGGAGACAGAAGAGTCGTGGTAAAAAAATATCAAACTTTTTATCATCGTAACAGTTGTAACGGTATAGATGCTCCATTTTTTGTAGAAACAGAGGTTTTAAGCGCAAAGTTTCAGTTTTGTACTTTACAAGAACGAAATCCTTTTCAGGATGATATTGAATTGGAGGATACTTTGGACATCGATAAGCCAATTGTAATGAATAACAATAGACTTTCTTGGGTTTAGGTGGTCTTAACGGTGCCGTTATTTCTATAAATCACAAAGTAAGATGCGAAAAATGTAAATAAGTTTGTAATAATCTAAATGGCATGAAAACTCACCAGGAATCTCATCTTTCTTGAGAATTTCTTTTTCGGCCTCATTAATTTTCTTTACATAGCTACATGACAGATGATAGAGTTTGGAACAAATGCCTTCCACAGAAGATTTTGCAGCTTCAGTTAAGTGAGGTTGACACTGGGTTCTTAGGTGCTTAAGGCGTTCTTCATAGTCTTCAAATGTAGCATTCAAAGTTTTCCTAATCCATTGGAAAGCTTCTTCAACACTCCATTTGACGATTCTTCGGCTCTCTGGACTTGCATTACGAGATTCAATCATCTTTTTTGCTGCTTCAGCATACCGCGAAAGTTGTTTTCTGGCTTCTGCACCAAACTTAGGTCGAGTTAAGCGAATGGGTATATCAGTTATTATTTCATTGTACAATGATCTAGATATCTCAGGTACACAATTACTGGGTAACACAGGGTCAGCGCCTTTGTCGATAGTTTTTCTTTCAATCAACCATCGGTTAAAAGATTCACGAGGTGCGTCGATATTTTCTCGAGTATGGCACATCTCTTGGTATTGTGAACGGAGTTTCATAAGATAATTGAGACGAAGAATTTCAATATCAGGATGTGGATGTGGTACTATAACAGGAGCCCGCTCCCAGATGATAACATTTGAGGTAACTTCCAAATCCCATGGTCCACTATTTAATAGTGATTAGGAAAATAGAACAAGACATAACCATTAGTAATAAAGTAATTTGAAGATAGAATAGACAAATCATTTAATCTAAAAGGCTGTTATTCACCTTAAAATGAATTTTTTGTGAGTACCACTATATGGATCGTCCGATGATGACGATGATGACCTTTTTTCACCTATCCTAAGAGGTTTATGATTTTGTTCAGGGGCTGAAATTCCCAATGGATCGGTTAATGGGTCATAATCACCTCCTTCTCCGGTCAATGGAGGCATTTCCCAGAGAGATTCATTGGTAGTCTTATTAAAGTAATAGGGCCGTTGTTCGCGCTTTGACCAAACCACCCTCCAACCTTGCTGAAATAAAGCTGGAGGTAAATCGTGAGTAGGATCATGTGTTGATGATGAAGTTGATGAAGCCTCAGGAGAAAGCATATTGATATTGGCATTGTTATTATTATTGGCGGCATTTATGTTGATGGTTAAACTACTGGTGTTATTGTTATTATTATTATTGCATCCATTTTGAGGCGTTGCTGTTGGTGTACCTGGTTCTTTTCCAGGTAAACCAGCAGTTGATTGAAAATTATTATTAATTTTATTCACAGCATCATTCTTGTCATCTTTAAGTAAATCAATTCGTGCTGCTGATGGCTCTGTTGACATATTCAGTAAAAGTAAGAAGGGGTTTTATGTGTCGAGGAAATTTACAACAGACATAAAAAATTAAATAAAATTATTCCTTTTGTTTTGATTCACACGAATAACAATGACACAGGTAAACATTTCATGATGTTAACAACATCAAGAATTAAATAAAAGATGAATTAATAAAATCAGATTTGTCAAATCCCACAAATAATGTGAAATTGAACAAAACACAAAATGGTGTACAGAATAATAACCGCGGATGCTTCCTTGAATAACCAGTTACTTTATAGTTACTGTTAAAGGCGCGCAAATACAAAACTCTCTCAAGCACTTTGAAAATGTTTCCTTCAAAATATCTTCAAATGGTCAGCAACTGTCAATCTTAAATATTGATATAATTTTCAATTCGCATTTCCTTCTTCACCAAACGCGTAATCTTAAAATTTGAAATCAAGATAAATAACTCTCTACTGATGAAAGCAATTCTGACAAAACTTATTGACCATATAACCAAAAAACTAATTATAAATATTAATTTGTAAAAAATCAGACAAATTTAATTTACTTACTCTCAGAAAAACCGATTTATTATTAATTTAAATACATTTAAAATTTGGTATAATGTTTAAAAAGATTTATAATCATGGTAATAAGCAATTAAACAGATTTAGAGAAATCAATTCAATGACCAAATTAAGCCTATGTTTGACGTGATTAAGCCAATGTCTAGAAAAAAAAGATTTTTTATTAGAAATATATTTATTTATTTCCCTTTCTAGATGAACCTACTTTTTTGGCTGCATCAACCGTATTGTAAATCAACATAGCAACTGTCATTGGCCCAACTCCTCCTGGAACTGGGGTAATTGCTGAAGCAACCTCCTTGCATTGATTGTAATCAACATCTCCAACCAATCTGTAACCAGATTTTTTACTAGCATCAGGAATTGATGTGATTCCACAATCAATAACAACCGCACCTTATGATCAAAACAAAAGTCATAATTAGTCATCATAATCAATAATTAATATGGGCTGTATATTACCAGGCTTGAGCCAATCTTTTTTAACAAATAAAGGCTGACCAACAGCAGCGACAACAATATCTGCGTTGCGAACAATATCAGGAATATTTTTACTTCTTGAATGGACAATTGTAACAGTTGCATTATGCCAAACCAGTAATTGAGCCATTGGAGAACCAATAATTTTACTTCTACCTAAGACAACAGCATTGGAACCTTGTTTGAAGAAAGGAAAGATAATCCATGTTAAATCATAGTCAACAGTAAACATATATTTTGATTATACCTGCAATTTGAATCCCACTTTGCTTTATAAGCTCTAAGCAACCAAATGGAGTACATGGGATATAACTGTTCTTTCCATCAACCTGGCCATGCATGAGTTTACCAGCATTTATGTCTGAAAGGCTACAAGAAAATAATTTTTAGCAAAAATTCAAACTCAAATTATTAGTTTTATTGAATTAGCTACTAACCCATCTACATCCTTGTTTGGGTCTATTAGATTGGTAATGAAGTCTGCGTTGATTGGGTTATCACTGTCCAAAGGTAGTTGTACAATTATGCCGTGAACATTAGGGTCTTGGTTGAGATCTTTGATTTTTTGAATCAACTGTGAATTAGAATGATTAGTTTAGGCCTGATATTGAAGATAGTGTTTATGTTTTTTCTTACCTGAGTCTCAGTAGTTGATTTTGGTAATTTATGGTGAATAGCTGAAACACCAACCTCTTCACTGAATTTAACTTTCATTCGAATGTAAACATTCGAGTCATCTCGAGCTCCAACTTGTACAATAGCTAAGCAAGGTTTGATGGATAATTTTGCAACTTCATCTCGTAGCTTGGCTTGAATTTGCGAGGAAACCTCTTTTCCACTGATTATTTTAGCCATGGTTCTAGCTTGTCTGCTGGTAAAACAAAATACACAAGGTAAAAAAAGAAATAAAAATACTAGTAAATAGTCAATTAAAACAGTTGAGTGAAGAAATAAAATAAAATGTAATGACTTTTAAGCCACCGGAAAGCAAAATGAGACATCGTAATTGTAAGATTTATCTTAATCGAAGCAAACTTGTTTTCAAGAGTTGCCTCCTTTCAATAACTCCTGAAGATGATGCAGTTTACTTATCTAGAATCTAGATAAATATTAATTGATTGATAGATAATTTGCAGCTATCTTATCTACTAAATTTATTATTTATGTTCATCACATCCAGATACTCCGATATTATTTTAATCAAGCTAATTCCAAGTATTACTGAATGTAAGACGCTTGTACCATTTTTATTTGTTCATATATCTAGTCTTCATTACCGCTACCTTGCTACATGCTTTGCCCTCGATGAACAATAACCGTAAAGGTCAAAGCTAAATATCAATTAGTAAATCAATCTAATCACTTACCATGTAATCGATGATGGTTTGATTAGGCTATTGAGTCCATTGATAAAGCTGATGACTCGAGTCATGTTTAAAGTTGAGTCTTATATTCACATTGAAAAAAACAAAGTCATACATGTAATGATTGTTATCGTTGATTGCTGCCTATGATAATGATCAATCAAGATCTCAAATTGATTATTAATTCCTAGTACCTTAATGCACAAACATCGAGATAAGTACTAAAATCGGTAATTAAACTATCAAAAACAATCAAAGTGAAAAAATGAAAAAGGTTGAAGCACATTGAAAACTGATCATATGGTAAAAAAAATAGAAGCATGACATTACCAACACTTTTGAATTGCCCGGGCATTTATTAATACATGCATTACCAAAGAGTAAGGTTATTATATTATCAAATGTACTCATATATAAGAATTTTGATTAAGGATTGAAGTTTTAAAAACATAAGTTATATTCCTTTTTTGTATATCAAATAAACAAAACTCATATGAAATGAAACTTTTATTGAACTTTTTTTTTAAACTTCTTTTTAGATGTTCTCTTAGATAATTATTTAGATTCTTTTTTATGCTGTCTGATTGCTTTCCTCGATTGGCCACTGTTCCTCGTTTGGCCACTGTTCTGCCTTTTGCCACGGTTCCCCGTTTGAATCCGATTCTGTGAGATCAATCACTTTATAACTTTCTCTCTCAATAAATAGTTGTAATTGGCGCAAGCAATCGGGCTCTGACGGTTCTTGGGAAGCTAAAATTTTATCAAGAAATTTTTCCTGATCCTCGCTAGATTGTTCACATATCTCCACCGAGTGTAAAAAACTTCCAAGTATATCGTCTATTGTCATGTTATCTTCAAATTCGGAGCTTGGTACACTTGATTGACTTGAATAATTGGTTCTTTGAGCTTGCTCGAAACATTCCGCTGATTGGGTAATTTCTTTATAAAAATAATTTAATCAATATATCAATTTGTTTATTCAATTTGTTTCGATTGTCAAATTATTGTTTTGTTTCAATTGGAGTTTGAAATTTTATAAATTTGATTTACAATGGAAGAAGGTTAGTAATATTTTTATTCATTTTAATAATGCTATAAGAAAATCTGTATCGAAATTTTTAGCTTTATAAACAAATTGATATATTGATTAAATTATTTTATAAAGAAATTACCCTGAAAATATGCTAATTGATTAATTATATAATTAGAAATAAACTTTCGTAATACGAAATTGAATAATCAATGATCCTGTGTTACATGGCTTTAGACCTGATAAAATAACAGATTGACATCCTTTCCATCAATATCCCTTCATCGATTTCCGTCCTTACCTAATTTTTGTTTTGCTTTCCTGTTTCAATTCAACCTTTGGTTTTTCTTATCAATTTATTTTCTTCTAAAGTTTATATTCGTCTAAATTTTGGATTCAATCGTTATTTTTGTGCTTTTAGGATATTCCAATCAATATTCAAATGAAAGGTCACCTAAATTTGATCATCACTTTTTTACTCGTTGTTAACTTTATTAGTACAGTAGTTTCAATCAGGAGAAACACTTTATTAAGAGATACAAATTCAAAATTTAAGTTCCCCGAGATCCAAGAGTCAAGGAATCGATACCTAAAAGGTGAGTATTTTTCAGAAAATCTTAAGTCTTACACTTTTATTTTGAGAAACAGTTATTATGAGTTAAACAGTTATAAGAAATCTTCCTAATTCTGACTTGAATAATCTTGCAGTTGTAAACAATTATTACCTAAGACTAATTATTGGTTACAATTTACAATTATTTTGTGATTTTATGCATTGCTTTTTTTGATTGATTCTTAACAAATTTACTTGCAACATCAAACATTTGAATTGATTTTTATAATTGTTCACTTGAATTAATTTCAGACGAAAAGCCGAGCTTAGATGATCATGAAGCCTTTTTGGACTGGTTTTTAAAAGAATCTAGTTTAGATTATTCGGAGATTTACCAATCATATGATGGTTGGTACAATAACAAAGATAAACCAAATCTTGGATCAACAGGTAAGAATGGAGATGCTTTTAAATTTTTTAAGATGTTTCTGATTTTAATGATAACATTCATTATTGCAGGAAGCTCATTAAGTCGACTGACCTCAGCTAGATATCAAGATGGCGTTGGTAAACCATTGATATCAGATTTACCCAATCCATTTCATTTAAGTTCATTATTATCAACCAACGACAATGAAAATATTGTCAACCGATTAGGCAAAAATGCCTTACTTGTGTTTTTTGGTAAGTAATTTATTATTTTCAGAGTCATTTAAAGATCATTTGTTCATTATTAATATATTTTTACTAAATGTTTGAAATTCTAAAGGCGAACACGTAACAAATGAAATTGTTGATACGAGGATACAGTCATCATGTCCACCTGAATATTTTGACGTTGAAATACCATCTGATCATGAGTTTAAGCGCAAATTGGGACGCAGTTTCATGCCTTTCATTCGTGGAAAATACTCTCAAGAAACTGGAAAATCAGTCAATAATCCTCGAAAAATGGTAACTTATTTCAAATGTTGCAAATATTCCCTAATAGTGATTTAATTTATCTTTCAGATCAGTGATGCTACACCTTATATTGATGGTGGAACTATTTATGGCCGTTCAAAAATGGTCACTGATCAACTAAGGAGCTTCGAATCAGGACGACTCCGTTCAGATATTAGCAATAAAAATTTCCCAGCTAAGAATCGTAATGGTCTACCAAATGACAATGAGCCAATTTACCAAAATAATACCAATTCAGCACATATGGAATCTGTTAAGCGATTTTATGGTAATTTTTGCCTTCAAAGCACTTTGATCTGTTTCTACTTTTGTTATTTTATTTACTATAAATTTCATTTTTCTCATTAAGCAACCGGTGATTATCATGCAAACGAGAACCCATTTCTTTTAGCAATCAATATCATGTGGTTTCGATGGCACAATTTGATTGCAGATAAATTAAGAAAAAATAATCGCCATTGGGACGACGAAAAGATTTTCAATACCGCAAGAAAATGGGTAATTGCATCCCAACAGGTTAGTTTACAATAAGGTTTCACCTAAAAAGCAACCCAAATACCAGTTTTTATAACAATTCATATCTAGTAATAGTTAAATTAAATTTCTTTACTTTCATTAGCAAGTGATAATAAACGAATGGTTACCAATCTGGACTGGAAAATCATTAACTAAATATAATGGTTACAAGAAATCGGTCGATCCCTCTGTTAGTCACTTGTTTAGTGGATCAGCGATGAGATATGGACATGTTTTGGTTCCTCCAACTGTCAAATTATGGTTTGATGTGTGTGACCAGAGTTACAATGTTAATAAACGAAAATTAAGGCAAATCAAACGAAAAAATAATCCACTTTATAATACATCGCCAGTTAAGCTTTGCAATAGTTTCTTTAGCTCGTTCAATCTAACTGAAAAGAGTTATAAATCATTTTTCCTGAGCTTAACTGTAACATCTTCCCGTCCTGATGGAGCATCGATATCAAAAAATTTGAGAAGACGTACTTATGGGCCAATTGATTTCACTCGACGGGATTTGGCTTCAGTTAATATACAACGAGGACGAGACTTTGGTTTACCCGATTACCTTTCAACCAGATCATTGTTCAACTTGCCTGTTTATGGTGACATGTATTCAATCAATAGCAACCTGTGGAATAGCTCAACAACAAATTTCCATGTAAGCTAAATATCAATTTTATCAATTTAAACATTTATTTTGATCTTGTTCATCTCGATTCTGATAGAAAATTTCAACGCTGTATAAAAATGTAAATGATATTGATGTTTACTTCGGAGGACTGATGGAGTCAAATGCAAATGGAATTGGAGAAACGTTTCGTGAAATTATCAATGAACAATTTACGAGAATCAGAGATTCTGATTACTTTTGGTACCAAAATCGAGAAAATAAGTAATATCAGAATCTTAAAAAATACCAGATATTTAATATTCCTGTTTTTTTATCTATTTAGACTGTTTGATGATACTCAAATCAAAAAATTGGAATTGCTCTCAATCCGAGATATTTTAACATTGACTCTTAATGTGTCTGTACAAGAAAAGCCTTTCCTTCTTCCCAATGAGAGAGGTACAATAGTAGACAATTTATTTAATATTGAATTGTTTTCTTATATAGTCAATAACTAAATTTACCCGATTTAATTTTAGATAATTTTCCAGCTGAATGTGGTTCGCCTGATTTAATCAAATTTCCTTGTCAATATGGTGCATGTTTCGCGCTGTCAAACATCAATACTGCCGATAACGATGAAATTGGTTTCTGTCCAAATCCACAAACTTTCGATTATATGACTGGAAGTGAGTTTCCATTATTCACAACAATTGGTTCACTTGGACTGTACGTTTTAGGCTGCTGGTTAATACTTTGGATCCTCGTAAGTCGAAGGAAACGAAAAGATGAATTAATCAGAAGGAAGAGTAAGAGAGCTAAAATGTCTGCTTCACCAGGGATCAATTCAACTATTGGTAATTTATAAATAGTAATTTCAGATTTACATTTGTCTAATTTGCGTTTTCCAATTTAAATTTTACAGCTTTTGAATGGGAAAGTGGTGAAGATAGCATGAAACCAATTTTAATAAACTTTGAGCTCAAGGAAAAACGAATATCAATAAAATCTTTGGGCCATGAAGAAAAATTGATCCGGCGAATTGATTTCAAAGGGATTCAATCAATCAAATTACAAATCAGTGTCAATTCAAAGCAGCCACTGATTGCGGCCAAGATCCCGAATGAACATGACTTGGTAATGTTAACGCATTCAATAATTGCTCGATAATAATTTAATTTCCTTTCCATCTTCAGATAGTAACATTTGATAATGAGGCTGAGCAAACTGTTTTTGTTCAACAATTGGAAGCGTTTCTTGAATCAATTGGTGTGGGCCGTGAGCGTCAACAAATGGATGCAAAAAGGATTCTTAAATCATGTTACAGCAAACATGAGCGACAAAAACATTTGGAATCGTTTTTCCGTGCTGTCTTTGCTCACGTTAGTATAGTTTGCTCAACAATTTTAATCACAGCTAACTGTCCATTTTATTTTCACTCATATTTTGTCAGTCTTTCGATATTAAACCGTTGAAAAGTAAAGTCGACTTGAAAATTGCGAAGAATATTTTACAAACGGAATTGACTGAATATGAATTTGCTGAGGCATTAGCCATGAGACCAGATTCATTATTTGTTAAGCAAATGTTTTCCTTGGTTGATAAAGATGAAAATGGTTACATATCTTTCAGAGAGTTTCTTGATATGATGATCATCTTTGCTAAAGGTAAGTTTCAATATTCAACAATCATTACTGAATAAGAAAATATCAATTTTTAAATTCAAGGTTCATCGGATCAGAAAGCTAAGTTAATGTTTGACATGTATGATTTGGATGGAACTGGAAGTTTATCTAAGCAAGAGTTTTCAACAATGATCAGGTATATCAAACAAAAATTTTAATTTTGAATTATTTTTAAATTGAATTTTTCTTGTTTCTTTCATACAGATCGATGCTTGAACTGGCTAATCAGAGTATTGATTCAAAACAAATGGAGGAACTGATCAGTTCAATGTTTACTTCAGCTGGATTGGACTCTAAAAATGAATTGAATTTGACTGATTTTCTCAAATTTTTAGGCGATTATAAAGAAGAATTTGGTTACGTAGAGCTTAATCTTGAAGGTGAAAATAAAATCCATAATCAAGACTTCTTATTTACCAGTTTTATTTAATTTCATCTCATTTAGTTGGTGATTTAAAGGTTGAGATTGATTCAAGCCAAAGTAAAAGACAGAGCGCAATGTTTCGTGCCCGAGATAAAATTGTACGAGCTTATTCAATTTACAAAGAGGAACCACAATCAACCGAAAGGTAAATTAAAAGACTCTTTCAAGAGATAATTTAATGATCTTTTCTTGTTTACAGGTCGAGTAAAGATAATTCAATTTCAATTGAAACTCAACATCCGACTGAGCAGCATGGCTTTATCAACCAATTATCCCGATTCATTGATGAAACAAAATGGCATATTTTTTGGTTCCTTGTATTTTTCTTGATCATAGGCTATTTGCTGATTGATAAATTGATCTGTAAGATATTTAAATTAACATGTTAACAAATTAACCAAAGTCAAACAAATTAACTATTCTGGTTACAGATTATACCTATTTTAATGAAGATCGTGGCTTAAGACAAATTGCTGGCTTTGGAGTTGCCATCTCAAGAGGAACTGCATCAGTGATTATGTTCATTTTTTCAATATTATTGATAACAATGTCTCGTAATTTAATCACTGTTTTACGCGAAACCTTTTTGAACAAATACATACCTTTCGATGCGTCGGTTTCGTTCCATAAGATCATCGCTATAATTGGTTTAATATTTGCCAGTAAGTCAATCAAGTCCAAAATTGACAATATAACTTCAAATTTTTCTTGTCTTACAGTAATTCATTCAATTGGTCATACATTTAACTTTTATCATATTCTTACTCAACGTCCGAGTGATCTGATGTGCCTTTTTCCCAGCTTTTATTCAAGGTAACATATTAATCACACAAAAACATAATCTAATCTTCTGTATATTTTAATTTCAGATCAAATGAACTTCCTAAGTTTCAAGACTGGTGTTTCCACACTATAACTGGTAAGTAAGGTTAACATTACCGAGACCGTGATTTAATTGTTTACAAACCAAAATGAATGACCTATGGCTATTTCTCACCATCAATATCTTTGAATAAATTAGCAACATCAACTTATCGATATTTTTCTTTTACTTTAATCTTCCCTAAGGTGTTACTGGATTACTCTTGTTGGCTTTGATGACAATCATTTACATATTTTCAACTCCAGTTTCCCGTCGATATGTATTTACCGCTTTCTGGTCAACACATAATCTTTATCCATTATTTTACTTGTTAATGTTTCTCCATGGACTCGGGCGTCTTATCCAAGAGCCATTATTAACATCATATCTGATTGTACCATTGGTTTTATTCAAGATTGATAAACTAATCAGTATCTCACGGAAGAAATCGGAAATTCCAGTTGTCAGAGTTGTTCATTATCCATCCAATGTGACTTTACTTTGCTTTGCTAAGCCGGAAAACTTTGATTACAAAAGTGGCCAATGGGTGCGAATTTCAAGTGTTGCCCTAAATTCAAATGAATTTCATCCATTTACTCTTGCTTCGGCTCCTCACGAGGAAAACCTTCAACTTTACATTCGAGCTGTTGGCCCATTTACCACCAACATCAGACAAATTTATGACCCTAATGGACTTTCAATGTCCCCTTATCCAAACATCAGGTTAGATGGACCTTATGGGGAAACACATCAAGATTGGTTCAGATTTCCTGTTTCAGTTCTGGTTGGTGGTGGAATCGGTGTAACACCATTTGCATCCATTTTAAAAGACGTTGCTTTTAAAGCTTCAATAAATCGCATGACAACCTGTAAAAAGGTATAACTCGTTATCATTCCAAGACAATATTGTCACCTTTTTGCTTGTAATGATATATGATCTTACTTTGATTTTATGATATAATAATGATAATCCTATTTGTTACATTTTGTCATCTGATCTACATCATTTTGTTTCACATCTACTTATAAATGCTATTATTATTTTGCCTTCATTTAGGTCTACTTTTTATGGGTAACTCGAACTCAAAAGCATTTTGAATGGTTGGTCGATATACTTCGTGATTTAGAGGAAAAAGATGTATCAAACCTTGTCTGTGTTCACATATTTATCACTCAATTTTATGATAAATTTGATTTAAGAACCATGATGTTGGTGAGTTGTATAACAAATCAAATCTAATCTGATTCCAACAAGACAAAAATAGACATTGATCTTTCAATCGATGACCTCTTGTGTATCACATTATCAATAATCTTAAGTGTAAATTATTTCTAACACTTATTCACATAATTTACATGTACTTTACAATCACTGTGATATAATAGTAATGATAATAGTATTACTGTGAATCAGATGAGTGTTATTTACAGTATGTACACAAAGTCACTGCTGACAAAAAAGTCTCAATTTTTTGCTAATTGTTTCACCTTTAATTTATTCCAGTATGTTTGTGAACGTCATTTCCAGAGAGTCTCAAATCGTAGTTTATTTACTGGATTAAAAGCTAAAACCCAATTTGGAAGGCCTGATTTTCATCAATTTTTTACTTCCCTTCAAAGGTTGCATCCTAAGGTAAGTTAATTTATAACTGTTTATCATTTCATTAACTTTGAATCTAATTTGTTTGAAGGTTGCAAGAATTGGAGTTTTCAGCTGTGGTCCACCACCGATGACAAATTCAGTTGGATCAGCCTGTGAAAGGATGAATCGTCAATCAGGAGCTTTGTTTATACACCATTCGGAAAATTTTTAGCTCAACAATGAGTTAATCTTGAACAACCGTTGAAGATGAAGTCTGATTTATATATTATTTTGATGAAACTCACAAGACTTATATATTTACATTTCTACTAAATGTATGGACAATGGAGCAAGCTTAGAACCTTAATTATGCGAAAATCAGGGAAATTATCGACTTGGTTACCTGCTATAGCTAGCTTTGAATACAATTGTGATTGTCGATGAAATTGTTTCGAGTCAAACAATTAGCGATAGTTTATTATAAATTTATAGGTAAATCAGAAATACAAATGAAACCGTTACTGAGACATTGAGATTACAATTAATTTATTATTAACATCTATCCATACAATGGAAACAGTGGGAATATTAAAAATGGTCAACCTTACGATAATAATTAAATAAGTAATAATTTTACCAACAATAAAAGGTATGTTTGTCTTTCTTTTTTGAAATGAACCACAAGATACATTTAATGAACATTATTTACATTGAGGCAGCAATGGTGTAAGCCGACGTTGTTGACCTTTCTTTATCATTTTTATTGGCAATCAATATTCTGAATAGTTCAAAGTAAAGATTGCCATGATCTGAATTAATGAAAGTAAGTTATTTACGAATTATTGAATTGATTTGATTATAACATTGTACTTTTTTCGCCACTTTATTAACAATTTATTGAGAGATTGATTTATGGAGATATTGGTATTCATTTTTCCATTTATCTTTTCATTGTGATTCAGATTTAATTTTACAGTTTGCTTAGGATAATTAAGTACCTGTTAACAATAATGATATAATCAATGATGAATTCAAAAATGATACTGATTTTGACCAATAAACTAGTGTTTGTCTAAGGTCTAATATCTCATTGAAACAATCCAAAAATATGATTTACAGTAAATACAATAAATTCAACTCTTAACCTGCAACTTTACCAATTTATCAGTAAAATAATAAATAAATCTGATTGGGGTTAGGATGATGATAAGCTTACAAAACACATTTCACTCTTTGAGGTGGGAAAAATGAGGTTCAAGGTACCAAGGAACAGGAGGGTCATTTGGGTCTCTATTTCTCTCTTCATTTTCAAGAATTGACATTATTAAATCCATAGCGACATCTTCATTTTCTTGATCATCAGCCGTGTGCCCTCGCGTTAATATGTGAGAATTATCATCCGTTTCATTTGAACTTTCTGGTAATATTGGTAGGCTAGCATCTGAAGTACGGTAAAAATCGTCTCCACTAATGCAGGTTAAACTGGTTAAACAATTTGAATTTTGCCAATTTTGAGTTGCATTTGTTGTTGAATCATTTGTCGTTGGGTCAACACTATTCACATTGATTCCATTGGGAAGAGAGCTACCAGAATTAGTGGTTCTTCCACCAACACCTAATGGATCATAATTATTTTCATGTCTATATGAGCTTTTCGTATCAACACCATTTGTTCCATATGAGCTTGTATCTGTTTCCATTGTACAATTACCGGTAGATATACTGGATATACTGGTCACTCCTTCATTATCTGATACAGTTAAACTTAAATCACTTTCAACCGCAGAAGGTCCAGCCAGAGTTGCTAAAGAACCAGAATCTAACCAAATATTGCTATCATTTCCACTAGAACTACTGTTTATCTCATTTTTATTTACATTATTAGTAACAACATTGTTGTTATTGTTATTACAATTACTGTTAAGACTGTTATTAGCATTAACACTAGTTGTTGGATTGCTTGGTCCAAGTTGCGATTGCTGTTGCTGTTGAGAATGGAGATTGTCTAACTGAATAAGTCCTGAAGACTTTATTTGTGATGCGATTAAACCTCTTGCTACATTATCAGGCCTCCATTTTTTCAATTTATCAAATTCACTGTCTGTAGTGACAAATGTATTTGTAATGGGTATTGTTGATGATGAATATGGTGAAGCTGTTAGTAAAAAATTGGACTCTTCATAACGCCGTTGATTCTCGATTACTTCATCTGCAATGTATCGACCAATCTTCCAAAGAGCAACTCTTGACGAAGCCAGCATCTTTTGTACACTTCGAGTGTCTGTCGATGAATAACCAGTGGAAGATTGTTCATTTGATGAAGCACCTCCGTTACCAACACCTAAATTATTACCATTGGTTGTATTATTTGTGCCAGTATTACTTGAATTGCTGTTTCCATTTGACTTGTGAGCTCGATTTTTACAGGAATCACTTATTCGGAAAAGTATATCATCAACTGTACTCGATGTCTTCCAACTGGCAGTCACATAGTTATTGTTATTATTGTTGCTATTTTCAACATTAACTGAGCTTTCAACTTTATCAATATCAGATACACAGGTATTAACAGCTATTAAAAATTCAAACTCTTTGGTCCAAGGATTTCGGAATGTTTTCCAAGTTGTTTGAAGACAAATGTACGGCCCTGACTTGGTTTTGAATCGATATCCAGCTGATTTTGAGTTTTCTCCTGAAGCTTCCAAGCCTGAAATAAAAATAAGCAACAATTAATTGTAGTTAACTGAGTCAATCAGACAGATGTAACTTGAGTAAACAAATTGTAACAGGTTACATAATTAACCGAAACAAATTAGTTGATTTTCGCTAAATTAACCTGCAAACAGAGATAAAAGTGATCTTTCAACCAACTTATAAACCTTTGAGTGACTCAATTTAATGTAGGTTGTTCAATTGTTATACAACCAATCAACAGTTGTTGATTAAAATAACATATAAACTGAATTTTGGGCAAAAGTCTAAATTGAACCAATAATCAATTTATTGATACCTAATCAACATCATTAAGAGATGCACTTAATAAGGTTGATCAAAAGGCCATTGTAAATAATACGGATTAATTGAGTTACAACTGCTTGGTCTCAAAGATCATTGCATTATAAATTGGATCAATTCAATTCCTAACCTTTCAGGATAAAAACAATCCTTCAGGAAACCTTACAGTAAGGTGGATAATTGAACTTCAATTATCATCTTATTGATGCTCATAATTTCTCTGATTATGATAATTAATTAGTTAATTTTAAATTGTAATCAAATTGCCATAAATAAGGTCTGGACTAGTCTGACATCCATATGATTGTAATTGTTTACATTTAAATAACGATAATCACACCGATTGTTGTTCAAGTTAAGATGGTAAATCTATTAAACTAATTTATCAAGTATCTTAAACAGCTTGAATGTAATAATCAAATTATATAACAGAGTTATTGAATTGGAAATGTAATTGTTAACAATGTAAGTGACAACTTCAGGTGATATCCAATGGAGTTGTAAATCCTTACATTGTTATAGTCAATAATAAACATCATATTTTCAAAAATATATCCATTTAATTTTAGTCAACAACAATTATCATCTAATCATCAATCTATTGTTAACTTTAATCTATTCAATTTACTTTCAATAAAAGAAGCATTTCAACCATTTTTCTGGTGTTAATTCACTGGTGTTATTCACAGTTTGTTTACATGCTGCAATTGGCCTGTAAATTTGCAAATATCAACTGATTTATACAATATATTGTTAATATTGTTGTTGAGCAAACTCTATTGTTAATCTGGACTCATCAGGACACAGGAACTCCTTCATGAGATGAAAACGTAACTCCAAAAAAGCAGAATCTGAGTAAAAAGCTATAGACTGGGAATGAATGAGCTCAATAACTTGTTCAATTGTATTGTAAATGTGAAGATTGGATATTTTTGATTGATTCCTTTTTTTAATACTTACCAAGACGATGACTTTCAGCAAGAATTTTCAGATCTTCATGATGACAGTATTCATAACAACAAGTTCCTAATAGCTCTTGAGGAAGGTAGCCTAAAATAAGTGTTGCCCTTTGGTCAACAAACAAAAATTTACCATCAATTGTGTGTCTAGAAGTGAAGCTGATAGGTTTTATTGAAATATCGGGTTGATGAGGAGTGGGTCCACATAGGTTTGGCAAGGTTCGTCCAATGGCTACTAAACAACTCATATTGTAAATGTCCGATTCATTTTCAGATTCCTCGGTGACAGACATTTTTGTTGAAATCCATGATTTAAGATATCCAATACAATGAACAACACAATATTTCCTATCAGATGATTGCGATTTGCGTCTCTTTTGTGCGTAACCCGTTGTTGTATCGGCTTCTTCCTTCACTCTGGGCATCGATTTAAACTTCATTCGGCAAAAAAATGATCTTCTAGCTCCTGGTGACATATTTACTTGACTTGATGGAGATGCCGTTGATTTAACTGGTAACATGGCTGTAACAAAATCAAGAAAAATATTCACAAAACAGATTAATCATTGAATTCGATATTATTGAGATTTTAATCAACAAACGAGTAATAAAACATTATTAACCATAATTTGCCTTTAAACCATTTTTTCATAGTCAACAGTTGAATTAAAATTTATTCATTGTATAATACAATGAAAGAAAATACTGATTTTGAAAATGTTTTATTCAATTTAGTTCAATCAGTAAAGGTTAGCAATTTATTGGGATTTTAATTTAATATAACCATGAAATTGTTTTTTTTAATATAAATTGTAATTGAAATTGTTTTGTAGCTTACTGTTGCCTCGGAAATTTAACGTTGAATAGACCTACTATTAAACCATATTTTTATACTAAAACAGGTTCAATTTTGATTGTTATTTCAGGTGAACCTAATGATGAGAGGACTAAATATTTGTGGTTGTGATACTTTGCTTTCTGTCAGATTAACAACAAAATGGCTAGTAGCTTATAACAGGTAACTTGAGATGGACAAGTTAATTGAAGTAAATCAAGTTGATTCAGGATTAAATTCCTTTTATTTTTACCAAGCAAATGTAAATTGATTAGTGGAAGCAAAATAAAATCAGATGAAAAAGTATTGTAATTTGATGCTCTCATCATCTTCATCAATAGCAACATTCATCAGTTTGACCAGCTAATGAACAAAATTGGTCAAGTACAAATTTCAATAATTAGATCAATGGTTGAATCAACAGTTGAATCAATGATTAAACAATTGAATGTTAACAAAACAATAAAGTTTTCCAATCAGTTTTGGCTAATTCAAAATGCAATTTGATTTGAAAACTGCAATGAAAATAGCAATTGAAGATAATGCAAATGTTATTCAATGAACAAGGTTAGTATTGTGATAAACAATTGAAGGTAAAAAGACAGAGTTATATGAAGCAAGTCTGATCAAAATTAGACAGAAGGGTTAACATTTGATGGAATATAATTAAGTAATTAAAAGTTAAATATTTGAAGCCAAACAAATCAACTGTCACGTGAGCAATAATTAATTATTTTTCCTCATCAAGATAATAATGAGAAGCAAACATTTAAGGAAGGTTCAGAAAGTTTCAAATAATTAGACTTCAGACCTCATCATATTATTTTAATATGTTATTCACATTTTAACCATTAATTGTTGATTAATTACTCCAAATGGAAGGCAAAGAGTTGATCAAAAACAAAAATATTGTCAACAACAGCAATTTGAATGAGAGAAGACAAGAAAATTGAAATTTTTAATTGTGATTGACTGGCCAAGCCAACTGATGGTTCAAGATAAGATGCTGTTCAAGATGACCTGTGCAATATCGAGGTCTAGCTAATAGCAACAAAAACTGTTGTTTCAATGGAGTCAACAATGGAATTGGTTAAACCTAATTTTAAATTTTTACCTAATTATGTATTTTAATAGCTATAACAAATCATTTGATCAAAATTATCGTTGATAACTTACAATGAAAACATAAAATGCAAATTAATTATGAAGTGAATGTTGTGAATGAAAAGGCTTCTTAAATATTTTGTTACCACAATAGCGACACAATATTTTGTATTTCATTTTGTATTGATGGTTGAATTGCAACAATTAGACAGTCAATGAGTTAATCAGTTGGAGAAAAGTTTTAGCACAAAATGATAGGAATTAACTGGTAAATTGTAGGGATAAACTAGGAAGCAAGTAGTTGAATTGAATGGTGAAAGATGAGAGGAAAGCAAATTTAATTTGATCATCAGACTTTTTTTGTTGCTTTTCATTTGGAGTCTTAAAACTGTTGACTGCAATTGACAAGGCCTCAATTAATCTTGCCCTTTAATCCGATCAAATGTCACCTTGTTTTCAACATCATTATCATCATCAGATCACTTCGATAAACAGTTATGCAGAAAACAAACAAATAACCAGAATGTTGAAAGTTAACACAAAAATAACATGCGACATGAAAAAATGGCAAATGTATTAACTAGTTGATTAAACTTGATGGTTGAACAAAAACGTAATCAGCTATGATTTTTCATAACAAAATATCATGTTCTGACCTAAAACTACGCATTAAGTGTTAATATCATGAGCTGGTTAACAATCAAGTCTCATGTGATTGGCAAATATGAAAGTTGATACAAGTTTTTTCAAATGAACTCACTTTTGGCATCAATCAACCTTTCTTTGGGTGAAAGGTCAGATGAAGACAGTTGTTCCTTGACTTTTGCCACGTCTTTAGGGTGCAATATATCGAACCAGTTTTGACCTAAAAGATCACCCTGGATGAATTAAAGACAATCAGATCAAATGGTTAAATGTAAAAATCATTTAGCACAAGGGTAGTCATCATTGACTTGTTAACTTTGCTTAAACATTTGACAAATGTTTTGGCCAAGTTGTAGTTAAATAGTTAATAAATGTCTTTAAATTAATGGCTTACCTGAGAATAGTTGAGAACCTGTGAAACTGAACCAGAAACAAATAAAATCCTTCCTCTATCACAACTTACAACAAATAAAAATCCCTCTGATATCTGCTTGAATAGAAAAGAGATTGAAAATTGTCAAACTCGGGATGTCATTTGAGCAATAAAACTGAATGGATACATGAAATATTCAACTTACTTGCGATATTAGTTTAAGTAGAGCTTCATCAGAGAGAAAAGTTGGCCTTATTTTGCCGCTTCCAGCAAAAGCATTCATGGAACCCTTGATTGTTTTCATGTGTTGAACTGCCATTCTGAGGACAGTCAATTTATCCAGTTTACGTGACATAGCATTGCACATTGGAATTAAACACGACAATTCGGTGATATAATGATTCATCTTGTCCCTTCGGCGTTTCTCAATTTCACTGTGGTTATGTTTTTTACTTTCATCACTGACCAGCATCTCCGAGTTGTTGATGTTATTAGAGGTGGAACTGTACTTCGGATGAGCTCCTATTGTTAAGCTCATGGTTCAGATTGATGGTTAATCTATTTATTTAAACATAACAAGGAAAACGCAAAATTATAAAACAACTACAAATTCAATTGTTTAAGGAATTGAATGGACAAACTCAAGCTAAATATCGACTTGGATTTGTATTGAAAGATAAAGTAAAAAAGGAAACTTGAGTCCTTGATTGGAGCAACTTACCGTTGAAATGACTTAATATAACTTTTGAGCTGTCCAACAATTTTGTATGCTAATTGATTATGGTTCCACAGGGTAGTAGAGATGAAGAATTGAAGATTGATTTCGGGGTAATTATGATGTTGGGTAAAAAAAGGTCTAGCTTATTGAAATAGTCACTTCACGGGGAATCCAATTGAAGATGAAAAGAAAAATGAACTTCAAATGAATAAAAGACTCACAATCAAGTAATGAGATGATGGTTTTATCGGGTAAAGTAATGGTTATTCAGGTTTACCTTTTGGAAGATGATGATGATCTTGATGTTGATGTAATTAAAATTAACTCTTGATTCCAAATAATTGACTAGTAAAAAAGTGTAGTAAAGTTAACCTCTCTCTGTACATTACAAACCAATGGTCTTGACTTTTTTACATCAACAGGTCTTGCGTTTCATCTTCTCTCTGTCTGCGTCCAGTTATCCTCCGTTTTTACCTCTGTCTACATCATCTTCTTATCATCATCTCCATCCTGATTGGTCAGACTTTTTTGAAGGCAAATATCATTCTATAGGAAAAATAATACTATTATCATCATTATTATTATAATAACATTCACACAGGGATTTAGTGCATTAAAAGATATTTAACGGTGACATCTATCAATGTTTTTACTAACTGTATGGGTCTTGATATTTCATCGGTTTTATTATTTTTTGTTTATTTTTTTACTAGATTAGTGGATCAATGATGGATTTATAGATTGATTTTTTAATTAAATACAGTGAGAAAGTATTACATTGAAAAGGTTAATAAGTTAATTTCAATTGCAGGTTAAATGTAAACATTGTATGTTAGGAAAATGTGGATGTGAAAAGTGGATAAAACTTTTGATAAGTACAAAGATTAGCTTTTTTGGTTATGGGAATAGTTAAGGGTTAATTTGTTATTAACTTGGAATGATGTTTGGATGAATTTGATAATTTTGATGAAGATGATGGTGAATTTGATGAGATGGATCGAGACTTTTTGGGTATCAATTTTTTCAATTTAGTCTTGTAATTTGCTTCTCCTTTAGAAAAGGCTTTTTCAACTGCAACGAGTAGATCAAGTATATTGGGAATCAGATGAGGTCGACGTTTATCGATTAAAGATTTGTTTTTTGATTTAATGCAAGTTCCACTGTTGGTGTAAGTGAAGGCGATGAAAAATACTGCTATTATGGGTATAATCAAAGATCCAAGTCCAATTACCTGGAAATCAAGACACAAACAAACGAGTCAACAATCATTTTCAACATTTTTGCCCGATATTAATGTCTATTAATATTACTGATCAATACATTTCTCTCTGTGTAATCATCAAAAAATGATTTCTAATGTGTAAGGAATGGATCAACTTACCAAGATAGTTGGAAAGATATAATGAAGAAACGTCTTCTCAAGATCATCATGATCCTCTTCATGAGGTTGACTTGGCCATGGACTTGGCCAAGGATCGACTCTATCATAATTAGGAGGAAGATAACTTCGAGAAACTGGTTCAGAGGAGAAATATGGTTTCAAAGGTGGATAATAGACCATTTCAGTTAGCATCCGTCTGGTCAGTTTATCATCAATCTTACGAACACTATGGATTTTTTGATTTGACTTTGGGTCAAGATTGTAATTTTGATTTTGATGGTAATATTGACTATGATCAGAGATGATTTTTGAGTTAACATTGTTTTGATTGTTTTGATAATGATGGTTGTGATATTTTACTTCGGAGTTTTGATTATGATTATTGGAGTTATGATGTTCACTACTTGTTGCTGTGGTTGGCTCACTAATTACGGTCGATACTTTTCTTACCAAAAGGTAAGAAATCAGTAACAATTTGGTTAATAACTTATAAGTTTGATGTAAAACCATATTTCACTTTGAATATAAGATTATAACTATTATAAATGTAATCATGAACATAACTTACAATTAAAAACATTAAATTGATTGCAAAGTGTTGACCCAACTTGAACAAGTATCAAAATGTTGTCTCAAATCAAGACATCATCATGGTTTGAGAAATAATAATAAACCTTCCGTTTTGATAAACATTTTAATGAATAGAAATTACTAATTGTGTTTAAGTTTAAAACGCCTTAATAAAACAAATAAAAAACTAAACACTGTCAAGTTTAAGGGTTCATGATTCCATTGATTATCTGAATTTTAGACTTCCGACGTATTTCTGACTTTTATTAAAACAATTAAATATCCTCTTCCTAAATTGTGATTGTTTGCCTTTAAAAATGGCTTGGAGCCAAAACAGTCAACAAATCATTCCACTGATTTTACGGTAATTTGATTTTTTAGATTTGAATTTATTTAAAACGAGTTTTTAAATTGACAATTAAATAATTCATTTTTCAATTGTTATTACTATGTAATATTTATTTTTGGATTTACTGGAAATTTATAAATATAATGTTATACAAATGTATTATTTACAATGGAGTACATGAAATGGTTGATCGGTTTTACATTGGTTATGACTTAAGAAGATGACAGCAAAAAAGTTCCTGATAAAGGGAAGGACTTAGAAATTTGAAATCAGTAGCAGCTTTGTAACTAATTTTTTGTAGACAAAGGGTAAAGATTTCATTCTCTACTATTAACTTGACACACTCTGTGATCAGATTTTTTTGCATATAATATACAAATTTTCTTGTTGAAGAAAAATCAGTACTCATTGTCAACTTTCCAATGACCTCCGCAAATACAATTTGAACACCATCTCATGTCCCATGTACGAGTAGATGGTGATTTATTTTGTGATTGAATGAGGGAAATTGCCGAGCATCGAGTGCACATCCTGATGTTTCCATTGATGCTATCTTTAGCTCCAAGAGCAATGTGACGAACAGTATCCATTTTGGTACATTTATAATTATCGACGGCTCCATCCACACTGTGAGTTTTGATATGATATTTAAGGAAAGATGCTTCAGCAAAATATTGGAACTGTAACGGTGACGGATTTATGAACATTGCTGGACTGGTAACTCCTCTAGCTTTAAGTGTTAAATCCATTTGTGTTATAAGGACTTGGTTAGGAAGTGAACAGCATTCATCCAGAAAACTTTCATCGGGTTCATTTCCCATAGTAGCCACCATGCGACTAAGCAATTTAAATATTTGACCAATCACATCTACATCTTTTGATAAAATGACAAAGTTAGGAAGACAGCTTTCATTGATCAAACCCCAAATTCTAATTATTACTAAAAGCTCTCGTAAAGTGTTTAAAGATTTAACATCGTAAATTAAACCTCCCTGTAAATAGAAGAAGAAAAGAGTTAATAAAGAAACGATTAGATTAAAAATGTTTGCTAAAAACTTACCCCAGGAAAACGATAATTATTGTGAAACTGTTGTGGGAGTGAGGCAAGTAAGAACAAAGCTAAATCTCCAATCCACTGATTCAATTGTTGTAATGATTGTAGAATAACTGTTTCAACGTAAAAGTCTTTATGTTCAAGACAAAGAAGAAGTTTGTCAACATTGAAATAGATAGGATCATTTCCTTTGGTTTGAATTAGATTACTGAGCATCTCAGCTGGCCCTTCCTTATCAGCATTAACACTGGGCCGTAAAAGAGATTTCAATAGGTGAGAAATGGAGTTGAGCATAAATAGTGTGTAACAATCGCCAGATTTGTTTTGTCCAGAGGTACCACTGTTACCTTGGTTGAGACAACGATAAAGTGATGCTTTAATGGCTAAAAAACGATTATAGTACTTTTGTTGGAGTGCATGAGTTTGTCTTTGCATAAAACCTTCAGTTAACATATCACAGAGAGAATCAATGATGGTTGGACGAAGACATATAAGAATATCCCACCAATCATTACCACTAACAAGGCAGTATTCAAGCATTGTTTGTAAAAATACAGGATTAAAACTTGCTTTCGGATCAGTAACCGGGGGTATTCTGTAAACGAATAGTTGAGAGTTCGTGTCAAGGAGAGCTAAAGCGGTGCCACTCCATGAAAATTGCATATCGACGATATTGGAGATTATTGGATTTGAGTTAGATTTTACGTTGACCATACCGAATTTGTTGGAGGGATTGTTTTGAAGAGAAATAGAGTTGACACCAATAGCAAAGATACGTTTTAAATTTTCACGAATATAGCAATTAACTGTATTATCTCTGTAAGACACCATGATATACGAAAGAGGTGGATTAACATCATATAATGAGACTCGAGGAGTGGTGATGGCCACAATAGGTTGATAGTAATTGACACTGCATGAATATTGCCAAACTGTTGTCTTTGGAGATTGGTTATTGAATTCACTGCCGCCATTACTGTTCTTAATTTGCTGATACATCTTATGTAGTTGTACGGGTTTATCACGTAATACCCATAGTTCAACTGTTGACCCTAAAGACCCAGAAGTACCAACAATCACGGCATCGGCAGCTTCTTTCAGAATAAATTTTATATGGTTCACATAAGAATATCCATTGGCTTGTACAATATCGTTTGAACAGTTGAGATAAAAACTTGAAAATGGTTGACTTGTTATAGTACATTTAGTCTTATCTGATCCTAAATTGGAGTAAGACAAATTGATTGAGACCCGGTAGCAGTTAATGGAAGAATCAACTGATCCGTTCGATGTGATCATAAGAAATTCTCCATTTCGAGTGTAACAAATGTCGACTATTTTTAATTTGGATCGGAAATTTCCTAAAATTTTAGTTCCAGTAACAATTGAATTATCTGATAGATAGACTGCACACCAAATAAGTCCGCTAGCAGAAATAGCGACGAAACCATTGGCCGGTTTACCTCCAAACTGTCTCACAGATGCATTAAACTTAGCGTTGATGAATTTTTCACTATATGAATGAGAAGAATCTTTTTTGTCCGTGACAATGATAGACTTTATACCATTGTGAAACCATACAGCTGATAAAGTCTTTTCACCTCCGAAGGCAGTGAATGAATTAACAAGATACCAGTCGTTTATAAGAAAATCTTTGATCGACCAAATCTCAATTTTACCAAAAGCATCTCCAATAAGAAGCCGGGTTCCACTACTATCCCATTCCAAGATTGTCACATCTTCATCATGCTTTGTTACCCTGTAAATAGGAAATATTATTAATAAGCGAGTTCATTTAACCATAATTTAAGATGATTGAATAAATGTTGACTTACAAGTTTGGCTCATGTGGTAAGTTTAAATCAATAACATAAACATGGGTTGATAAATATTTAGGCTCACTATCAGTTAAATCCGAGAAACTTGTAAATGCCAGAATATTTTTGTTTGATAATGAACTGACACATCTTCGATCAACAAGCCTGTTGTAAATAAAAAACAAATTAATAAGAAAATAAATGCTGTGAAAAGTGATAACTTAATAGAAATGGTATCTTACCAATCATTTAGCCGCTTTGAAGAAGATGAACTAGCACAGGTTACTGAATAAACAAGCTCCATATGTGAATATCAGTCGCAGGATATTTCACCTTATAAACATTGTCAAATATAAATACTAATCAATTGAAAATAAGATACAATCAAAGCAATGTTTAATTCAGTAGATTTATTCTTTTAAATTGAAGACTTTAAAAAAAATTTTCAAAACGGAATGTTGGCTTGATCAATGATCAACATTAGAATCGATTTAATTGATAATCGAATACTCAATATTCAATCGATCAAAAACCCGGTCAAATCGAATTGATGTAAAAAAATTGAATTTGTTTTTCAATTTATAATTTAACTAATTTACCTCTGTTAATCTAATTCGCTCAATAATGTCCGTTTCGGATAATTCAAGGCTGAACTCTCATTGAACATTTAATTATTGGAAGACTTAAGAGCTCAATGCAATTTTGATAAACGATTTAAGGAAATTGCCGCCAACTTCAAATACTCTTTTGCCAAAATATTTAAACATTTTGATTTAAAAATTTTGAAGATGTAATTTAACCTTTTAGGTTACTTTAGTCGCACATAATATGGTTTTAAGTGGATAATAAATGATGGTGAAACATAAATTTAAGCTGAAAAATTAGAAATATTTGGTTTTCTTTTAATTATTGAACAATATTCACATATTTAAAAATTGTAGCTGTTTCGCCACTTTGAAAATCAGTCTATACAAAAATTGTTGAGATTATAAAATTGATTCAACTTAAATTGCTTGATCGGCCAACACTAGAGAGATCGGGAATTCTGGATGAAGGTAAGTGTATCAGTCTTTTTCCTTTTCGCTATGTCATACTTGAGCCCGGTCTTGAGCCTGGTCTTGAGCTTGGTATTGAGCCTGATCTTGAAGACGATCTTGAAGCTTTTGCTTCCTCGATTATTGTCTCGATCATTCTAACAGCTTGCGTACCACTATCGGAATTTCTCATGCTTTGAGAGATTTCTCTAATTCGATTGTGCTTTTCTACATCATTTAATGCTAATTCAATGCAATTTAGAAGACGCTCCTCGTTGATCTCCCAGATATTTATGCGATAACCAACATTCCTGTCAACGACTCTTTGTGCATTATCGTATTGGTCGAAAAAATAAGGAATCACAATGAACGGTTTAGCATAATAAAGAGTCTCCATTAAACTATTATTACCACCATGTATTATAACTAAATCAACCAAATCAAGAACTTGTATTTGATCAAGATGATTTTGACCCCACATATTATCATACAATTTAAGATCATCTCCTCTAATACCTTTCGAAATGATAAATTTATGAGGGGCTTTGGCTAAGATATCAATTATCTGTTGCATTAAATCCAAATGACTTGACGCTATTGACCCAAGCGAAAAATAGATTAATTTTCCAGGTTTATCGAAAAAGGTTAGTGGTAAGCTTATTCCCTCTGGCTCAACTGATCTAATGAAGCAATCAATTCGGTGCCAGCCTCCTTCTTTAGGAGAGTATTCTTCGTAATCTAATTGAGCTGGATAATGATAGAAGCCAATTGTTTTGACGGGAAGGACAAGACGCAGAGGATCGAACACTGCCGGTCTATTAAATTCTGACAACATTGTATTTGTCCTAGCAATGTTAAGTTCATGGGCTTCAATAAAAAGTCGTTTTGCCTCTGCCCAAACATTTGGATCGCTTGTTGTGGAGAAACCAAATGATATAGGTGGACCATTTTCGTATAAACAAAGAGGATTTGCTGACAATAAAGATATGACAGGATGTCTTGTTGCAAATAAGGCTCTTGTAAGGTCACAAAAATCGTGGACAAATGCATCAAATTGAGTTTGGTGAGCCGCAACAATTCCAAAAAGGCACTGTTCAAGATTACGATATTGCGCCTCGAGAGCCGCTAATCTTTCTTTATCCTGTTGAGTAACATTTCTATAACGTTCCAGAGGATCTATTCGGAAAGTGTCGGCATTGGTATCCATCGCATTTAACATAGTCTGATCGTCCCCTAAAAGTCCCTGACTCAATGGTAAGAACAAGAACCCACGTGATTCAGCAGCTCTCCTGAACGTGCTCCGATGTGCGAAAGTAACTTCATGTCCATGTCGCTTTAATAATTCACCGAATCCCAAAACTGCATTAACTGGACCAGCTCTTAATAGGCACATTAAGATAAAATTATCATTATATCACAATAAAGTTTAATTGAACAACTTACGCATTCATGGCGGTCAAAAGAAAACTATATTTTTTTTTTGGCATGGTTTCAAATTAAACACGAGAGACAATTAACACTGAATAAAACTCGAAAGATGAGAATGGGAATCGATGAAAGATCAAATGTAAAATAAGGTATTTCGTTGGTTGATGATTCACTTTAACAGTAAGACAAGTTAAAATATAAGCAGAAGTATTTGAGAGGGAAAACCGTATTTAAAGTCTTACAAGAAATGAATTAAACGCGCATGAAAAGATCAACAAGCGCCAGATTCAATCGAAATAATTAATTTTTGATCTAAACAATTTTAGCCAAATAACAGTTAAAAACAGTTAGTTTAAAATTATTGAACTTTGTCCTTTTGAGGGACCATTGAATAGACAAATACGCGCCTAATTTAACCATTGACAGTGAATAAATATTTAAATTTTCAAACGAATTAAATCAAAATGCAATTCATCTGACAATCATGATAAAGAATAGGAATTTTCAATGAATCATTTTTGTAGCTCAGTGGTGCTTTTCAGCATTTCAAGTCCTATTCATCTGGAATCATTGAGAACAATGCAGTTATTGTGAGTTTTTACCATGGAAGGATTCTTGTCAGCTCAGCTTGCTATTTCTCGATTTTTTTATCATTTATCTCTACAGTTGAATTGTTGAATCTTGAATTTATGTTTCAACATGCATTTCATTTTATAATAAACAATCAGTTTATTGGATAATCAACTGAATAGCATACGTATTGGCTTGAACTCGAATCATCTACTAGAAAACCTTGCTCAAGGTTGAAGGTTGACTATTTCATGTGTGCAGGAGACTGTTATTTTTTGCTGTTGATTGCTCTTGTGTAGTTGATATCATCCAGCTTTGAATTAATTTGTCATCATTCTGTTTCATTACTCAAACTCGAAGAAAGAAAACGTTTAAACGTCGTCGTCATTTTCATCTTCATCATCAAATCATGTGACTTTTAACAAGTGAATTTATTGTTTGTTTACCTTTGATGTTACAATGGTGAAGGAGCAAGAAAGATGTTTATATATATTTGCTTACTTTGAATGAATTTAGGTTTTTTTATTGTCTGTTTGCTGGTGATTCAACATTGATTCTTATGTATTTCTGTTGCCACAAAAACCATCCAATCTAATACATTTGCAACAAGGATCTCACCAAATTAAATTGTCCACTGTCATGTAATTTTACCTACTCTATTTACAATGTTATTGGTGATTTAGAAAGTGCTTGACATTTAGCTTTTTTTTATTTTCTGCAACCTCATTATTGTTTCTTCACCTGTGTACATTACATTATAGATTGACCTCTTGACTGTATACATTGTATAAAAATGTCCTTGGACCGTTTAGGACAAACGCCTTTAATCAAAATTGGCCATTACACTTTGGGAGAAACTCTCGGTGTTGGAACCTTCGGCAAAGTTAAAAGTAAGTGTCATTTTTGATCATCATGAACCATGACAAATATATTTTACATTTGCCCTTCAATATTTTCATGCTATCACATACAATTATGTCATTTCGACATTGAGTAATGTTTCACTTTTTTATATTTAATTACAGCTGCCAAGCATCAATTGACTGGGCATAAAGTTGCTGTTAAAATTTTGAACCGAGAAAAGATCAAAAATCTCGATGTTGTTGGTAAAATACGGCGAGAGATTCAAAATCTTAAATTATTTCGCCACCCTCACATTATCAAATTGTAAGTCGAATTTAAATTTAATCTCTCGATAATCAGATCAAGATCTACAGTAATCTCTCGATATGTTCGCGAACGGAGTTGCTATAGCTGATAGCTATAACATATCCATTCAATAGTTAATGGTTACTCAATCATAAATTGATGTAAAATTTATTATAAAAGGTCAAATCTAAAAAAAATTAAAATTCTAAATCCAAAAAGTAAAGCTGAGTTAAGCAATCTGTTTTGGCAAAAAATCGAGGGATTGCTGTAACTGAGCACTAGAGTTGGATTTTTGATGAACTGATATGCAATCTGAAAGTTAACCGTTGATATAATTTCGTAGCCAACTACTAACACCATAAATATCTTATATCTAATTAAAAAAGTATATTTTATACTCTTAATCAAAGTCAATGATCTTTTTCAATGAATAAAATTTAGATACCAAGTGATTAGTACTCCAACAGATATTTTCATGGTAATGGAATATGTTGCTGGTGGTGAATTGTTTGAATATATTGTAAAGCATGGGAAATTGAAGGAATCTGAAGCTCGTCGATTTTTTCAACAAATTATTTCTGGTGTTGATTATTGTCATCGTCATATGGTTGTTCATCGTGATTTGAAACCGGAAAATTTGTTACTTGACATAAATCAATGTGTTAAAATAGCTGATTTTGGTTTATCTAATATGATGATGGATGGTGAATTTTTACGCACAAGTTGTGGTTCACCAAATTATGCTGCACCAGAAGTTATATCTGGTAAATTATATGCTGGACCAGAAGTAGACATTTGGAGTGCTGGGGTTATCCTTTATGCTCTTCTATGTGGAACTGTATGTACAAATGCTATAATGAAGATAATAATGGATAACTAATTTAAATTACTTTCTTTTTATTTTTTTGCAGTTACCTTTTGATGACGAACATGTTCCATCTCTTTTCCGCAAAATTAAATGTAAATGAATGTATGCTTTATGCTCTCATCCAATGAATGTGCATGCAAACTCGCATCGACATTCAATTTGAGTTTTCACGAACCTTAACCTTAAATGTGTAAGATGATGATATTTATACTAATATAATTTTTCTACTTCTTTTCATTAGCTGGCATATTTCCGATTCCAGATTATTTAAACAAATCAGCAGTTGATCTGTTGGTTCATATGTTACAAGTTGACCCCATGAAAAGAGCGACAATGGAGGATATAAAGTAAATTTTAAATTTTAAATTTATATTAATATGAAGTATATCTAACAATCAATAATTATCTCGCAAAATTTCTCATGTAGGAACCATGATTGGTTTAAAAGAGATTTACCGGCCTACTTATTTCCTCCAGCAAGTGAATCTGATGCTTCAATTATTGATATGGATGCTGTTAAAGAAGTCTGTGAGGTAAGTATAAAGAAAATAGTAGGCAATCAAACTGTAGAAACGTTAATTAACCTATTCTTATTATTTAATATTTAAACAGAAATTTGGAGTTACCGATAAAGAAGTCCATAGTTCATTGTTAAGTGGAGATCCTCATGATCAATTGGCTATCGCATATAATCTTATTATTGATAATAAGAGAATCGAAGATGAAACATCAAAATTAGACATTAAAGATTTTTATGTCGCTTCTTCACCTCCTCCACCATACGCCATCAACGATAGTCCAGGTCGTTTAGGATCGAGTGGAAGTGGTCGTGTACGATTATTAAGCGGAGGTTCCAGCAGTTTGGAAAAACACAAAGGAACACCAATGAAAAGAGCTAAATGGCATTTAGGTTAGAGTCACCCAACTCAATGGCATTGTCAATTCCAAAATTATCGATCAAGATTTTCATTTTTAATTTTTGCTCTCATTTTCTTAGGAATTCGTTCACAAAGTAAACCTCATGATATCATGAATGAAGTTTTCCGAGCAATGAAATCACTTGATATGGTAAGCATTGTGACATAATTGATTACAAACCAAAATAAACTGAAATCATTCTCACTATCTTTTCATTTTAATCTAGGAATGGAAAATTGTTACTCCCTTTAGTGTTCGTGCTCGTCGTAAAAATCAACAATCTGGTCGTTATATTAAAATAGCTTTACAGCTTTACCAAGTTGACTATAAAAGTTACCTTCTTGATTTCAAGTCATTACCTAGTCAAGATGATGCAGAGATCAAGGAAGGTGAAGGAAGCAGTGCTAATGTTTCATCAAACGATCCATACTCATCAAAATCTCAATTTCATCATGTAATGGATTTCTTTGAAATGTGTGCTTCACTAATCACACAGTTGGCGCGTTAAAGTAGCTCTTTATTCATCTTAGAGATTTTAATTGAGATTGAATAGCATATATACAACAAAATTTCAGCTAAATTTGTAAATCTTAAAAGATTGATCATTAGAAGTTCATTTCGACGGATAAATATGGGTAGAGTGCAATACGATCTCATTTTCACCCTTTTAGTTTATCTCATTACAAATCTCATTTCAAATTCACACTGAATCTCAGTAAATTCATCCCAAATTGACTTTTTAACATTTCATTTCACAACTTCTGTACCTGTTAATGATCTTATCTGACTATCAATTCCATTATATTTTATTCATTTTATTTTCCTAATTTTCCGACTATGATTTTATCATCATATTGCCTGTTGATCTAGTAAAGATGTTTTCCTCATCAATAAAAACTCGAATGTCATGAAATGTTTTATTTTTCACTTAATTTTACTCTGATAACTGCATTTATATGTACTTATGAATATTCAATAACCTGTATCACTCACACTATTATAAATATGAAGAAAGCTGTTATTATTATGTTGAAAATTCAATAAACGAAAAATTATTAATTGAAGTAATGTTGTATCATGAAGCGGCGACATTGAAATGTTTACCTTTGACTTCAAAACACCTTAATCGCAATGGACGGGACCAGCTTTTTTCCACCACTTTTTCAAACAATTTTTTATAAGATTACCCTCCACCCAAATTGTCCAAATTGTTGACCACTTTTACACCATCTAACACATCCACTATTAATCGCCATCATATCCCAAAAGTGGTCAAAAATTCGGTATGATTTGGGTGGTGATAATCTTATAAAAAATTGTTTGAAAATGTGGTGGAAAAAAGCCACTCTAAAGTGGTGGATGAAAGTGGTGGACAATTTGGTGGAAAATTTTGTTGAGAAAAGTCTCTTTAAAAAGTGATGATGTTTGATTTGGTTGATTTGGTGGATGTGTTAAATTGGGTGGTGGACAATATGGTGGACAATAGGGTGAAAAGACGGTAAAAAAAGTGGTGGATGAAAGTGGTGGAAAAATGTGGTGGAAAAAAGCCACTTTTAAAGTGGTCGAAAAAAGTGGTCGAAAAAAGTGGTCGAAAAAAGTGATGGAAAAAAGTGGTGGATGTGGTGGAAAAAAGCTGGTCCCCAATGGACTAAACACACAGAACACAGGAACAATTAAGTTGAATAATCTCTTGTTCAATGATGAAGCAAAATAGTTACTAATTCTGATAAACTCATCATTTTATTGAATATTAAAAACAAACAATAATAAGAGAGAACAAATTGTCGAAGGTTACAAACAACGCAATCAAGGTTGCTTTTTGTTGACTAACTGTTGTTTTCAATTTCCTTCGTGTTTAATGCGCTTAACTATTTAACTGAGCAAAAAATGGTTTAAGATGGCTATATTAAGTAAATAGGAGCTTAAGTTAGTTGATTAACATGATAAAAGCAATTTTTTACTCAATAAATTTCAATAATCAGCCAACCATTAACGATTACTTGTTTTCATGTTTCCTCATCATGTGACTAAATATCTCTCTCTATGTGAATTTTTTGTTGTTGTGTCTTTTTCACGATATTAAAAAAATGTATCTTTATAAAGAATCGGTATCATAGAGTAAGGTATCGAGTATTTAATAAAATACAATTGTAGCATAAATTTGTGCAATGAGTATCGAGTATCATCAAAAAGTAATGTATCGATACTTTTACTCAGAAAAAAATATTACGCGAAACTCTAGTCTGTTTGTTTACCTAATTTTATGAGGTTTAAAAATATTTCTCTGTTTTTATGGCTTGAGTCTTAAAACCAGATTTATTGTGCTCGTTTTACAGTTAATTTAATAAAATGTCCTGCATTTAATTTCAACTCTAATAATGTAGTATTTTTACATTTTCAACTTTCCTTTGAATTTATCAGTGTTCTTCCAGTGCATCAAGCGATTTCCTACAAAGTGTATATATTGTGTTTTGTATTGCTTTCTCGTGATTATTTTCTAACCTTTTACATATTATTTGGTCAATTTGTGTCTCAACAATTTGTTGCTGAAAATGTCTACGGATAGATCAATCCAAACCCAACAACCTTTAATTAAGATTGGCCACTATATTTTGGGTGAAACTCTTGGTACTGGTACTTTTGGTAAAGTTAAAAGTAAGTTGTTGAGCATTATTTAGAGCATTATTTGATTAAAAAATTACACAATTCAAATCGCTAATTGATATAATTTCTTTTCATACATTCTGCTGCCCATATTTTGTTATGTCACAACACAGCTGCCACTCATCAGTTAACTGGACACAAAGTTGCTGTTAAGATTTTGAACCGAGAAAAGATCAAAAATCTCGATGTTGTTGGTAAAATAAGGCGAGAGATTCAAAATCTTAAACTATTTCACCATCCTCACATCATAAAACTGTAATTAGATTTCATTCTTACCATTTACTTGTTTACAATTCGAACTGATAGCTTAAGAGATCTTGTTAATTTTTGTCGAAGTCCATGTTAAACGTGCGAGACGGCAATGATAAACAATGATTGTATTGCTTGCATATCTTAAAATTTATATTATAGTTTAAATACTTGAAGCTTATTGGTAAACCTCTCCAAACTCAAGCCTTTGATCTACAGTATTATTTTACACAAGTATATCTAGTATTATATCTTGTAATAATAAGATTGACCAATGTCTAAAAAATTAATAATCTGAATTGTTTTTGTTTGCATAGATACCAAGTGATTAGTACTCCAACAGATATTTTTATGGTGATGGAATATGTTGCTGGTGGTGAATTATTTGAATACATTGTTAAGCATGGAAAACTGAAGGAATCTGAAGCTCGTCGATTTTTTCAACAAATTATTTCTGGTGTTGATTATTGTCATCGTCATATGGTTGTTCATCGTGATTTAAAACCAGAAAATTTGTTACTCGACATAAATCAATGTGTTAAAATAGCTGATTTTGGTTTATCTAATATGATGATGGATGGTGAATTTTTGCGCACAAGTTGTGGTTCACCAAATTATGCTGCACCAGAAGTTATATCTGGTAAATTATATGCTGGACCAGAAGTAGACATTTGGAGTGCTGGGGTTATCCTTTATGCTCTTCTATGTGGAACTGTATGTACAAATGCTATAATGATGATAATAATAGATAACTAATACAAATTACTTTCTTATTTTTTTCAGTTACCTTTTGATGACGAACATGTTCCATCTCTTTTCCGCAAAATTAAATGTAAATGAATGTATGCTTTATAATTCTCATCCAATGAATGTGCATGCAAACTTGCATCAACATTCAATTTGAGTTTTCACGAACCTTAACCTTAAATGTGTAAGATGATGATATTAATACTAATATAATTTTTCTACTTCTTTTCATTAGCTGGCATATTTCCGATTCCAGATTATTTAAACAAATCAGCAGTCGATCTGTTGGTTCATATGTTACAAGTTGACCCTATGAAAAGAGCGACAATGGAGGATATAAAGTAAATTTTAAACTTTAAATTTATATTAATACGAAGCATATCTAACAATCAATAATTATCTCGCAAAATTTCTAATGTAGAAATCATGATTGGTTCAAAAAAGATTTACCGGCCTACTTATTTCCTCCAGCAAGTGAATCTGATGCTTCAATAATTGATATGGATGCTGTTAAAGAAGTCTGTGAAGTAAGTATAAAAAACAGCAAACAATCAAACCGTAGAAATGTTTATTAGCTAAAACTAAACATGAATGTTCTTATCATTTAATTTTTTAACAGAAATTTGGAGTTACCGATAAAGAAGTTCATAGTTCATTGTTAAGTGGAGATCCTCATGATCAATTGGCTATTGCATATAATCTTATTATTGATAATAAGAGAATAGAAGATGAAACATCAAAATTAGACATTAAAGATTTTTATGTCGCTTCATCGCCTCCTCCACCATCTACATTGAATGACAGTCCAGGTCGGTTTGGATCAAGTGGCAGTGGCCGACAAAGATTGTTAAGTGGGGGTGCCAGTACCTTGGAAAAGCACAAAGGAACACCTATGAAAAGAGCTAAATGGCATTTAGGTATACAACTTCAAACATTTTTGATTTAGCAAATTTTTTCCTAACTGAATTTTTGCTCTCTTAAGGTATTCGATCACAAAGTAGGCCTCACGATATCATGAATGAAGTTTTTCGAGCTATGAAAGCATTGGATATGGTAATTATTTAAAAAAGCTTTACTTTAATCACTTCTAATAATTTCTTTATCACAAATTACTAATTCTCTAATATTTATCGACAGGAATGGAAGATTGTAAACCCGTTCAATGTTCGCGCTCGTCGTAAGAATTCCCAATCTGGTCGTCACACTAAAATGGCTCTACAGCTCTATCAAGTCGATTATAAAAGTTACCTTCTTGACTTCAAGTCATTACCTAGTCTGGATGATGAAGAAATAAAAGAGGCTGAAGCGCAAAGCATCAGCAGCTCATCAAGCGATCCTTACTCAACAAAATCTCAATGTCATCATGTAATGGATTTCTTTGAAATGTGTGGTTCACTTATCACACAATTGGCTCGCTAGCATGTCGCTATATTAATTTCGCTGCAAAAAAAATCTGTTACTGACTAACGAAAAGTGCATAAATTATCAATTAATGTGTTACATGCCAATCAATATACATAAAAGTTTGCTCAAAGTTCTATTTCTTTTTACATAACTTTGATATGTGCAGTTTATGTAACCTCAAAATAATCTTTAAACGGTTTTAAAGCAATTCTAAATGTGCTAATTACTTTAATACTAAATGATCAAGAAAATTATAACCCATCTAAATTTGCTAATTTAAATCTTCTCTGAATCACTGAATTAATCGAGCAAAATTTGATTTACCTTCTCTTATCTTTTGTATGCAGAAGATTCAATAAAGTGTTGATTAAAAATGACGATCTTTTGAAAAACCATTTTTTTCACAGTCTGACAATTAAAGCACCAACAGAACGAACTTAATTTTGTTCAGTTTTCCATTGTATTGTGTTTCACAATTTCTTCCACCATAGATGCCGCCACCTTAAATTAACTTAAATGTTGTCTTTTACTGGAAATAAATTCGTGATTTTTTTCATATCAAGTTCCAGGGCTGAAAAAGTAAATCAATATTATTATTTACATTCAGCATCATTATCAATCAACCAGAACGCCATGAAAAGCACCAACACTTTTTTTAGTTGCAGGAGAATCAGAAAACTGGAGTTGATAACAATATTTATATCAGCTGTGATGCATTGAAAAACCGGTCAAAACCCATAAAAGAGGTAACCAAGTAACCAAATGTCTATATTATTCTCGGTATAGACTGCTTCATGTTAAATCAGTTTTTAGCTTGACTTTTTGATCTGTGTTTAATTAAAATAATAGTGAACACTTTTCGTTGATTAATTAATGGTAGCTATTGGATTATTTATTCTCTAATTGATTCTCTTGTATTCAACATTTATTATTTATAAACTTTTAAGTTCAAATTCTAATAATGGAAACTACAGAGCCTTTGGAACCATCAAGTAGTAGTGGTCAAGATGTTCAAAATCCTGAAACAAATGGAAGTGAACCATCAACAGCCAATGGCGCCAATACAATTGAGGCTAGAGCAGTTACTTTCGATCAGGTTGGTTTATTAATATTTTTCATCTTTTTATGTTATGATTAATAAGCAAACAGCTTTGTACGGCTCGTCAATTTAAGTTTAACCTTTTATAACTCTCATACAATGGTCTTAAATTGACTTTGCTTATCAATTTGACTTTTGACTTGATCTTATATTCTTATGACACCTTGATAATTTCATCATCTAACCTTTTATTTTTCAATCTCTTTTTAAAGTTTGTGGAAACTTGTAAAACTGAGCTTTCAGATGAGGCTAATTCACCTGAGCAGATTGCTAATCAATTGAACGGGTTGAAAGAAAAACATATCACATCGCCCATTTGGAAAAATAAAGTATTAGCCCAAATGCTATCTCATTTTGATTGGACAATACGTCTCGAAACAGATTTCTCTGCAAAGCATTTATTACTACACGATTTTAAAGAAGAGTTTAAAAGAGCAGATAAATATTTGTCTACCCTCAAAAGTAAGGATAAGAAAGAGCAGGTTAAGCTAATGAAAAAAATTAAAGAATTACAAACACGGATCAAAAAAGATTTAAGGAAAATCGATCGTTTGGACCAGGTAGAGCTGTCGATAGAAGATTTGGATAAAGAAGATTCGGCTCATGCTAAAAAAGAAAAGTACGAGAAAAGAGTTGCTCGTTTCGCGACTAAACTACTTACTCTTCAAGGCATGAATAAAACTTCATTCAGGATTCTTGACAAGGTGTATAGATATTCAGGTACCGAATATCCTGCTCTTAATGAGGCAATATCGAGTAAATATCGAGCTATCATGCAAAAGAAGTATAAAGGACGAGTACCCACCCGCCCAATGAATTCAACTCCCAATATCAAAGATATAATTGATATCATTAAAAATGTTAGCACGGAAAATAACTTCACCATTCCCAATATTGAAGAACTAGCTTTAAAAATTGCAGACGATTTAATCCGAGAAGTTCAAAGACGGCGTGAGATAGAGTTTCAAGAGATGATGAATGATTATGAACACGATTCACATCTTCGTCCGGAAACCTTTGCAGATCTAGCAAATGAAGAACTAAATAAACAGTTGGACTCGAATGATGAAACAAGTCGAGCAAAAATTCGTGACATTATGGATACGTTGAAAGCTAAAAAAGAATTTGTAGAAGATGCGGACATTGGTGGAGATGAGCCACAAAGTGAAGAAGAGGAAGAAGAAGATCCCATGGACGCATTGGAAGAAGATGAAGAAATTAGTGAGGATGAAGAGGCAGATGATGCTGTTGATAATGCCGAGGAAGAAGACGATGATGATGACCCAGTCATTTTAGGTAAGATATAGACTATTGAATCTTCAGTGTTTATCTGTTTATTAATGCATTTATTTTATTTTTCTTAACTCTCTACAGAGGAGCCAGCCAAGACTCAAAATGGAGATTCTCAAGTTCCTGAATCAACGGAATCGGTTGAAACAAAGAAACGCCCCATTGGTAGTGACTCTACTTCAGATGAGCAGCCAAAAAAGGCTAAAATTGAAGAATCTCAAGCAAAAGAGGAACCAAATAATTCTAATATCGAAAATAAAAGTGAAGAAACAGAAACAAAAACAGAAACAGAAACAGAAACAGAGATTTTACCATCCATTGAAACCAAAGAAGAAAAAATAATTGATGAAGCACCAAAAGTCGAACCAATCGAAGACATTACTAAAGAGGAAATCACTGAAAAAGAATGCATAGATGCCCAATCTGAAAATTCTAATTCATCTAATGTTGTCAGTTCCAATCAAGAAAAGATTGAAATCTTCAGCAATCATCCCAAAACAAGATCAGAATCTGAAGATAGCATTAAAATTGTCGATTTAGAAGCAGAAACAGACAGAGACAGAAGCAACGACGAACAATCAACTTTTAATGATGATATGATCGACGATGATGATGTTATTTGCTTGGATTAAACCATTCATCTATATTTTCCAACTTTCCGTTCTCACCATTTTCCTCTTGTTTACGGTTTCTCTGTGTTTGATAGTCATCGCTATGCTACTATCAGCTGTATAGCAACTAACACTTCTCTTCATCTCTTCACATCACATGATTCAAAGAAACAATTTTAAGTGATGATTTAAAGATAATCGTTTATCAGATTTTTTTTATCCTCGATTCTTTTCTTTTTAATTCTTCCTTCAAACAAGTTAATTTATGAAGCGAAATTTCTAAACATTTGATATCAAATCGTACTTTCACCAAACCAACTATGTTTTCAGGTTTAACCTCAAAGTTATTTGTTAATTGTGAAACGTTTTTTATCCGTCGTCTAAATATATCAACTACGTTTAATGTTAATTCAAAAATAAATGAAAATAATGAAAAGCCAACTCTAAAAGTTACTCCACTTAATCAATTTCACATAAAAAATGGTGGTAAAATGGTCCCTTTTGCTGGTTACTCAATGCCAGTTCTTTATTCCGATTTGTCAATCAATGACTCTCATCTTCATACCCGATCAAAAGCCAGTTTATTCGATGTGTCACATATGTTACAGACCAGGGTTTATGGAAAAGATAGATTCCAATTTGCCCATGATTTAACTGTTACTGATGTTAAAAATCTTAAACCCAATCAGGGTTCTTTGTCATTGTTTACAAATCACTCTGGGGGAATAATTGATGATTTAATCATTACTAACACTGATTCAAATTTTCTTTATATTGTTTCCAATGCTGGTTGCATGGAAAAAGATATTTCACTTATGGTTGATCATTGTGCCAAACTTAGAAATCAGGGTAAAGATGTTTCCCTTGAATTTATCAACGACGGCTATTCTCTAATTGCTCTCCAAGGACCTTCATCGATGAGCTGTCTACAGTCTCAGGTAGATTTTGACCTGTCAGTGCTTTATTTTATGTATTCAAAAGTATCTTCAATTGCTGGTATTGATGGATGCCGAATCACTCGTTGTGGTTATACTGGTGAAGATGGTTTTGAATTAAGTATCCCCAATGAATCGGTTCAAATAATTGTGGAGACATTACTTGATGCCTCTGACGGAACAATTAAGTTGGCAGGTAAAGTTTAAGTGATAAGATATTCATTCTGATATTCATCTTTTATCAAGTTTATTTTATCACTCAAGAGAAGATGAATGTATGAAATTGGTTATTATAATAACAATATCAGATTGATTTAATGTTCGATAATCGTATAGATAATCTACTTTAGAGCGTTGTATTTGCTAGGCAATCATTTGATCAGATTTTGTCAAACGTCTACGATCTGGAAATCATCTAGTAAATAAAGAGCTACAGTAGAGTACCCACTCAGATTCAAAATTTAACCAGCAACAATAATTTGATAAAGATTTCTCTTGTTTCCCGCAGAATTGCAAATTGCATAATAGATTTTCGTATTGCTATTTTGAAATGCTCTTTTAGAGTTAATTTCTGGAAATAGACATTTAAGCAAAAATGAAATTTAGGTGATTACTTAATCGTTTCTTTTTGTTTTTCATCACACTACAGGACTCGGGGCTAGAGATACGTTAAGACTCGAAGCTGGTCTTTGTTTGTATGGCAATGACATTGATGAAGCTACAACACCGATTGAAGCTGGACTAGCTTGGACTATAAGCAAAACACGTAGAGAGACAAGAGATTTTCCCGGAGCTGATATAATAATGAAACAGCTGAAAGATAAGCCAACTAGAAGGAGAGTTGGCCTTAAAAGTGTTGATAAAGGTCCACCAGCAAGACATGGTTTTCAAATACTAGACTCAGAAACTGGGGCCGAGATTGGCAAAGTTACAAGTGGCTGTCCATCGCCGTCTTTGAATACCAATATAGCGATGGGTTATTTGAAGGCAGGTAAAGGCAAGCTTGGATCAACAGTGAAATGTTTGATAAGAAATAAACAATATGAATTCGAGGTGACAAAAATGCCTTTTGTACCATCTCAATATTATATGGAATAAAACATTAATAAAGAATAAACACTTGAAATCCGGTTAATTTATCGTTTATTAAATCGTAGCTATTGAAACAAATTAATTGGTTGCAGCGGTCTGTTGTTGAGGAGCTTTGATTGGAGCACTACGGAAGCCATTTCGGAAACGTCGGTGGACTCTTCTCAAGTGTCGGCATCGTCCAGTACCAGTGGTCTTCCTACGAATAGCCTTAACAGACCAGTTAACTGATAAAATAAGAATATTTCAATAGATTAGAGAACTGATCGATTATATTTATCAGCGGTCATGTGGATATTAAAAAACACATTGATACGTACACTTTCTTATCCTTCTATCAGGGTAACCACAGGATGCACATTTACATTTCTGAATGTGATATGAAGATCGGCCACACCGTCTGCACAAAGTGTGGGTCTTATTTCGCCGCTTACCAAATGATGATGTACCTTTGGTCTAAAATAAAACACACCAAGACATTATAATTTAACTCAATAAAACCAAAAGCCTAACACCAAAAGAAAAGCAATTTAATTAACTTACCATGATTAAATTAAATTTTTTTCAAACTATGATAAAGATTAATTAAACACTCAATAAGTAACTAGAATACAACCAAACTTAAAAAGGAAACGGAAAGCTGCATATACCAGCTATTTCTGCAGCGCCATCTATTTAAAAAGAATAGAACTGACGCCATCAAGCCGAAAGCCACTAACAAGCCACTAACAAGCCACTAACAAGCCACTAACAAGCCACTTGTAAGATTGGCTAGAAGGAGCCAAGCTTGTAAGCGCTCATTTCTTGCATAACTCTTTAATTTCAACATGCAACCTGTCGCAGTTTAATTAACTTGTTGATACCATCAAAATGTCATCGAAAACACCACCCAAAATTGGAACTACTCCCCTTGCTTTTTTAGATGTGCTTAAGCAGGTCACATCTTTTAGGGTAACATCAGTTTTTAGTTCTCGTTCACCTACCCAAATCGACAACTACATCTTTAAGCTCCATTCAACCGTGACAATTTTAATTCTATCAATCTCCATCGTTTTTGTTGGTATGAAACAGTACTTTGGAGACCCAATCGAATGTTTAAATGCTGGTTCCCCTCAACTAACTCAAGCTCAGATGCAACATTTTTGCTGGATGGAAGGAGCGTTCACCATTATCAGTAGATATTCAGGGAATCCAGAACGTCTAGCTGAAGTGACGGGACTGGACAATGCCTACCCTGGGATAAAAAGTTACCATCCACACAAAGGTGATCTTAAAATGCCCCATAAATACTATCAATGGGTTTATTATATATTATGCATTCAGTGTATCCTATTTTATGCGCCAAAGTACTTATGGAAGAGAAGAGAAGGAGGTAGACTACAAGATCTCATCGATAAAATCAAAGATCGACACATTCTGCAGTACGAGGGTCTAGACCGATTTCAGGTGGTCCAAGACACTTTAGATGTGATGCTGATTGCTGACGAGTTTTTTAGCTGGATTTTTTTCTCGGAGCTGCTATACCTTTTACATCTCGTGATGGAGATATTTTTCCTGAATGCATTTCTTGGTGGCAAATTTTTATTGCTCGGTTTTCAATGGCTTCACTATACGCTCAACTCTGATAATATTGCATTCGATCCGTTGATTAGGATGTTTCCTCGTCTAACTAAATGCTCATTTCATAAGTATGGTACTTCTGGTTCCCTAGAGACTTACGACACACTATGTTTCATGCCATTAAACATAGTCAACGAGAAAGTTTTTGTGATACTTTGGTTTTGGTTTTTGGCTCTTCTTCTCGCTACAATTTATCATATTTTTATTTATCGAACTATTATGATCTCAATACCTTGGTATCGATACAAAAGACTTGCAGCTATAGCCCCAACTGCGAATAAACGTTTTTTGAAAAAAATATCTAAACGTCCTGGTCGGTGGTTTGTAATGAATACAATTGCAGCTAACTTAAAGCCTTATTTCTTTAGAGATCTCCTCGATAGACTTCAAGAAGATCACTTCACTGAAAAACTCTGCCTTGAAACCAAAGTGACTATGAATAATTTTATTGTCGATGGTAAAGTACCAGTTGGTAATACTTTCATCGTTGCAGTGGAAAAAAAGAAAGAAAAGGATAAAGATTCATCCAAGAAGAAGAAAAAGGATAAGGATAAAGACAAGGATAAAGACAAGGATAAAAGCCCATTTACAGATTCAGGTGCAAAGGAAGAGACTTCGGATTGGCCCGATTCTACAACCGACACTACGACAACGAAAGATACTTCTGGTTGGGGTGACTGGGGTAATGAATGGGATTCTAAAGATCCTAAATGACATCACGACAAATTAGCTATTAGTCAGTAGTTAGTTTCCACTAGACTTTCCAATTTCAGACAAAAAATACTTTAAACTCAAAATATCTCAATTAGTCAACAAGTTCAAAATGATTAAGAAAGACAAAAATGTCATTTAACTGTTTATACTCATCGTAATTATAATGGTGACTATCAAATGAACAAACTAACAAGGTTAGTTTAACTGGTCAAAATTCATCATAATGACACTTAATCGCCATGCTAGTCAAGCTTAAATTTAAAGTCAAATCTTCAAACTTCCATTTAATGCAATATTTAATCAATTGGCTCATCTTTTCGTTGATCACCATCATCGTTATTCTCATTGTTTATCTATTCATTTTTCTTGCCGTTAAATCATTATAGCTCTATTTTCATACGTTTCTTGTTTAATACTTAACTCTCTAGAGTTATCAAATTAAACTACAATCAAAACCCCTCTTTGTATTAACTTTTTCATAATATAAACTTTTTCAAAATATATTGCAATAAGCTTTGTTGAGTTTATGATAAATTTGCTTCTCTAATTTTGTTTAACATGCTTAAAATAGTTTTTCTTCTTACAAGCTAAGAACGATGTTGAAAGAAGCATTTGTTTTATTCAAGTTAAAACAATACCAAGCATTCATAAGAGCTTTCAAATATGCTATCATGTTGAGCTTGCAACAGCAAGAAGTGTCAGTGCAAGTGACAGTTGATAATCAGATAATTAAAGCGATTCGAATAAGCTTTCGTTTGATTTTTTAGCACTTTCCAGCTCAGATAAAAAAAACTGAACAAGTTCAATTAGAGCTATCAGTTTGTCTTAGCTACTTGTTTTCATTGATAATCTTTAATTGATAATATTTATATTTTCTGCTAAATGGTCAATGGACCCAAGATAATTATTTATTAGAGTCTATTTGAATCTCAAATAGCAAATAGAGAGCAAATAAATAAACAATTGAATTCATCATCAATATTGCTGATAAAGCAATTCAATCTTGATCCAATAAATGGTCAATTTTAAGTATCACCGCAGTAAGACAAGAAAACAGAACTGTAATTAGAAATTTTTAAAATCATTTACTTTATTAAAATAATGGCAGTGAGAATTTTGTTTATCGTCATGATAAATATGGCATGGGGAGTCGATTAGAAATACAACAAAGATGATAATGATGCTTTCAGTCTTTGAAATAAACATTGAAATGTCAGTTTGAATATTGACAGATCAGAGTACAAAGTACAATGAACACGAAATGTAAACAGTCAATATTTACCAAACAATACCAAGATTGTCATTTTTAGTTTCTTCCACTGGCCAACCATCGTCCTTAGTATTAGTATCATCTCCCCAGCCATCCGAAGCATTGTTCTTATTAGCATTTTCTTCACCAGAACTTGTTGGCTGTTCTTGAGTTATAAATCCAGGCGGTGGCGGCTTCGATTTGGGAGGTGCTGTTGGTGCGGTACAAGGAACTTTACCATCGACAACGAAATCATTCATGGTCACTCTGCTATCAAGGCGGAAATTTTTGGTGTAATGATCTTCTTGCAGTTTATCGAGAAGGTCTGCGAAGTAATAAGGCTTTAAGTTTGATGCAATTGTATTCATTACAAACCACCGACCAGGACGCTTAGATATTTTTTTCAGAAAACGTTTATCCGCAGCTGGAGCAAGAGCTGTGAGTCTTTTGTACCGATACCAAGGTATTGAGATCATAATAGTTCGATAAATAAGAATATGATAAATTGTAGCTAGTAAAAGAACCATAAACCAAAACCAAAGCATTATAAAAACTTTCTCGTTGACTATGTTTAATGGCATGAAACATAGTGTGTCGAAAGTCTCTAGAGAACCAGAAGTACCATACTTATGGAATGCGCATTTGGTCAGACGGGGAAACATCCTAATCAATGGATCGAATGCAATATTATCAGAGTTGAGTGTATAGTGAAGCCATTGAAAACCGAGCATTATAAATTTTCCACCAAGAAATGCATTTAGGAAAAATATTTCCAATACGATATGTAAAAGGTAGAGAATTTCTGAGAAAAAGATCCAGCTAAAAAACTCGTCAGCAATCAGCATCACATCTAAAGTATCTTTGACTACAAGGAATCGGTCTAGACCCTCGTACTGAAGAATGTGTCGGTCTTTGATTTTATCAATCAGATCTTGTAGTCTTCCTGCTTCTCTTCTCTTCCATAAGTACTTTGGTGCATAAAATAGGATACATTGAATGCATAATATATAATAAACCCACTGGTAGTATTTATGGGGCATTTTAAGATCACCTTTTTGTGGATTGTAGCCTTTTACTCCAGGATAGGCATTGTCCAGTCCAGTCACTTCACCTAGGCTTTTTGGATGCCCTGCATAACTACTAATGATGGTGAACGCTCCTTCCATCCAGCAAAAATTTTGCATCTGAGCTCGAGTTAAAGTAGCTGAGTCAGGATTCAGACATTCGATTGGGTCTCCAAAATACTGTTTCATACCAACAAAAACAGTGGAGATGGTTAAAATGTAAATGGTTACCGTAGAATGGAGCTTGAAGATGTAGTTGTCGATTTGTATGGATGAACGAGAACTAAAAACTGATGTAAACTTCAAAGATGTGACCTGCTTTAGCACATCCAGAAAAGCAAGGGGATTACTTCCAATTTTGGCTGGTGTTTTGGATGACATTTTGATGAGATCAAAAGAAATGAAACTTTAGGCTTTGTCACTGGGTCAAAATCAAAAAATAAAATAAGAAAGTTGGACCACAACCTGTTAGTACGGACAAAGAAAGAGGGAGGCACCGCTAAATATCTTTGTATTTTTCAGATCGATATTTATCGCTCGTTTAAGAGATCGATCGACTTAGCAAAAAGATCGATCGAAAAGATCGATCACCACTGTGATCATATTTGAGAAGAGTCATCAAGCCACCAATGAATCAAAAATAATTTTGACAACTTTCGAGCAACTGTTGATTGATTATATAACAGATAAATCAAATGATAGATGGCGATCTTGATACAAAAAATGTGATATAAAAATAAAACGCTAGTTCTTTTGCTGCCATCTACTGGGTTTGACAGGATCATCATTTTATTCTGAATGTTTTGGATGGGCCTGATGCCTTTTTTCAACTGTAAAAACTGTTTAATTTTATCACCTGTTTGAAGTTGAATCTGTTTTGAATTTCTCACTATCTCATTTCTTGAGTTTGAGTGCTTAAAAATATGGCTGAAGGTGACAGGCCATCATCATCTGCTGGTAACCGGCGACGGACTGGTTTAAAACAATCTCTGAGTGTTGATAATGCGTGCATATTTGAAATGGAAGGACTCGACTTTGAAGGTGATTTTAACAATTTCAATTCGGCTAGTAAGTCAAGTCACAGGACAAGAGATGACAATGAATTAACTAGTGATTCAAGTGGCAGAAATGGTGACAACAACGATAACAACAATAATAGAAAAAGAAATAATGTTGAATATAATGATACTGACGAGGATGAGGAAGATAAGAACAATGAAGACGATGATGATGAAGATAATTGTGATCAGAGGGATGTTAGAAATATGTTCGACAGAATGAGCCTGGACTCTAAGTGTACTAGACAGTTTGCTACCTCTTTACCTATTCAAGTGCCTATTTGGAAAACATCTCCCCTTGTCCAAGAGTCTGACGATGGTGATGACGAACAAAATGTAAGATAATTTTAATTTTATTGCTATCGATTTCCATTTAAGTCGACCTCTTTCCGTATCCTATTCTGTTTTACCTTCGCCTTTCCTTGTTTATCATTGACGTTTCAACCGTCATCCGATTCTCAGAATTAGTTTAGATTTCATTAAAATAACTGGTCCAATCAACTAACTTTAAAAATGCTTTATTTTAGATTAACTTTGACAAGGATCCAATGAAAATTGCAGAAAGCTTACGTGCATTGGCATGGAGTGTCAAAGATGGCACGGAAATGTTCGGTGATCTTCCCCGTCATCGTCTCAAACCAAGGCCTATCTAATGAATCGCTAAATTCCTGCGATTTGTTTATATAAATTTCTTTTTTCACCTTTTCTCTGTTCCTCTTTGCATCCCCTGCTTTTGTTTTTTCTCTCTTTCCATCGCTTTTTTGCCTTCAATCTCATATTGTAATACTGTCATACAATAAAAGTAAACAACAATCATCTTCTTCTTTCTTTCTCTTCTTTAAATTCCTTATCCTCATTTGAGTATTTTTTATTGATTTTCCAGTTTTGGATTTGGAATTGTTGCTTCTAATCGTGTTTTAAAGTACCGTTGTAAGCACAAAATGTACAAGTAAATAAACAAATAAAGAAACCAAATTGTAAATTAATCATCACAGAGTTTAATGGATTGTTATTATTAGATGTTTATTGACTTGCATCAGATGTTTAAACCTTTTTGTAGCTTTTGTATCTAAATTGATCGACAAAACAATAATGTGTACCAATAATGAAATGATTAATATATTTGCTATTAACATAATGATCATCCATTACCTGAATGTAACTGTCTATCATGCAATATTAAAATAACTTGATATCACAAAATAAGGGACCGGCTTTTTTCCACCACTTTTTTTTACCGTCTTTTCACCGTATTGTCCACCATATTGTCCACCACCCAATCTAACACATCCAATACATCCACCAAATCAAACATTATCACTTTTTAAAGAAACTTTTCTCAACAAAATTGTCCACCACTTCAGAGTGGCTTTTTTTCACCACATTTTTCGACCACTTTAAGAGTGGCTTTTTTCCACCACTGCTTTCGGCCACTTTAAGAGTGGCTTTTTTCCACCACTGCTTTCGGCCACTTTAAAAGTGGCTTTTTTCCACCACTTTTTTCGACCACTTTAAGAGTGGCTTTTTTCCACCACTGCTTTCGGCCACTTTAAAAGTGGCTTTTTTCCACCACTTTTTTCGACCACTTTTTTTGTGGTGGATAAAGTGGTGGATGTGGTGGAAAAAAGCTGGTCGCCCAAAATCTCTTTGAAAGGTTTTTTCATTAATATACGAGTTGATGTGTATTTAATTAATTTATTTTTGATTTGAATAATAACAGCTTAAATATTTTCTTTTTTGTTATACCGATTGTAATAATATGTTATAATGTTCTCAAATTTTGATGAACTATCTCTTAATCTGCAAAAACTGAACAAAAATCCGTAACAAAGGTTGTGACATAGAGAATGAAAAATCTGGGTGAGAATGAAAAGAATGGAAACAACATTATTGAAATAGCGCTAATAGGATAATAAACAACAATAAACTCTTTCCTCTTAAGAATAGATCTGACATGTTTTGTTATCCACCATAAAATACCAGAGAGCAAGAGGAAACGGAAAAAGTGTCATACTGACAGCATTATTCTCAGCAAGAAAGAAGAACAAAAAAGAGAAAACAAAAAGCGATGGTAATTGCTAAAAAATATCGTGGAGTTATTAAGCTTAACACTAATCACCGAGATATTACTTCCAAACTTTTTGAAACAGCTCCATAAAACTGTCATAAATCATGAATGTTATGGCTACATCAAGGCAAACACGTCCAAGCCTTGGAACTGTTCCCTTATAAAAAGCAAAAAATCCTTCATTTTTTGCAATTTGCATAAAACAATCGAATGTGTTTTTGTACTTCTTAGCTTCCAAACCCTGGTAATACAAATTAAAAGAGAAACAAGAAAAAAGAACAAATTACTTGTTAGCTTTCAAATACTATGAGAAAGAAATTTGCATCAAAATTTTACCTGCATACGAGTTTTGACTACATCAATTGGTGTATTACCAAAGACACTTGCAGCGCCAGCAACAACACCAAAACATCCTGTAACGAGTTTATTCACCGGTTTACTGGAATCACCGCCTCTATACCAATCTTTCATAGTTTCCATGACGAAGAAACGAATGGCTTGATTACTTCCTTGCTTCATTATTGTGGCAGTTAAACCTGGAAAGAAAAGAAATCAATTTTATAATTAGTTCCGTGAAACAAAATACTAGTAAATGCTTGATCTTCGCTGGAATCATAAAATTTGATTTAGTCTTTGAGGTCTTTGATTTGCCTGGTTGCATGTTGATGTTTTTCTGTTCATCAGCCAAACTCAAATTAGTTTTTCTCTTATGTAATAATCTTGATATTCAGTTCCAAAAGATAAAGATGGAAAAATTCTTCATGTGTATGCGTAGTGCAGATAAGTTCGTGAGCTTCAGAAAAAAATAGTGTAAATCGAATAGAAAGAAAATTGAGTAAATGTGAGAAAAGAGAAAAGGTTATTAGGTACATTAAGAGAGAAATATGTAAATTTGAATAGCTGACAAGTTTTTTTTGTTTACAACTGGCTAAAGAGGGCTTACAAAAATATTGTTTTTCTAAGAAATAGTTAAATGTACTTTACAAAAATCCAAGCCAAGTGAAGAATAACTTAACTTACAAATATAGCCTACAATAACTTATATTTTAAATCAAGGGCCACCATTTTTCAAGCATTATTACATAGTTGTAGCAACTAAAAGGGGTAATTGGTCTTATAAAGCAAATCAAGGTTTTTACCTTGATAAGTTCCTTTTATGCCTTCTTCTTTAACAATGCACCCAACTCCATGGAAGAAACCTTTGTATTTAGGCTTAAGACTCTGTTGATCATTAATGAATTTGACTTTAACTGTTTCCATGGGGGTAACAGCAAGTATAGCTTCACAAACACCAGCACCAAGACCACATAAGAGTCTTTGAGATACACCAAGATTTCCTTTAGAATCAACATTTCTCTTCTTAAGCTCTTCAAAGGCTCCGAACCTATCAGATAAGGGCAATCAAAATTAGTTTCATTCAGTTAATGATGGCAATCCATGATTACTAACCTGACAGCTGATTTTGGTATACTACCATAAAGTAAAACTGATAAACCACGATATAAACCAGGAACACCATGACTTCGGACCGTTTGACGGACTACATCGACAATTCCATTGTATCTGGGTTTAGCTGATCTTTCATCAAGCTGTAATTGAGTTTTAACATACTCAGTTGGAAATGTAATACAAATCTCAATGGCTCCAGTGATTCCACCTTGAAACGAGAAAAGATGATAAGAAGAAAAAATTTATATGAGAAACACAATTTAGTATAAAATAGATGAATCATTGACCATGAAAATAATGAGGTAAATTATCAAGAATCTTCAAGGTGCAAGTATTATAAATACTGATGATGGCGATAACCATTTGAATTGGTAATTTAATCATGCTTACCTGCTACGATACCCTTAATGGCTGCTTTGGGACGAGGTTGAGATGTGGCAGAAGAAGCTGGAGAAACCGTTGTTTGAACCATGTTTGTTATCAATTGTAGGTTATATTAAACTTATGTTATATAAAACTTAGGGTTACCCAAAACAGAAAATATATATAATTATTTATATATATCTTTTAATGGCACAACCTTGTAACTTTAATTAATCATAGACAGCAGATTAGCTACAAAAACATCTACTACAAGAATAAGAAATAAATTTTAAAATAAAACGCTGACAATCATTATTGTAGGTATCTGGTCGAGCTGCTTTTATGTTGTTGTTGTTTTGGTTGATGGTGATGGTGAACGCGGTGGTCTTTTGAAAAAAAGAAAAAGATAGACTATTAAAACAAGGAATATGATTTTTGATCAAGATGGTTCTTAAAGGGTAGTGGGGTGATAACACGATAGAAACGGTATGTGAAAAGGCAAGATAAAGAGCAGTGATAAAAGTCAAAGAGGAGATAATTCACAACCACAATTGCTTGATGAGGCTTTTTTTGTTACATAAAATATATTGATAGTGTTTCCAAGTCACTGCTGACTTAGTTACATCAGGGTAGAATGGTTAAGAATGGAGTTAAAGCTTATAGTAAAGGAATGAAGCTGGTTTAGTGTTATGATGATGCTTCTGGTGATGATGATAGTAATGTAGAGAAAGGTGAAAGATGATGAGAAAGAGAGGGATAACAGATGAGGAAGAAGGAAAATTAATAGGGAAAGCTTGACTGTAAGCAAGTTTAATAGACAAATAAAGACGCATAAGGAAAAACTGGGTTAGAGAGATGAAAGAGAGAGAGAGAGGAAAGATAGGATAGAAATCAAAAAGAAAGTTCAATTTTTAAAGAGGCTACACATTTATTCATCGAAATCTATCTACCTTTTACTCGATGTAGCATCCAAAATATCTCGATACTCTTCAATATTATCAGGCCAAAGCTTGACTCCTAAAAACACTGGATATTTTGCGTGAGGGTTGAAATTTCTTCCTATAGCATAAACGATAAGCAGAATGAAACCCAAAGAGAGAGAGAGAGCCCTCAGTTTTCGCTTTTGTTTGACACTAACACTTTCTGGTGGACCAAAGGAACCCTCATAACGAAAATATAACCAACGAGCTTGCAAACGGTCCAAAAGTCTTTCAATTTTATTGAGTAATGGGTTGTTAAATCTACCACCTCCTTGTCCCACGCTGGAATAACATGCACACTTGAGCTGTTTCCCTAAAAGATTGTGTTGCCTTTGGACGTGAAAATATTGTCTACTTAATAAACATCTAGTCCAACCATATACCTGAGGATTGACACTTTTACCAAGATGTTGAAAACGTGATTGATTAACTAATTTGAAAATAATTGGAGACATCAGAGTTACCGGTAAACTGTTACAATATTAGAAAGATTTTTTCACAGCTTTACCAGTTTGCTCTTGGGGGTGAACTTAACAGTTGATGCAATCCAAAACCTAGCTTGATGTTTTTTATCTCCAAAAAGGCATAAAGGGCATAAAGCTTGAAAAATATTCAATCAACCCTTTCTGAGTTTAGATATTGAACTAAAAGTGTATTGAAATTACAAAATTAGATGATAAAGCAACATTTGATATTAATAAATTGATCTGGTCAACCATTACCATTGGGAAAAATGAGTTAAAGTTTGAGACAAGTTTCGTTTAGATGAGTATTCAGTTTGCAGTTTTGATCCCATGATCATGTAAATTGAAATAGTCAACTTTCCTTGATTGAAATATGATGAAAACGTCAGAAAAATTAAGTATTTCAGTTTAAAATGAATTAATTAAATCAACAAGCAAATTTTCATTCTTCGGACGAATTTGAAAAAACCGCTTTTTCTTTTACGTATTTTCATACTCCGCCCCTCACACGAACTTTCTGCCAAAATAAACATATGGTAAACATGCTTTATGGCTGTAAACATATGTTGTTTCCTAATTAGTCTATTAATTTTGTGACTTTTTTTCCTTAGTTCAACTCAATTTAACACTTTGACCCTTTTCATTATGACCCATGTGAATCTTAACGACGGCAGATACACTGCCACTCTTTTTAAATCACATATTGAAAACAACGATACTAGTGAATGCGATGACGATGAACAATGGACTATTGAAATATTTGAAAGAGATTTGGATATAACCATCGTTAAAAATGATGAAAATCTTATGGAAATTGAATTTTTAAATATTGATGCTCCTATAGTGAACGCATTTAGACGTATCATTATGTCTGAAATTCCCACAATGGCTATTGAAAAGGTTTTCATTGGAGAAAATACAACCATTTTCCAAGATGACTTTTTGGCCCACAGATTAGGCCTGATTCCAATTAAAGCGGATCCTCGATTATTTGAATATCGTGATGAAAATGATATGGAAGGTACTCCTCAAGACACTATCGAATTGTCTTTAAAGATTAAGTGTGTCAAAAATCCAGAAGCATCTAAAGAAACCGGCGTTACTGATTTATATCTGAACAGAAATGTTTACTCTAAAAGTATCAAATGGGTGCCTTTAGGAAATCAATCCTCTTTCATAAAGGAGACTATTAAACCTGTTAACGATGATATTCTAATTGCAAAAATATCCCCAGGACAAGCATTGGATTTAAAGCTACATTGTGTTAAGGGAATCGGACGAGATCACGCCAAATTCTCACCTGTTGCTACAGTTTATTATAGATTACATCCGGCAATTGAAATAACAAGACCAATCCATGGAGAAGATGCTAAATTACTTCAGTCTTGTTTCTCTAAAGGAGTCATTGAAGTTAAAAAAGATAGATCTGGTAAAGAAACCGCTGTTGTCGCCAATGCGCGCGATGATTCATTGAGCAGAAATTATTATATGTACAAAAAATTTGAAGATGCAATCAAGATGGGCTTAAAGAAAAACCATTTCATTTTCTACATCGAATCGACTGGCATACTATCATCTGAATCAATATTCAATGAATCTGTTGAAATCCTGATAAGCAAGTGCAGAAACTTGTTGAGAGAAGTACAAGAATTGAAAGAATCTTGAAAGATGGCTAAAAACTTCCCGCTGTGTTGCAAATCCAGATGTAAATTATTTTGTCATGAAAAATATCTTTATGGATTAAAAATAATAATAAATTATGTAAAAATAATAAAGTTACACTAAACGAATTTTTCCAGCTTACAATTGTTAGTAATTCTCAATATTAATCGAATTAGTTGAGAACAATTAAATTAGCAAATTGACGTTCATCGCGATTTTGGTGGCTTACCCGTCTATACAATCATATCTTTATTAGTATTTCAGTCCGGAGGATGGCAGATCAGTCAATCTTAATTATCTAATCTTGAATAAATATGATTTATTGATGTGTCGTATTGGTGATTTGATAGTCGTCTAATTTCATAACCATTGTAATTGTACATATGTTGGCTGAAGAAAACTGAACTGATTCTTCCGTTTCGCTGCAAATCTGATACTTATTTTCGTGCTTCAAGTTCACATTTTTCCAACAATACATATTTTTCATGACTAATTAAAATATAACAAGTGATCTTATCTGTAAATACCATTAAAATGACTGTGAAAAGAAGACAAGAAAAGAAAGTATTATATGGCAATGAATCATGGAACAAGAGGTAAAGCAGATCTTTCTATTCAATTTAAAGATATTTAATTACGGGAATCAATCTCAACTAATAACTTTATTCTCCGTTTCAGATTGTCTACCTTTTTCATCTCAAATTGGACTATTATGCTCATCGTGATCAATTTGCTCATCTTTCTCTGGCTTTTAAAGTCTCAGAATCAAAATATGACTCCAGGTAACTGCGTGAAGGAAAATCAAGACGGTAACTTTGTTTTAGATGTATTCTAATAAATTGTTATGTTCTTTGGAATTCAATTTTTAATGTTTTACTTACAATACTTACAATTATCAGTTTTCCAGTCTGATTCGCCTCTTCAGTCGGTGCAGACAGCCCAAGCTGTTCGATTTCCAGATGTACATCAATCAGCTCTTCAACCCGAAGGCTGCTTAACACTTTATTGGCAAGATTTTTCAAAGCAATTCAACAAACAGTGTTTTAGTGATTATTACGACAATGACGAGATCCATCTACAGAGAGAAATCAATCGTTTAGCTTCATGTTATGAATCTGTCAACAATTTTTATAAAAACCCAAATACTTATTTTAATTTTTTACCTGTTCGCATATTTCCATCTACACACAAAAAAATCATCTCCTTTTCATTGTATGGCTCATCCGATCGTTATTTTGGTAGCATTGTTAAAATAATTCGACTGTACAAGACTTTATTACCGGATTGGATTCCAAGGTTTTGGCTTGGATCAGACGTGCCTTTTATCCTAGTCAATCGCATAATCTATGAAGGTGCCGAAGTAATTATCGTCTTCCAACAACCAATCAATGAAACAGAATCAAGAAAACCAAGTTACCATGGGATGTTTTGGCGATTTTTTGTTGCTGATGATGTTAACGTCGAGCGATTTATAATACGAGACGCCGATTCCATGCCAATTCAACGGGAAATAGATGCCATCAACCAATGGATTCAAGATAAAACAATGTTCCATGTAATGAGAGATCATCCTCAACATGCCATTGAAATATTGGGAGGAATGTGGGGAAGTTTGGTTAATCCCACAGTACTCAATATTACACAGTTGTATGGGAGGGCATTAAAGGCTGGCTATAGTGCACTTGACGGAAGAGGACCTGATCAAGGTTTTCTGCAAAAATATGTTTGGCCGATCGCTAAAACAATAATGACTTGCCATGCATCATATCGTTGGAAATGGGTTGATAACAGAGGATGCAAAGATTTTCCTACCCCTAGAGTGGGTAAATCTTTTATCGGAGAAATAGTAGGAGACTACGGAAAAAATATTCCCATTAAATAGCCAATATTAATAATATATTAATATAAATAGTGCAATTTTTAAATTAAATTATACAAAACTCGTTTAACAAAATTCGTAAAACACCCAATCATTTACTTGCAGTAGAAACACCTCAGAGATCTAAATTATGATAAAATCAATATTAGGTTTCCACTCATGGTCGACCAATTTTGATTCTGTACATCTTATGATCATTGACTACAAATTGGTTTTAGATTGAAAAAAGGTGAAATCAATCAGTTTGATCATTTTAATGGCAAAATTGATTTCCGACGAGTTTGTGTTCTGAAACAAGCAGAAGTAGCCTGAGTAACACATGAATTGACGTGTTGCTGGGTTGATTTTGCTGAATTTATAAAATGATATGACACATAATGTTGGAAATACATGACTTGTTGACAGAGTAGATTGTTATTGTGAATGTCATTTCAAAGTAGGAAATGAATAGATGAGGCTGCCGCGCGATTTCAAGTATTTTTGACTCATGGTGTAGTTGACAATGCATCTAAAGTTTTGGGTACAGTCAGTATCTTAAATGCCAAGTAAATGCATTAAACAATTGTATTTAAAATAAAATAAACCTTTATGGTTTAGTAATTTAATGTCACAAAAGAATTGTCGATATTTACAGTGGTTTGTGATCAAAATTACATTGATTGTCAATCAAATTGAAAATAAAAAATAATCTAAAAAAATATAACTATTAAGTATATGAATACTCTACAAATTTTGGAAATAAAATAATCTATGAAATACTGAATGATTAGACAAGAATTTAAACTAAGATCTAAATGATCGTCTATGTAACATGCTATTAGATAACATGGGACTTGGAATTAAAATTGGATTTGATGATAAAAGTGATGATTCCAAAAGTGAACGCTTGATTGATGTAGGGAAAACAATTGGACCTGTTGATGGAAGTGATGTTAATGAAGTGGAAGGCAGAGCGACCATTTGATTAAAAGGAAGGTTTTGTGTTGAACTTAAGCTTGGCATTCTAATTATACGATATTTGGCTTTACTTTTGTTACTTCTTTCACTCGAAGACCTTCTTCGAGATTTACTTTTGTTCTTGTTTCTTCTTCTTGAAACCCAGCCATCACCAAAAGCTTTCACTGAATTTATTTTATGATTAGAAATTGATGAATTTTCATCCCAAGATCTTGATTCTAGACGGTCCGAGTCTAGATTGAGGTTATCTCTCGATCGACTTCTAGATTTTGATTTCTTTGATTTGCGCCTTCGATTTCCGTTTTTCCGTGAATTTTTCTTTCTCTCAGCAACTGGTTCGACCACTATTTTAGCCGATTGCTTTGAGGAAATTAACTGGCTTTCTTGTAATTCTTTCTGGTTAAGATAGTCCAACCATGGATCATCAACAATTATAACTGACTCTTTTGTCGTTTTATTGTTCTTATTGACATTCTTGTTTTGATTTTTTGATTTTGATTTAACAATGTTAGATGATTCAATCTTGTAAGCTTTAGTCACATTCAAATCACTTTTACTTGTCAATTGATCAGGCTTTGAAGTGGCCAACGAATGATTCATTGTAACACTTGAGTTGCCTGGTGAACTGGTTTGATTGATTGTTGTGTCTGTAGTTGGATCAAATGTCGGTGTAGCGGTTACTGTTTGAGTCGTGGTCATTGGCTCAGGTGTAACTGCATAGTTAATTTCGGTGGAATTACCAATCCGGACTACATGTGCTTGTGTTGACTCAGCCACTACTTGTTCACCAGAATAATTTGGGTTGTATCCATATTTTGAAGTTTTAGGTTCCTCAACCGATTTATCTTTGTACGTGTAAACTTTACGCTTGATAACTTTATAATCTCCACTTGAATCACCTTCATCCTCTTCGATATATTCATCTTCATCGTCAGAATCACTTGATGCAGTTTCTTTGATTTCAACAATTTTTACTTTTCTCCTAGTGTCTAAAGCTGAAGGAATACCATAATAGCTTGAATCTTCGGTCGAGTCCATTGTCGAGTATTGTCTTTGAGTTTCACTCCAAGGTGAGGCCATTTCTGATCCCATCACAGCCATGGCTGATTCCTCCAACATACCGGGCATTAGATGGCCACCAGTGACTGACATAGAGCTAGCTGGTGGACCAAGAATTTTATGAGAGATCACAATATGTTTCACTGGTTTCTCTTTCTCCTTTTCAATAATCTTAATCTTTTCCACTTTAGGTGATTTATCACTATCCGATGAAGAGTCCGAATTGTATGGTCTTTTACCGCCAACAGCAAAAGTAACACTTAACGGTGATGCACCATCCCATCCACCATGATGTGAGATTAACCCAAATGGTCTTCGGAGAGCACCAAAAAGGTAACCAGAGATAACTGTTTTAGCAATGGTACGATATATTTTAAGAGAATCGTCTTCGGTGTCGTATCCTTTACCAAGCACAATTTTAGGCCTTAACCGTATAATTGGACGTATAGCTTCACAATGTTGACGTAGAAACACAAAAGCGCTGACTAAAACAAAGGAAACATAAACAAGTCTCATCTTGCACTATTACTAATGTTTGCTGTTGAAGTAATCTGTTATGATCTTGCTAGTTGATGTGATGACCGTTGATTCATTCAAATATTAAATTTGTTTGTTTGGTTCAATTTAGTTTTTGTTTCTCTGATTAAAAAAATACAGGAAGAATGTAATGATACAGGTTTGATGAAGAATCGAAAGGAGGTGTTTTTTGTTTACGAACTAAATCAAGACGCAATCAAATTCACTTTTCAAAATTAAAATGATGAAAAGGATAGAATATAAATTGCCAGTCGAGTTATGATTAAAATAGTTGTCTTAATTTTACTGACCGGATTTTTAATAAGGAAGTGCCGTAGGCTGTTTAATCAGGATAACTTTCACTTCTCATTTTGCTTAAAACAAGATTAAGCTAATTTTAGATTTAAAGACATTGAAATGATACTCAATAGCCAAAAAAAGTGAAAGGTAATCAAGTGAACGGATAGTTTTATTATGATTATTTGCTTGATAGCAGGTAATGCTTTCCCATCATTACGATACAATTTAAATCAGAATAACTTATAACTAAGCATTGGCTCACACCAAGAAAACCAAGCTTATTAAATAATGAAAGTTAATTGAAAATCAACAAAACAAATCAGTTCAGTCTATTACCTAAAATTGTCCCTTTCTTGGCTGATGACAAAAATGAGCGTGATCTTCAATTAGTATCAAAAAATTGAATTGGATGAGTCTAATTGATAATTCATGCGGTAATCTTACCGAAATTTGTTGATTTACAATTGACTGAATTTTAAAATTATTAATAGATTAAACCTTTTCGGTAAGGTCCTAGGATTGGTAACACTGGCGTGGCTTTACAAGACTTTTAAATTTTAATCCAATGGAATTAACTCTCATTTCTTAATGAGTTGAAGTTTTATTGACACTCTTAAATTCACTGATATTAAATTAAAGTTGATATGGACAGTCTTAAATGAAGATGAACATGTAGATGAGTTTATTGAAACTGAAACTTATATTTTCTGATAAATGGTCAATAGACCACAGGATAATTATTTGTTAAAGTCTGTTTGAATCTCGAGAGCAAAATAAACAATTGAATTCATCATCAATATTGATGATAAAGCAATTCAATCTTGATCAAATAAATGGTCAACTTTAAGTATTACCGCAGTACGACAAGGAAACAGAACTGTAATTAGAATTTTTTAAAATCATTTACTTTATTAAAATAAAGGCTTGACAATTTTGCTCATCGTCATGATAAATATGGCATATGGAGTCGATTAGAAATATAAAAAAGATGATAATGATGCTTTCAGTCTTTGAAATAAACATTGAAATGTCAGTTTTTGAATATTGAAAGTAAAAACAGAGTACAAAGTACAATGAACACCAAATGTAAACAGTCAATATTTATCAAAACAATATTAACAATATCCTTTTTAGGTTATGGCCAACCATCGTCCTTAGCATTAGTATTATCCCCTCGCCATCCGAAGCATTAGAACGAAGAAAAAGGAACTTTACCATCGACAAGGAAATCTTTCATGCTCACTTTGGGATCATAGCGGAAAATTTCAACGTAATGATCTTTTGGCAGTTTATCGAGAAGGTCTGCGAAGAAATAAGGCTTTAAGTTGTATGCAATCGTATTCATTACAAACCATCGACCTGGATGTTCAGATATTTCTCCCAAAAAACTTGTATCCGCAGTTGGAGCGACAGCTGCAAGTCTTTCCATTCGATACCATGATTCTGAGATTATAAAAGTTCGATAAATAAGAACATGATAGATAGTAGCGAGTAAAAGAGCCATAAACCAAAACCAAAGCATTACAAAAACTTTCTCGTTGACTATGTTTAATGGCATGAAACATATTGTGTCGTAAGTCTCTAGAGAACCAGAAGTACCATATTTGTGAAATGAGCATTTAGTTAGACGAGGAAACATCCTAATCAACGGATCAATATTATCAGAGTTAAGCCATTGAAACCATTGAAAACCGAGCAATAAAAATTTTCCATCAAGAAATGCATTTAGGAAAAATATTTCCATCACGATATGTAAAAGGTATAGCAGTTCCGAGAAAAAAAACCAGCTATATAATTCATCACCAAGCAGCACCACATCTGAAGTATCTTGGACTAATAGGAATCTATCTAGACCCTCGTACTGTAGAATGTGTCTGTCTTTGAGTTTATCGATGAGATCTTGTAGTCTACCTGCTTCTCTTCTCTTCCATAAGTACTTTGGTGCATAAAACAGGATACATTGAATGCATAATATATAAAAAACCCATTGGCTGTGTTTTTGGGGCATTTCAAGATCACCCTTGTGTGGATGGTAGCTTTTTGCCCCTGGACAGGCATTGTCCAGTCCAGTCACTTCAGCTAGGCATTCTGGATCCCCTGAATATTTATAAACACTGGTGAACGCTCCGTCCATCCAGCAAAAATGTTGCATCTGAGCTTGAGTTAGTTGAGGTGAACCAGCATTCAAACATTCAATTGGGTCTCCAAAATACTGCTTCATACCAACAAAAACGATGCAAATTGATAAAATTACAATTGTCACCGTTGAATGGAGTTTAAAGATGTAGTTGTCGATTTGAGTAGATGAACGAGAACTAAAAACTGACATTTTGATGAGATCAACAAGGAAATTACACTGCGACTTGAGATTAGCCGTTTAAGCTCAAACTGCATCAAAGAGTAAAACAACTACAGGGTGTAAAGAAAGTTTTAGCAAGTAAGCTCAGCCCACTTCATTGCGCAGAGATCCTTTTTGGTTTCGCTATGTGAGTCAAACCATTATTTTTAAAAAAACCGCTCTCTCATACGCAAACTTTTGAGTCCCGCCCTACCAAAACTTTCTTTACACCCTGTATTATATACAGTAGTGACGTGTGATATATCGAACCAACCTATATATATCGATATATTCCGTTGAAAAAATGGTAAAGGTAAATGAGGGTAAGTCGGGCGAGAGGTCGGTAAAGTCTATTTTCCGAGCAAAGCCACTTTTTCAGGTTCAGCTTAAGACTGGTGGCAGCTGTTTAAACTGGACTTATATTATAAATTTTAACTTTAAACAATTAACTTAATTTTAAGTAAGGAATGAATGAGTGAATTCAGTAAGGAACTAGCTCTAGTTGTCTCATTCATTTGCTCAACTGTCTTCTTCATTCGCTCTCAGTGTCTCAAAATATTCTCAGCAAACAAAGAGTTTTATGGCTTTTGAACAAACAAAAACAAGTGTCGCATTCAATCGCTCATGTGTCTCGCTCATTCACTCTTACTGTCTCAAACAAACGAAATTTACTGTAAGTTTAAGTTTAAGAAAATAGACTTTACGGACCTTTCGTCCGACTTACCAACATTTTAATTATGAGACTAATTTGGATAGTTAATACATCTCTTAAGATAGAGAGATTCAATTAACTAAATTGATAATTTCAACTAATTATCATTAAAGTCAATTAGGTTTATGTAAAATATATGTTTTTAATAACCTTTCAAGCAAAGTTTGAAAAAACTGGTTAACCAGAATGAATAAAGCCAAGTCCATGCCAGGGAAAATGAGGCAAAAATTTAACTTGCTCGGCAACTCTCAACACCCACAATTAGATTAACCAGGTACCAATGTAAACCTTATAAGGAAGTTTTACATTTTCAAAAGTAAATTTAGATTGTGCTTCTTTGTTTCCATTAAATGCTACTATTTGAATCATCTTGGGGCCAAAATCATCTTGAAATATCAGTTCAACTTTTCCTTTGTTTATTTTGATATAACTGAGGTTAAACATGTTTAATTTTAATAAACTAACTTACCAGAATTGTCCGTCTATTATCATTTTCCTTGTTATCTGGTTAACATTATCAAATTTCTGTCTGTGCTATCGTTTAAGATTCAATAATAAACTAGAGTGTCGAGATAAGGTTCCAAGAAAACTGACTGATTTGTCTAATGTTGTCTTGACCGGATTCATTGAACAAACCTATCCTTCGCTTGATAATGGTGAAATTTACTCGGGATCAGTGCTTGTTAAACGCGTTTTTCGTGGTCCATCAAAATTTCAAGGAAATCGAGTGACAATTGATGGTCTTGGAGATGCTTCATATTGCCAATCAAAAGGACAGAGAGGGGAATCTTGGATTTTTCAATTGTCTCAAATATCAGATGGATATTTTCGCCTAAATGGAACCCTATTAAAGCTTAATCTAGACAATCTGGATCGTATAAATGCTCTAGTTGAAGGTGAGTCTTATAATTAACAACTAATCAGGAGATTGATCAATCAGTTTAAGTAAAATCAACTAAAATTAGCATTGTTGATGCATCGGTTTCAATAGGTAATCATTTGCGTAAGCTTATATAAATCTGGTTAATACTGATAAAACCTGATTGTTTGGTATTACATTCACACAAATATATTAATCACACTAATTGTTTTTCTTGTTTTTAACAGATCATATCTACCGAAAAAGGCCAGATATCGTCGAGTGTAAGTATTTATATTCAAGATAAGGGTTAGTCATAAACAATGAATGGTATCTTAACACAATACCAGATTTTATCATTCAGTTACATTGTAGTTTCAGGATCTTACTTTTCTTATATTCAACGATCATGATACGCAGGATCACATCATATCATTACGATTTCAAGCCAATGTTTTGTGTCATGGCATATCAATATTGTCGGTAATTATATCTGATTGTTCATCTTTTCATTTTAGTGCCATGTGAGAAAAAATATTGTGAAAACAATGGTGTTTGTATTGAGGAGTCATCTGGTTCAGTCAATAGAGTCCGATGTGTTTGCCTGGACTCTTGTCCATCAACTTATGAACCAGTTTGTGGATCCAATGGTGAAACATTTGTAAATGAATGTAAATTACGAATGGAATCTTGTAAACGAGCAATCAATCTATTTGTCCGTTATCCAAGTGCCTGTGATTCAAGGAGGACTGTTAGAGAGGCTGAAACAATTTACAAACCATTGACCAACATATCAACTGAATTGGTCGCAATTTATCGCGAAAAAAATCTATTTTAGATTGAATTATACTTTTAACTTTGTATTGTTTTCAACTCAACTACAGCAATTGAAATATACCCAGAAACTAATCAATTAAATACATGTAAGGGCAATTGTCAAAAAGGAGAAAGAGCAAAGGAAAAATTCCTCATCCTCTTTCTTGTCTCTGTCTTATTCCACTTTCTTCTTTTCTTTTGTAACAATGGGTTTAAGTTTTACCGTCAACAAGATGGCTACATTGAGGATACTTTAGGCGAGGGAAAGAGTAGCGAGAAAAAGGAAAGAGGAAGTTAGTTGGAAGTAATCGCTCAATCCTTACAGTTAGCAAATCTTGGTCTTCAAGACTGTGAAATAAATTTGGTTTTAAGTTAATTTTAGTTTCAATCAATTGTATTGGTTCCATCTCCACTGTTTATCATTAAATTTATCACCTTCACTCAATAATCCCAGTCATTCACCTAACCTCACCCAATTGACTGTGAAATATTCCCAGTGTCACCCTTAAAATACCTGAAATAACAATCTGTAACCGGCATTTCTTACTTGATTCAAAGTTAACCAATTCCTATTGAATAAACATTACAAGTCGCCAGGCTACTCTTTGTGTGTGTCATCATAACCATGAGTTCAATTGATTCTACATCGTCATCTTTTCAATCAACTACAGTATCGGTCAATGAAACTGTCAGTTTCTACATTTAATTCAAAATTGAATATCTTCTGATTTACTTCGAATAAAATCATTATTATGGTTTCATTTCGTTTTTGAACATTTAGCAATATGATTTAAGTTTTTTTTCACAATTTCATCAGGACCATTTAGTAAATTAAGGCTGATTCAAAACATTACCTCTGTCGAAATTTGACGCAAAAGATTTCAAGTTTGTTTTTGATTGAAGGAGAGAGATTTTCGGAATGAAAATAGATCTGAAGATTCATTCAATGCATGAAATTCTAAATCTGTGAAAAAAATTTAATTATCGTTGCTATCTTAATTGCAATCAGTCTTAGAAGTAGAAAATCATAGAAATTTTAGTTCATCCAATAGATGGCGCTCCTAATTTTTCGCTTATTTTGGCCTGATTCCATTGTTCTAAGAACTTTTAAACGAATTTTCCTATCATTTTTGAACCTTATAAGCCGCATTCATTATCGGATATGAAAATGATGTTCAATTTTTGCCATTTTAACCTCTTCAAAAATTCTAGCATTTAAACTTAACTTATTTAGAGAGCGGTGACTGACTTTGAAAGGTCTGAAAAACACGAAGAAGACAATAATTTTATATTTTGAGTGCATTTATAGCTAGATTATACATTAGTTTATTGTTTTCTCGAATTTCAAAATTAAAAAATTGTAATAACTTTGCAGCATCGAAAAAGCTGACTGACAGTTTCATTGACCGATACTGTACTTCTGGTGTTCAAACCGAGGGTCTTGTTCAACAACCAAATAACGATAACAGTAACAATAACAATAACAATAATGATAATGGTGACAATGTTTTCTTGGCCCAACCTTTTGTACCTAATTATCATGCTTATCGACCGAAGTTACAAAAATTTAATGGACATGACAGGTCAGTAACTATTGAAAATTGGTTTAAATATTATGAGTTGACTGCTAAACGTTATCATTGGTCATTAACTGAGAAGTTTGATCTTCTAAGTGCGTATCTTGAAAAAGATGCATTGAATTTTACCTTGATTGCCACAATGATGACTTTGAAACCATTAAAAATAAACTCATTTCACGATTCGGAGTCAAAACTGTGGATCAAATTGTAGAGTTTGATCGATTGAAGTACCATCAAACTAAAGGTATCGATGAATATTTTGAAGTTAAAAAGAGATATGCTAGTTTGGCTGGCTTGACTGAAACTCAGACTGTTGCTCTGATGATTGAACATTTGGATGACAATTTGAAAAGATGTTTCATTGGCCATCGAGTGAATACCTTTTGTAATTTCTATGCGATTGCAAAGTCTGCTGAAAGTCAGTTACCTCGTCAATCCAACCTACCATCTTCATTTAAGAATAACAACTATGCTGTTAACAGCAAACCATTGAAATTTAACCCACCAAAAGTTGGAACTGGTCAACCATCAAGTTCAATGAAAAAAACACCCAAAGGACAATGTTTTCGTTGTGCTCATCACGGAAAACCCAATCAAATGCATTAAGCTAATGATTGTCCGTTGAAGATGGAGGAAAATAATAACAATCAAGTAAACTTTGTTTCTAATAACGCTTCCTTTCCAGCTAATGATGATCAAAATGAGCAACTTGAAAATAATTTAAACTAATAACTAGGCCTGAATCAAAACCTTTCCACATCATTATTCCAGGTTATTTAAAATCCTCTCCAATAAAAATATTGTTTGATCCTGGCTCTTGCCTTACATTAATAAATGAAAAATTTTTGCAAGATGGAATGATAGATACAATTAATAATAAACAATTTTTCTACACTACTTTAACTGGAAATGGTTTGGTCTCAGGTCTTAGTCAAATCGATTTAACTATTGGTAAAATTTCAAAAACAATTATTACTTATGTAACCAGATTGGTCAATGTTGATCTACTTTTAGGCTTAAACAATATTTATAAATTCAATCTTAGATGTGATTCAGACTATTCGGTTACTCAAGCAGACTCTCATGATACTCCAACATCCATTGCTCTTATTGAACCCAAAATTGATTTACTTGAAAATTTTTACATTGACTTCAAATCAAAGTTTGATAAGATTGATGATGATAACAATTTAGTTAGATTACTCATGAAGTATGAAACTATCTTCAGTGAAGACAAGTTTAACATCGGTTGCATTGAAGGGGTTGAATGTATCATTGAACTGAACTCGAATATTCCAGTAAACTGCAAACCTTATCGTCCTTCAATGGATCAGCAATTGAAAATTGAAAATGAAATTAAATTACTGTTGAAAGCAAGGCTGATTCGACCTTCTCATTCACCTTACTCCAGCCCAGTTACATTAGCATTTAAAAAGGAGGATAATTGTAAAACTAGATTCTGTATTGATTACCGAAAGTTAAATGAGAAAGTGATTGCTGATAAATACCCAATGCCACGAATTGAGGATATCATTGATAGTTTACATGACAATAAGTATTTCAGTGTTTTCGATATAAGGTCAGGATTCTGGCACATAAAAGTTCATCATAATGATATTTTCAAAACTGCTTTTGTCACACAGACTGGTCATTATGAATGGTTGGTGATGCCATTTGGTTTTAAAAATGCACCAGCTATTTTTCAAAGATCAATAAGAAATGTTCTTGATAAATATTCCTTGACGGAATTTTGTCACAATTATATAGATGATATCATTGTATATTCACCTAATTTAAAAAATCATGTAAACCATATCGAGAAATTATTGAATGCAATGAAAAGTGAAAATATCAAGTTGACTTTTAAAAAATGTAAAATTGCTTAATTGAGCGTTGATTATCTGGGTCACAAATTGTCTTTAAATGAAATCCGTCCACTACATAATAATGTAGATTCAATTCGGAAACTCAACCCGCCAAAGAATCTGACAGAATTAAGAAGATTTCTAGGTAAGGTTAATTATAATCGTAAATTTATCCATAAAATTACTGAGATATTGGAGCCTATGTATCGATTGCTGAGAAAAGAGACTAAATTTGAATGGAATGAGGATTGTCAAAAATCTTTTGAATTAATTAAAGACTTACTTACTTCAAAACCAATATTGAAAATGTTTAATCCTGAATTGGAACTAGTTCTTGAAACGGATGCTAGTAGGATTGGAATTGGAGCGGTACTTAAGCAATTGCACGTTGATAAAAAGTTACATCCTATTGGATACTTTTCCAAGAAATTAACTGATTATCAACAAAATTATCCCGCTACTCACCTTGAATGTCTTGCAGTTGTCGAATCGATAAAATTTTGGCACCATTATCTGTACGCCAATAAATTCACAGTAATTACTGATCACATTGCTTTGAAATCCATCAAGAAAATAAATAAACCAAATTCAAGGTTATTCACTTGGGCATTCTTTCTGGCCCAATATAACTTCGAAATCAAATACCGACCGGGAATTGAAAATGTTGAAGCAGACTACTTGTCAAGAGAGCCAGTATTGAGTCAAGAAATTGATTCACCTTTGAAGTTGATAAATTTTATCAACATTAATGAAATCAAAAATGAGCAAACAAAAATGAAACTTAATAACGAATCTATCAGTCAGTCAATCAATGAAAATGGAGTATATGTTAGGGTTGATAAAAATGGAAACGAAAAGAAAATTTTACCTGAGAGTTTAAGAGGAAAATTGATGGACGTTGTTCATCAGCAATTCGGGCATTTAGATGTTCGTAAAATGATCAGAGTAATAACTTGGTTGTATATCTGGCCAAAATTGACTGAAAATGTTATTGATTTTGTTGCTAATTGTTTACCTTGTCAACAAGGAAAAACTAAAAGAGTAAAATTGATAAGTGAATTGGGACAATTTGGTCCAACAGAATTACCTTTTGAAATTGTATCCATTGATACAATTGGTGGATTAAATGGATACAAAAGTAAGAAAAAATATATTCATTTAGCAATCGATCATTTCAGTAGATTTGTCTGGACAATTGCTTCAGATAATCAGTCATCCAATGAATTTGTGAGATTGATTCAGAAAGTAATGAAAAGTGGTAAACCTGAAGTGATTGTTGCTGATCGATACACTGGAATTACATCAAATGTTTTTCTTGACTTCTTGAATGACATGAAAATTGAAATCAAATTTATACCAAAATCAGCTCCACAATGTAATGGAATGTGTGAGAGGACTGCAAATCATATCGTAGATAGAATCAGAGTAAAGATGATAAGTAATAATTATCATTATTCATGGGTGAAATATTTACCACGTTCAGTTGATGCCATTTCTCAAGTCATTGGTTTATCCATGAGGATGAAGGGTAACAATAATTGATCATGAAATTAACAATCAAAGCTACATTATTCATTTCAGAATCAAATTACCGATTCTAGATAATTTAGTAACAGAATTGTTATTGGATTTTACCAGATTTGTCATTCAACCTCTGGATGTTTCTACAATCTACCAGAAATTTAGATCTTAACCAAGGTGAATGAAGAGATAAAAAGTTAATCCGAATAAGGATTAACTTGATGGACATAAATTGACAATCCGAGATTTTGTTGATTGGTAGAAAATTGAAATTGCTTTAAATTAGCCACCAAAATCAGCATTTTAATGTAGATAGAGGTTTAAATTGAATCCAATTATGATTAAGACCCTATTTCCATGATTTGGTTTCAATATAAAGCATTGAGGATTAGATTACAAGTCAATTAGAGGGTCAAAGGGAAGTGAAAAAAGGTATAGAATAGAAGAGAAAGAAAAGAAGACGAATTAGAAAGGAAGAGGAAAAAAAGAAAGAAAAGAAAGAGAATCAACAGTTATTATAATGTGCCCATTGGATTATAATTGAGATTGCTCCATGGCAATCCAAATTATTATCATAACTCTTATTATGATTACCTTTTTTTGAAGATAAAATAACCCACTTTCTTCATCCTCTCTGTCCCTTTCCAATGTTAAATCACCTTTCATTTTGTCTACATTTTGTTAAAATTCTGCCTTTCAAATCATTTTCTTTTTCCTATCTTCCTTCTCTCTGTCATCTCTGTCATCTCTTTCACCTTTCTCTGTCTTTCTGTCTCTGTCTTTTTACATTGACCATTTGACAAATTTTCAATAGAAGAGTTGAACTTTTCATCATCGTGCTTGTCAATTTACACCATATTTGTGGGTATCAACCTTTCTCGTTTCACTTACATTCTGTTTTTAAATCAAACTTGAAAATATATTTGGATTTATTATTTTCAACTAATTGTGACCCTTGATTGTACCGTGAATCTGGTTATTTACATTTTATTTCAATTATATTTTTGGATCAAACATGGTTGATGAATCAACACATTTTTCCTTGTACAACCATCTTTTTTATTGAATGCGTATCCCAACTTAACCATTGCTTCTTTGCAAAAATAACATCTCCTTTCTTCATTATTTTTCTTCGTTTATTTTTATTCGGTATTGGAGTACCAAGTGTTTAACTTATTCAAATTATGTCTTCTTAATTTATTAACAAATCGACTAATCTCCTAACTCACCATCATAACGTAATTTTTGTTACCAAAATTGTCATGGTCTTTTATCTTGACATTCAACAGTTTCAGCCTGTTGATCCTTTTTTCACAGCTATTACCAAAATTGACCACAATCACAAACAATACTTTTAATTTGAACATTTTTTCAACTGTTTCTAGTGATTTTTTGCCTTCATTTATAGTTCAATTGGTTAAGCTTCAAGCTTATTCCTTTGTGTCCACAAATATTCAAGGATATACATAAACATTGAGTGAATATGTCTTCTTCGGGAAGAAGCCGTCGAAGTCAAATTGAGTAAGTAGTAAAATTAATTACCTTTTCTGTGATATTCGTTTCCTTTTGCTGGTTCACATGCAAATATTGCTCAATTTAACTTTGATTAAGTTTTCTGTGTGCTCTGCATCTCAATATAAACCTTTTCCAATTCATTTGCTTAATTCATTTGATCATATTAGAGAGATTATTGTGAATGTGTTAAACTCCATTCAAATTAATATACTTTGATTTCATGTATAATTCACAAGTGAACATAATTCTAATTATTATTAACAATTTGTTCTAATGCCATTTAATTAATTTAGTAGCTCATCGGTAGCTAGCAGCGATGGTTTTGGAGATGACAATCTTTCAATTGATGTTGAACGAGATGAGGTTAAAAGGTAAGTTCATTTAATTGAAAAACTTATCTTTGGTATTAATTTTTCTATTTTTTATTTTAAAGGAAATCTCGAAATCTCAGTGAAAAGAAGCGCCGTGATCAGTTTAATATGTTAATCAATGAGCTTTGCTCCATGGTGAATTTGGACCCTAGTGAAGATATTGGCAGCTCAGGTAACAAAAAAATGGACAAATCATCTGTTCTTCGAGCTACAATCACATTTCTTAAAAACCATACTGAGGAGACAAAACATCATGCTAACGAGATAGGTGAAGATAATTGTCAACCAGATAATTCAGCTAGTTCTGGTTTCATTAATTCATGGAAACCATCTTTTCTATCAACTGAAGAATTTTCTCATTTAAGCTTAGAGGTAAATATTAATAGTGTATAAGCAAGAATCAATTTGATACTTGATAACACAAAACAAAACTACCCTTGTATCTGTTATAAACCTGTGAAATGAAATTCTGTTGAAAAACTTTTCAAATGGATTTTAATTTCAATTTCAATTTACTTTGATTCACGTATTTGAAATTGACAGATAATTTCAGCTACTTATTAATAGCTGCGAAAATTTTGATAAATTCATTTCTACTAGTTTGTGACAGTATTACCACTTGCGTAATGTATTATTATAAATTCAAATCATAATTCTTGTTTCAATATTATTTTATAGGCTTTAGATGCTTTCATCCTTGTTTTCGAAGCCGACTCTGAAGGAAAGATCATATATGCTTCGGAATCAATATTTCCTCTTCTTGGTATAAGCTCATCATATCTATCTAACAAATCATCTACAAGCTCATCAGCTCCAGGACTTTCATCGGTTGCATCAAACTCTTCTTTAATGACCATCAATATTGATAATGATGCCAACCATGGTGGAATTTCAGTTTATGACATTATTCATGAGAAAGAGAAATCAGCTCTTCGTAAACTGGTAATAGAAGCTGTTAGCAGTGGTAAAACGGACGAGTTTGTCTCAATGATGATCCACTTTCGACATGATTCATCAAACTTGAATCAAACTGAAACATTCAGTGAATATTTTTACGAATTAGTCCGACTTGTTGGCACTTTTAGAAAAATAGATGACTATATGGGATATGGAGTTCCCAAGAACTGCTTCATGACGATTTGCCGCCTTCAAACGCCCAAACTGTTGAAAGAGCTTCGTATATTGGCTCCTTTATCAAATGATTATGGCGCAATCAAAAACAATGAATTTATTTCGAGGCATTCATTGGAGTGGAAGTTTCTCTTTTTGGATCACAGAGCACCAATGATAATTGGTTATTTGCCCTTTGAAGTTTTGGGAACATCAGGCTATGACTATTATCACTGGGATGATTTGGATTTGGTTGTTGCTGGTCACCAACGCCTAATGCAAATTGGAAGCGGCGAATCTTGCTATTATAGGTTTTTAACTAAAGGTCAACAATGGATTTGGTTAAGAACAAAGTATTTCATCACTTATCATATGTGGAACTCGAAACCAGAATTTGTGGTTTGTACACACACAGTCATTGATTTTGATGAAAGATTAGGAAATAATTTAAAAGATGATAGCCGCCAAAATGATAGTGGTAAAGTTAATCAAGATACAAATTCATCAAGAAATATTACAAGTAGCGATTTAATCAAATCAAAGACACCTCAATGGTCCATAAATGAGTTTAATGAAGGAATTAATGATCAATCAATTTACATATCTGAAAAAACAGGCGTCACTTATCCAGTGCCCAATGATTCTAATGGATCAACAACTTATTCTATGAATTCCAACATGATGGCCGTTGCAATTGAAGGAAGCTTATCACTTGCCTCATCTTCCAATTCTTCAGCTGATTACATCCTAAATAATTCTATGTACGAACCTTCACCGTATTTAATAAATCAAACTTCAACAACACAGCCACAACAACAGCATCAGGCAACTATAACTCACAATATGGTTGAACAACCAAAACAATCTACATCGCATATTGTACAGCAAAATCCTCAACCACAAACACATCACCTATCGCACCATCAACCAAAGCAATGTCAACAACAGCAACAACATCAACCCTCGACAATATCTCCTGTATCTTACCATCAACAAGTCTCACAGGATTTTGGAAACACTAGCGTTATTCCTCAAACCGATCCTATGGTTCCCAATTCTATTGTCAGTGTAGCACAATACGCTAACATGTCTACAGGAAATAGTCAAGTTTCATATGCAAATCTGCAAGAATCCTTACAAAAGAAGCATCAAATTTTACAAAAACAAATCAAAGAACAGCAAGAAGAATTACGGCGTGTTTCAGAACAATTAATGCTGGTTCAAGTCGTAAATCCACCATTGAATTCACAAGAAGCAACAATTAAATCAAGTTCCGATCTCACTCTCTTACAAAGCGTCACTCAAACTCATAACATTCAAAGTCTACAGCCAAGTTTAACAAATGAAACCCTAAATAGGGTTGACAATGATCTATCGAGTGTAGGCGCGATATATACTGATCTCTCTTGCCCAGATCACACAATGATTTCAAGAGAGTTTTCAACGAGTTTACAAAATGTTGATTTACTGTATCCACAAGAAAAATCCAGTATTTGAAGGTAAAAGTTTAATCTAACTTTACCTATTGACTGTGAACTCGAGCAAACTAAAACCTATAGCCAACAAATATTGTTATTTAATCATCAACTTTCCAGTGTTTTCACAATTTTCATATACTCAACATTATTGGATAAAGAAAAGATACTCAGAAAAGATTATATTCTTGGACATGATAAAAAAGCAACAAAAAAAGTGTTGAAAAAGACAAGAAATGGTCACAAATAAACATGGAGTAAATTGAATTAATATTGATCGTGTTAACACATTCATCTTCATAAAGAAAAGTACCCATTCTTTGGCCCTTATGGTTTAAGCTAAAGTACTTCAACCCATAGAGAAAAGTTAATCGAGCTTGACACTATAATACATCTCCTTTTTCATCTTCATCTTCATCTTCATCTCTGTTTGTTTGTCTTTTTCCTCTTTCATACAATTCTCTTTCTTCTTCACCTATTGTATACATATTTAAGCTTCCTCAAGTCAGAAGGAGAGTAAATAATGATAAAGGAGCATTTAATTTACCAACAAAACGCCATTCAATTGGAAAAGGAATACCAGTTAACCACAGTATTTGTAAATGAATACATTTGTACATGAGATTGTGTAAATTGTCAAACACCAAAAGTCCTGTCCCTAACAATTCATCTTCCTCCTTCCCTTCCACCTCTCTATATCTTTCATCTTTAACCACCTTTTCCAGTCTCTTCATTTTCTGAGGCAGATCCTTCACCTTTCCTTTGCTTGTTATCACAAATAATATTAATATTAATGATGGCTATTATAGCAGCAAACAGAAACTCGAAGCCTTCAATATTGTTTATCATAATTATGTAAAAATCCTCGATAAATTTTCCCTCTCGTCCTAATTTACCCTTTTACTGTGTTTCTCTTGAACAATCTTAACATTATCCCAGTTACAATTACTAACTCTTAATCACTTTGCAATCTCATTGTACATTTCTGCTTCTAATGTCACTATTGATATAGTGAATCTAACAACAGAATCAATCTTTTCTGCTCTTCAACCATTAATTCAATGTAATTGAATCCAATTGTTACCCCCTTGATCAGCTTATAAATTTAAATTTTTATTTCCATTTCTATAAGTTTTATCTGTATCACCCTAAATCATTAAAATCATTTTGTTTTTTTAATTTACTCAATAAAATCATCAATTTAAACAAATTCTGTTTCGACACTTTCACTTCAAATCATAAAAGTTCACTCAAATATATTTAAATAATAAATGATGATATCCATTGAAAATCAGATAAGATTCAGAACAGTTGAACGATAGTAAATGAATCTACACAGATGTTATTAATTATTCTGGTTAATACACTTTTTAAGTTGGACAAGTAAAGCAGAATAATATTTGAACTGAGTTTTTCATGAGTTGATAATTATCATCCACTTAAAATGGTAATGTAGGACATTTGATTATAATCAAGTGACATGAACAATTAAAATATATAACTAAAGTATCAAATGATACAGCGGCAAAAGACAGCAATCAATTGTGCATTAAACTTACACGAGGCCATCCATAAAATCCAGAGCTAGTTGACATGAATATTTGATTAGATGAATCAACATTACAATCAGAGTTTAGTATTTCATTTAAATCAGAAATATAAACTATAGCAGCCCTTCAATGAACAACAAAAAAAGTAAATATGAAATTAGAAGAAATGAAATCACAATCAAAAAAATTTGCTTTCTAAATTGGATACGAATGATGATTAGATTTACCTGAGAGTCTCTATTTTTGAAAATTTGCGTCCTCTTGGTTTCAATGAGGGATTTATGCAGGCTCGAAGAGCGTCAAAGGCCAAGTTCATTGCTTTCATTCTGACCCTTTCCCTGCGACAAGCATTGACTCGTTGCTCTTCCTTAGACAGTAAGTTTCCTCCTCTAATGCGTCCAACAGCATTATGATATCGATAAGATCCATTGAGGAATGAAAAAGGAAAACGATTTTGTTTTGAATGCAATCCATTGAGATCTTCATGGTAGTGAAAAGAAACGGGATTATTGTTGATCAAAAGATTCGGATGGTCAATGGAAACAGAGGAACCACTATTGTAGCAAGAGATGTCAGTTGAAGATGATATTGGAGATGTTGATGTTTGATTTAATTTACATTGACCGTTGAAAGGCTCAGCGGATCCAATCTCAATGGGTGAATAACCATCATTAAACCTATTGACTGTTGTTATCGGCGTTGATGTAGTTGTTAGATCAGCAGGAATATTTGGCCAGTCATCTGGTTCAATTTTGGGTTCCAGATCAGCCACAGGATGGTCAGAGGGTTCAACAGATATCCAAGTTGCCTCAGTCCCAGGATTAGAGTAATAAAATGCACAGGTCATTGGTTTCCTTTCATCCAATGTTGGACTATTTGGATAGCCGTTCAACTCGGCCTCTTCATTGATACCAGAAGTTGCTTCTTTGGACTGTTGTTGGTAATCAGATTGGTCACTCTTTTCATCTTTCAATTGTATTAATGGTTTGTTTGGAGGTTCAATTAGGAATGGATTGACGATTTCACTGAGATAACTATTTACGCGGCAACAATCAATTGTTTGGCAAAAATTGGAAAGATCTGTTAACAGTAATCTGCTGTTGTTGCATGAGGCTGAAGGTGTTGACGTTGATTGAGCACAAGGTGGTAAAAATTGTGGATTATAACGTATTTCGTTGTAATCGTGTTCACTGGTTGACATTTTGATCTGTTTTAAGTGTTAGTCAAAATTTAGAGTACTGTTGTTGGTGTGAAGTAACCTCAAGAAATGACTAGTTTTATTTTTATCATAAAAATATTGAATGTTGATGCGTTTCTACTAGTACTTTATCTTTGGTCATTGACTCGACGACATTCACCATTTTGTATCTCTGAGTCTAATTAATTGTCTGACAATACAAATGAGAAAAAAATAAATACATAATTGTTAAAACAGTTGGCAGAGTGAAATATAAAAACTTGTAATAAACTGTACATTAATGATAATTAGTATTGACAATCTCATTAATCCCACTAAACAAAACAGGAGACAACATTAGACATCAGATCAGAACCGTACGCTTGGTAAGATGACAATTACATTAGACTCCCTATCGAGAGGATAAAGTTGTATGCTGTTACCGTTAAGTGGACTTCAGTTGATTAGTCCATTTTACAAAAGTTATCGAAAGAATAGATCAAACTTTCCAATAGGCCAAATTTACAGACTTCAAAGACACAGAGCTCACATGAGAACAGAACCAATTTTCAAATGAGCAAACTTACAATCATCAGAAATAAACTTCCAAATTAAAGTTAATGCACTTAGTATGTGAATTATTTCGTTGATTGTTTAGAGTATTCAGAGCATTATGATAATGGAATGGGCTTTCAGCGATATTTATGTTGGATGGGTTAACCCAATTGAAGAAACAGATATATTCGTTTGATTTGAAAAAGAAATAGATTTTCGGAGAAAATTCGGTTTTATGAAAGTTTGATTTTGATCTTGTGATCTGTGTCTTCAGAGTAATCTGTTTGTTTCAGTTTTGCTATCATCGAAGTAATCATTAAACAGCTTAAATATAACTTGAATTGTATCCATTTTAATGAAATCCATTTTACTTGTTTGTCAATTTCAATGGCAGCTTGATACATAGTAAAGTTTTGAGGATTGTCTAGAAAAAAGAGCAATAAGGATCGAAAAAGCATAATATATTTGCTAATTTGTCAACTTGATTGAATTGATGGATCATGACAACCATTATAACCTTCATTCGGATTGAATAAGAAACATCTAGCTATGGTATATTATTATTACAACAATGTAAGTAATGAGAAGAAGTCGATCAATTAGCCGTAAAAGTAGAGCCCATTCTCGTATAGCTGCTCGTGAAGTTGATTGAAATGGTTGTTGATTAGAAAAATCATTAACATTAGCTTCTTCATCGAACTTAGTTGATTCCAGATTCACTTTAAGAACAAATATTCGTGCCAAAATTGGGTTTGTTAGATGGTGGGCCAAAAAACTTGGTAGTGGTGGACATGTTACCATCAAAGACATGATCAATTGGTAAGTCATATTGGTTACAACCAGGGAAATTGTGATCAACATAATATTTATACTGATGCAGCGAACTGAAATAAATCATAAAAATTGGAGTGAAGATTTAAATCAAGACAAAATATAACATTAGAATGATTATTAAGATAATTGTTACCTGCATATGGAACTCCTAATGAATGAAAACCAATATTGTCAGCCAAGAACGAAAGTAAGAAGATTAAAATGAATATAGCAAGTGACCCAAACACAATGCGATAAATTGACCCGATGGGTACAAGAAACGCAACTAAACCCAACAGACTGGCAGTTAGATATGGTATTGCAATGTAATATAAATGAATATTGACTCGACGAGCAACCGATATATCAATCTCAACCACTGATTTGTGCGATTCAAATCCCTTTACATCATGAAGAAATCCTTCGATTTTCTCAACGCTCCACTCGAGTTGTTCAAAGTACGGCTTTCTAACTAAACGTTTACCTAAATAAATGAATTTGAACAAGAAATTAATAATCAATAACAATCAATTTACATTGCATATTAAAATAATTTACCTTTGACCAATCTAATTTCATTGACATTGTAACTCCAAGAACCAAAATATAAACTACACAACTGTTTGTCAAATGGATAGTCGGCCAGATCTATGTAGCAGCCAACAGCAAGGTTGCTTGGTAGTCTAAGGTTAATTTTACCGTCGTAATTTACTTCAATAATTGAATGTGAATCAACTCCAATCCAATTGTTACCAACAGCCATGTTGAAAACTACTATATCAGGTGTCCAAATCTCATTCGAATCAAATTTGAGCTTCTTAATACCGTAATATTTGGATGGATCCCATGTAAGGAATTCATCTTTCCATCGCTTTTGCAGCACAGTGTGAAATTTAAACACAAAATGTCAGTTTATCAACGAAATCAAATGTAAATAGAAAGGGTAATTTACTTACCAATATGAGGACACCACTCAGATGAAACGTTTGTTCAATTATATCCTGGAAAACAAGTCAGAATTATTGAACGAAAACCTACTTTACACATCTACTTACCACATCAATTATTTCAGCGATTCCTAGAGTAAAAGTCACATTAATGCAAGTTGATGGTTGCTTAACTGGACGACTGTATCTGTCATAGTTTTTCAATAGGTCACTTCGGAGTGCTTTGATAGCTGAGTATTTGTCTGAGATGCAAAACAAAACGAAAAGTTAACAAAGAATGAGTTTAACTTCATGTTAAATAGTTTTACCTTCACTTTGAACTGTTGTGATGAATGTTATTAAAGTAATTAAGATTGAATTAAACACTTTTTTAAGCATCTTCAACTAAACTTTTACTTTGATTCAGATATTTCAGAATGGTGAAGATTATGTTAAACTGAATAATGCTTTGTTATTAAATCAAAACAATGATATAACAAATGTTTTAGATCAAAAAGACATAATTTGGTGATCAAATTTCTCGTTTTAATAGAGACGCCTAGCTAAATACAATTAATCTTTTTCATTTCACTCACTTGGTTCGAGTCATTGGGCTTCATGAGATATTCATTTTGATCATACTTTGCTTGCTATTCAGACTGGCTTCGATATTTATTGCATCAATTTGCAAATTTTGTGTGACTTACAAGTTAGCCACTGATTTAAAGTTTATTTGGTTGCTGAAATCAAAATTGTATAGCCTGTGTTGGTAAATTATGGGACTTCAAATCATACGAATACATTACAAAAAGTCCCATAATTTACCCACACAGGTTATTGCTAAAATGAATCGTAAAATTGCAATTTTATGAAGCAAATAAGCTTGTTGCTAAAAGAGACACATTTGTAAAATTTATGCATCAAACTTGTAAACAAATGGGCGCAAAATGGGTAAAAATTTATTTCTTTCAATTTTAAACTCTGGCAAGTTGTAGAGCCATGAAAACTGAGTCCTTAGGTGCGATTAAAAGGATTCTCTTATCGATAGTTTTGAGAAAATCGAATCCAAAGTTGAAACTTCGATTGTCTTTTGTACATTTGTGGGACCAGATATTTTCATGAGACTTGATCTAAATTTTGTCAATTTTAATTATCAACCGGACAATGTACTTATTTTTAGAAATAAAATTCTCAGTTTTCTGTAAAACAGATCCTTTCGATTTTCGTTTAAACCGACCTATTTCTGTAATCGGGAAAATTAGAGAGCTGAAACTCACTGTATGTCCATAAAAATTGTTTGTACAAACCATGGATTGAACATTCTTTTCAAATAATCAACAGTTCTCTTGATTTTGGCCATTTACCCAAAAATTTCGAGCTTCGATAACTCGAGAATGGCATCATCTATGATCATCTTTCTTCGTCTAAACATTAGATTTTATTGTGGCCTTTAATATAATATGACTGAATATCGAAGAAAAGTTGAGCTAATTCAAGAAATAATGAATATATTTCTAAGAGATAAGATTTGGGTTCATCAACCATTTATCAAGAACCACATCTGGTAACATAAGTAATAAATGCTCTAACTTTTTTTGTAAAATCTTTAATGGCCTAATATTTAAATGAATTATAGTCAATAACAAAATCTAATGATGGCTCCAAGAATGATGATCATAGATACTGCCATTCTCGAAATATCGAGGCTCGAAATTTTCGGGTTAATGGCCAAAATCAAGAGAGTTATTGACTATTCGAAGCAAATATTCAATTCACAATTTGAGCAAACAGTTTTTATGGATATACAGTGAGTTTCAGATCTCTAACTTTCCCGATCACAGAAATAGGTCGGTTAAAACGAAAATCGAATTGATCTGTTTTACAGAACACAGAGAATTTTATTTCTGAAAATAAGTACATTCTCTGATTGACCATTAAAAGTTACTGAATAGGGATGAAGTCTCATGAAAATATCTGGTCTTACAAACGTACAAAAGACAATCGAAGTTTCAACTTTGGACTCGATTTTCTCGAAAACTATCGATAAGAGAAACCTTTTAATCCCACTAAAGCACTCAGTTTACATGTCCTCACAACTTGCCAGAGTTTAAACTTGAAAGAAAGCAATTTTTACCCGTTTTTTGCCCATTTGTGTACAAGTTTGATGCATAAACATTACAAATGTGTTAATTGTGTCTTTTAACACAGTAAAAACCTTTTTCTTCATGGTTTTTGTGCTTTACTTATGTTTTGACCCGAAATTATGCTTCTGATAACATGTTAAATGTTCAGTGTTCAATGTATAAGCTCTTATGTTTTTCGAATCCCAGTTTTTATCCGTATACAAACCCACAAAGTTCATACTCTTGACTCTAAAATCATGTTTTTGTCCATAATCCTTGTCGACAAAGCTTGAAGATACTATTTAAGTCAGTTTGTGCAGTTCAACTCGATTGTTTCAATCGTTTGAAGAGACTTTCAAACCTTTCTAGCTTCCAAGACCTTCCTAGTCCATTATCAACTTAATGATGCTAGACGCAAATTAATTGTAAAAATTAGTAACACTCCATTAACACCATCTTTACCTTTACCCATGACTTTTGCCAAAAACTAACGATCTAACTGTTCTCAAGGATTTCTCTTAATTTCATCTCTCATTAACCTTATTGTAGTTAAATTAGCTTCATTAGTTTTTATGTCCCTTCAAACCAAAGGAGTCTAAATACGAAAGAAACTAACTTTTACCCATTTTCGCCTATTTGTGTAAATTTTCGCATAAATGTGACAATTGTGTATTTTTAGTAACAAACGGTAATAAGAATATTTATTGGACATTTTAGACTGTTACAAATACAGAAATATATTCATATAATGACCTGAAAATGATCAGTAAATGTGAATTTCGCATACCAACGTTACGAATGTCAAAATTTCATTCTTAGAAACATTAACAACATTTGGTAATAAGATTTTTCTTTTAATTAACTTCATTATTGAAAAATTGTTTAGCTATGGTATATTATTATTACAACAATGTAAGTAATGAAAAGAAGTCGATCAATCAGCCGTAAAAGTAGAGCCCATTCCCGAATAGCTGCTCGTGAAGAAGTTGATTGAAATGGTTGTTGGTTAGAAAAATCATTAACATTAGCTTCTTCATCTAATTCGGTCGATTCCAGATTCCCTTTGAGAACAAATATTCGTGCCAATATTGGGTTTGTTAGATGGTGGGCTAAACAACTTGGTAAAGGTGGACATGTTACCATCAAAGACATGATCAATTGGTAAGTCATATTGGTTACAACCAGGGAAATTGTGATCAACATAATATTTATACTGATGCAGCGAACTGGAATAAATCATAAAAATTGGAGTGAAGATTTAAATCAATACAAAATATATCATTAATAAAATTATCAAGATAATTGTTACCTGCATATGGAACTCCTAATGCATGAAAACCAATATTGTAAGCCAAGAACAGAAGTAAGTTGACTAAAATGAATAAAGCAAGTGACCCAAACACAATGCGATAAATTGACCCGATGGGCACAAGGAATACAACTAAACCCAATAGACTAGCAGTTAAATATGGCATTAAGATATAATAAAAATGAATATCGACACGACGAGAAACATTGATTATGATGCGAGCGACGGAAACATTTGAAAAGGCCGTATACTCTGTGAAAATGTAACCTGAAATCTTGTCAACGTTCCATTCACTATTTTTCACGTAAGGCTCGTAATAAAGACGTCCACCTATTTTGGTATAAAATGGTTGTAAGATAAAATGGATATTATCGACAGTATTTATACTTCGAAATTAAAATTACTGAATTGACTTACTTTTACTTTTGGTTAAGTTGAGTTCATTAACATTATAAACCCAAGAGCCAAACTCTAGATAACATGTTTGTCCATCAAATGGGTAATCGGTTAAATCAGTGATACAACTGACGACAATATTGCTTGGTAATAATGCAAAGACTCTTCCTCTGTAATCAACAGATAGAGTTGAATGAGCATCGGAAGCAAATGTACTCATACCAGCAGCCGTGTTGTACGGAATGATATCAGGTGTCCAAATCTCATGAAAGTCGAACATTACTTTCTTTATTCCATTATACTTGGATGGATCCCATACGAGGAACTCATCTTTCCAAGTCTAAAATAAAAACACTCATTATTGTAGCCTTTAAACAGTTCTTTAAATCGATTCAGGGGCGAAAATTTCTCACCAAAATAATATTTCCATCGACATGAAATGTCTGCGAGGTCATATCCTGAAAAAGGAAAAAAAGAAAGCAAATAATAATGTTGATTTCATTCAGTTTTTAAATAAACTTACCAAATCGAGTATTTGTTGGATGCCAAACTGAAAAGTTACGTTGATGGTTGTTGAAGCCTGCTTAACTGGGCGACTATATCGATCATAATTTTTCAATAAGTCACCTCGGAGTGCTTTTAAAGATGATTGTTGATCTGTGATGAAAAATAGAAAATTCAACATGGAAAACAAATTGAAAAGTTGGAGTTAACAAGGATGTGGTTTAACTTGATTGTTCAATAGTTTTACCTTGACAATAAACTGTTAGGATGCATGATATCAAAATAAATAAGATTGAATTCAACACTATTTTAAGCATATTTTTCAACTAAACATTTACTTCAAATTGAATAAGTTAAGTATAACCAAGATTATGTCAAACTGAATAACACTTTGTTATTAAAGCAAGTCAATAATATGACAAATGTTTTAGATCAAAAAGACATAATTTGGGATCAAATTTCTCGTTTTAATAGAGACGCCTAGCTAAATACAAATAACAATTAATCTTTTTGATATCTGTAATTTGGATGCAGATTATTCACTTTCTCAATGTACTCAAAGTTTTATTTCAATGTTTTTTGAATAATACTTTTAGCAATGGATGGTTATTGAATAATAAATAAAGTGCTACTAATAATTAGCTTATAACAGGATAAAATTTTATTCGTGCAAAATGAAATTCCAAGATATTCTATGTACATCACTTTTTTTTGATTTTTTTAAAAACACTCTTCTTTGCGGCTTTGGCTAATTCAAGTTGATCATTCGCACAAGAAGTAATTAAATTTGAATGAAGACAGTCATATAAAGCGTTTGTGTTTTGTTCGCTGTGCAATATTTCATTAAGTTGGTCTTTTTTCAATTCAACTAGATCCGCGAAACATTTAACCTTATTCATAATCGCATAAACATTGTATAAATTAACTCCTGGTAAATTGAGAAGAAGGTTTTTTGCTCCAACATCATATTTATCGAGAAAATGTTCCGCTGGAAGTTGTTCTTGAGATATTGATATGGCTTTCTCAGCACTGGGTTGCTCTTTATCTTGTTTAAGATATTCAAAAACTTCGGCTGAAAAATGAGGTGAAGGTGACCAAATTATGCGGACAAGAGGAAAATGTAGAGTTAATATAACCAATTTAGCCATTACATCAAGATTATCTGTTTCTGATCGACGTGCTCCTAATCCCCAGTATTTACCTTTAAAGTTAAATGATTTATTTTGGTCAAATTCAATCAAAATAATTGATCTCTTATAGTGACGGGTCATTGCACTACATTGATTGTATAAACGCCCATTGTTAAGTGAACCAATTAAATCACTGATTGATTTACGTTCCACGCAAGTTTCTGGTGTCAATATATAATCACCAATCTCAATAGTAACTGGTTCAATGTCAATTCCCCTCTTGTGAATTAATGAAGGTAAGCTACTTCTGAATTCTCTCATATCGACAATTACTAATTGTTTAGTTGACTCTTGAGTTTGTTGACCACCGGCTTGTCGAGTTGAAACTTCTTGAGTAAATGATAGTCGGATTAAATCAGGGTTATCACCAGTTTTACCATCTCTGTTCTCTGGAACAACCATAGATGCTTTAGCTTTAATTAGGCTTTCAAAGGCTTCCTTTTCTTTACGCAAGCTTGTTAAATACTTTTGCTCTTCTGATGAACCGTCGTACATAAAAAAATAAACTTTAGCTTGTTCAGGAGACATTTTGCAAGCCTGGTAAAGTTCAATTTGTCTAATTGTACCCATATCAGGATCATAGAGAATGAAGTACTCGGGTTCATATTGAATTAATTGTTCCTCGAATCGCAGGTATCCTTCAGAAGAAGCGTGATAATGTAAATGGAGTTGACCAACTTTTTTATTCTCCTCTTCAAGTTGGTCATAATGGCGGACAATTTGAGTGAGCGTAACAATACCAGGATCTAACTCAATTGTTCGTCTACGTTTGGCTGGAGGGTTATTCAATTCAATATCATCATCAGCTTGAACATTAGTCCTTACAATATCACCGAGAATTGATTTACTTTTGATATAAATTTCGTTTAAAACAGTCTTTGGTCCTTTATCAAGAACGTCTTGTAATTTCAAAATAGTTCTATCATCATTTACAACGATCATGACATGAGTATCAGTCTCTTTTTTACTAATTTCTTGATTGATTTCATCAACAATATCAACAAATGAATTCCACTTTCCATTCATTTCAATATGCTTGTCACTAGCATTTTGTACAAAATCAATAACTCGATTCTTTGAACTAACAAATAGTATTTCTGCTGGTTCCCAAAAAATCCAATCAGAAACTTTGGCATCGATCTTGATATTATCTCGAATTGATTTGATTATTTTGTAAAAAGTGATGCAGTCATCATCGGTTAAAGATAGAAGCAATCTACCTAAAAGTTTTAAATCATCGATCAATCTTTTCGTCCGATAATTGAGTTGATGCCAGACCGGGTCAAATTGTTTGCGAAGATATTTGTCAAATCCAGGACTTATAGCATTCTCAGCTGTTGAAACGAATAAAAAAAACAGTTTGTTAGCAAATAGATAAGTTCAGGTGTAGATTCAGAAAAACTCGTTATTCATACCAGTTAATTCATCAATATCGACAACAAACGAAACATTCGCCTTGGATATTTCTTTTAGACACATTGAAATCAGGTCCATAATTGCAAATTGGATATTTTTCATATGTTCACTTAATGAGAGTCTTATTTCAATAACTTCTGGTTTAGCTCGACTTCCAAGTGATGCATTGACAGATGCATGAAACCGAGGCCACAGATATAATTTCTTAACAAAAAGAAATCTCATGATACGGTCAATTCTACTGAATCCACCGACAAAGGCTGACGGAAAATTTGAAAATCCTTTAATGAATCCAGTTTTGTTTTTCATTCTGTATAATCGAAGAATGAAAGCTTCTTGACATTCATCTTCAATTTTGTGAGCTTTAAATACAATTAGGCCTGTAATCAGATCAAGAGGAATACGCTCAAGAAGCATATCGACAACCAAAATTCTTGAGGTTACAAAAATAATTCCGCCATCAAGGTATAATTTTTTCCTCTCATTGACACTGTATTCAGAGGTAACCGAGCGAGGGTGAAAATCATCAGGCTTTGATCCAATGGTCAACGATTGCAGAATAAAATTCGTTTCTTTATTTGATGCATTGATTATAAATACCAGGTTGGATGGGGCATTATACGTCCGAATAAACTCCGTGACAACCTTCTCTAATGTCATTCCTCGGGAAGTTATCATCAAACAATCATCCTCCAGAAGATTTTCCAACATTTCTTTCTCAAACTCGAGCAATATAGACATTTTTAGTTTAGTTGTGTAAGGTGTCTGATGCACAAATAAACAAAATATTAACTAAGAGACATGGTTAAATAAAATAACACACAGTTCATAAAATTAAAGCTGTTAGTTTCATAAAAATTAATAAATAACTTTAATTTGAAATGTCATACATTTAATGCAATGAGAATCACAACTCATGTTTACTTTTATTCAATTGTTTGCAGCGGGAAGGTGAAAGGTATTTTCTCATCAATAGATGTCACCAGCTTACATTCGTCAAAAAAAAACTCTTCCCGCTACCAATACAAACAAAAACAATTCACGTTTAATTTAGATATGGTAAGTTGATTATTTTATCTGTTAATTAAGCTTATTTTTCTGTGTATCGTTTTTTCGAATAACCACTATAACTAATGCTCTTTTCATCTCGTTTAGGATTCTCTTTTCGTCGAGAAGTATAAGCCTCTTGCTTCTGAGAAAATTATTGGTCAACATGGGCCTAAAAGTAATGTTAAAAAGCTGACCCATTGGTTACAGAACTGGGAATCGAATTTGAACAAAAAACCTGGATTTGGTAAATTTGCGGCTGAAGATGGTGCTGGTTTCAGAGCTGCTTTGCTTTCAGGGCCTCCAGGTGTTGGTAAAACAACATCAGCTACTTTGGTCTGTAAAGAGCTTGGATATACTTATACCGAATTAAATGCTTCCGATACTCGAAGCAAGAAGTCACTAGGTGAAGAAGTTGCTAATTTATTGAGCAATAGAACTTTTGCTGATGTGAGATCCAAAGGTAATTCCGTTCTCTCATCTAAACATGTACTCATCATGGATGAGGTTGACGGTATGGCTGGTAACGAGGACCGAGGTGGTGTTGCTGAATTGATAAAGCTTATCCAGAAAACGGGTATGCCAATTATTTGTATATGTAACGACAGATCTCACCCTAAAATGAGAAGCCTCGTAAATTATTGTTTTGATTTGAGATTCACGAGACCTCGCATTGAACAAATCAAAGCCCATATGCTGTCCGTTTGTTTTAAGGAAGGGATAAAAATGAGCGGTGACGCTCTTAACGAGTTAATTATTTCTTCGAACCAAGACATAAGGCAGGTTCTTCATTATATTTCACTGCTAGCAACTGCGAAAAAAGGTGAAAAAGTCGATTTTAAATCACAAAAAGTCATAAAGGATGTAAAATTGGTAAGTTATTTTTTCGTTTGAGTTAAACTGCTTTTTATTTTGCATATTTATTCATGTCTATTATTTTCCTTTCCAGGGACCATTTGATGCTCTTAAAAAGCTATTTGTTGCTGATTGCTCTAAACCATTGAGTTTTAATGATCGTTCAGATTTATTTTTCTCAGACTATTCACTGATGCCTTTATTTGTTCATGAGAATTATCCAGTTGTTCAACCTATTGGCTTATCAAAGTGAGTGAATATTCATAAAATATACCTACATGATTTTAAAGTAAACCTTTTCCACTTATAGGAGCCAATCAAGGCAAAGACTTGATCTCGGAGTTAAAACTATTCAATCAATTGCATTTTCTAATCTAATTGAGAAAGAAATTCGCTCATCCAATAATTGGTCGCTTTTACCTATGCAAGCAGCTTTCTCTTCGGTGCTCCCAAGTGTTTACATGAGTGGCCATTTAGGTGGCATGATCGAATTTCCTAAAATGCTCGGTAAAATTTCATCTGGTAACAAGAAAGATCGCCTCATTCAGGATCTCAAAATGCACATGAGTTTACGTGTTAATAGTAGTAAAACCACTATCAATTTAGATTATATTCCCGTTCTTAGAGAAAAGATTTATAAACCGTTACGCGTTCGTGGTACCGAAGCTATTCCTGAGATTGTTGATATTATGAATTATTATTGTATTCGAAAAGAAGATTTAGATTGCATGTTAGAATTCTTATGGCCCAATGAAAAGAACCCAGTTGGTACAATTGATGCTAAAACAAAAGCAGCTTTAACTAGACAATGTAATGCATCATCAAGCCTTCTACCTTACTCAACAATGCCTGGCAAGAAGACTAAGAAGCGTAAAGCAGCTACCAATGAGGATGAATTTGGTGAAGAAGGAGAAGGAGAGGAGGAAGAAGAAGAAGAAGAAGAACCCGTTATTCAACCAAAAAAGAAAGTTAAAAAAGCTGCAACCAAAGAGAGTCCAAAAGCAAATGGAACTAAAAATGGACCAAAAGAGAAGAAAGAGAAGAAAGAAAAAGATGAAAGTGAAAAGCCAGCGAAAGGAGCTAAAGGACCAGCCAAAGGGAAGAAAACAGAAGTTAATGGTAAAGCACCAGCGCCTGTTACGACAAATAAAGGTGCTAAACGTGCTGCTTCACCTGAAAAAATAAGTCCTCAAGGGGTCAAAAAAGAAAGAAAAATAAGCGATATGTTCAAGCGAATGCAAAGATGAATGAAATATATTGTCCTTTTATCTTTCACTGTTAAAATTCCTTTTAATTACAATCGCTTATGAATTTTTACCATCCAAGAGATGGTCAATAAAACATGGCACCCGATTCAAACGTTTAAAAATCCATTTTGAAAGACAGATACAAGTAAATCTCAGATTTCTTCAAAAATTTCGGCCTCAGTATCATTTATCAATGTGCGGAGTCATTTTTATAAAGCGAGCATTGAGTTGGTGCCATTTTCATTGATAAAATCTCATTCTAATTACCTCAAAACATTTCCTCTATTTGTTTTCTATCAAATTATCAAAATATAATTTTTGAAAAAATTCACCCAATAAAGAATCTAATGAACATAGATCGATTAAAAAGAAAACAAAGCGAAGGAACTTTATTAATATTAATATATAGTCAAGATTTTAAAGATGAATGCAAAACCAAAGATACATTAAGTTTTAAAGAGATGTTTTAAATTGTTTTAAAAAAGAATGAATTGATGAGTGAATCATGAATAAGAAAAGATTAAACATTAATTAAAATGATTTTTTAATAAAAAGGCAGTCGTTGGAAGTTTCTAGTCAATAGACAAACTATCAATTGATTTCGGCTTCAATGGCTTGTGTAGGTATTGAGGCAACTGGCTTACTTGTCATCACCTGACTTTCTCTTGGTTGATTTTTACTTTGATACATTTTAGAATTGAATTCATTAAAAACAGGTTGACTGAAAATAAAAAAAAAAGATTAATTAGTCAAATTCGATCTCATATAATTAGCTCTGTAAACACTCACATTCCAGGTTCTCCAGTATAATGATCGTATCCTCTTCTATTGGATCTCATCAAACAACATATACAACAAGTTAATATCAGAATAATCGGAATGATTACACCAAATATATATAATGATAAGAATCCAGCATAAGAACCAGTACCTGAAACAATTAAAAGATTAGAATCAATCTGAACATAAAGTCGTTGCCATTTAATACTTACTTATACAGGTCGCTTCATAACCCCAAGACCATAGTCCATCAGGTCTACACCATCTATATTCATGTCCTACTAATCGATACCCATCATCACATGCAAATCGAACTGTGATTCCTGGATAATATTTATTTTCAGTCTTTCGTCCATGTCTTGGTTTAGGTAAAGCTGGACATCGTCGAACTGAAAAGAATAGATTAAATCAAATAATCAAACATTAGTCAGAATGAAAAACGATAAGATTCAATTGATTATTTCCCTTTCTCTCTCGAAAGCATAGCTGATTATTGGCTTTCACAGGAAACTATAAATGGGGGGATTTTATGATAAAAGTAAAGAAAAAATGTTCACTATCAAAACTACAATCAAGGTAATTATTGTGTTAATATCAGGTAACTCAAAGTGTCTCAAGTGAATCATTGATAAGTTACTCTAAAGATGCTCTAAACAAAACGATTTAGTTTTTCTTCACAAATTCATTGTTTGATTAAAGATTACTTGTCTTCATTTTGTTAAATCCATCCAATAACTAAACAATCTCAATTAATTAAACAAATGTTTTTTTATCATAATTTTACATTCGCAAGGCTAAATCATATTTCAATTAATTTGCAACGCATAATCATAATGCTTGGACTCTTGACTAATCTATTTTTTCTAGCTTTGATAACTTTTTTAACAGAGTGAGAGTCGATTGTTGTATTAAGACTCAGTGATAACGTTGGTAAGGGAGACTTTACCGTTTTGATTCGTCACCTCAACAAACAAATTCAATGTTTACTCTAACCGTTATCATTGCCTTCAATAAAATCTTCGTTATCAACCTAAACATTTTTCCATCCTAATTAATAGTATCTGTCTACATTTTCAAAGATTATCTCATCAAATCAATGAACACATTTCTTATTCCATTCAATTTTTAAGAATATCAAGTAAGAATTTGACGAAAGATGAAGCTGACAATACTTATCAACGATTGAATAAGCTTAATTAATATAAAAGATTAATTACCAGTAGCATTAGCTGCTAATTGTAGTTCATGGGCCCATGTTTCATGCGTTTTGGAAACTTTAGCGAAATCAGGATCAAGCGTCATGATATAATCATATCTACATGTTACTGAATCTGCACAAATTGATTTCATTTCTGCTTCAAGATGCATTTTATTATCTGGTAATCTTAATTCATCCGGAGGTAATCTGAACTCCGGAACAAAATTAAGATCATCGTACGCAGCGAATGAAAAGGCGTCGTGCCAAAACAACGAATGACCAACACCAATCTTGTCTGAACCTTCGGCCACTCTCCAGCTTTTACCAAATCTAGTATGTAAATCTTCCATAGTCCCTGATATAGATACTCTTCCTGCGCCATTCGGTAACATTAGATCATCAAATTTATCTCCAGAATAGAAACCTAATAGTCCATAAGTTTTATTCTAATAGGTTTATTAGAAGAAAAAAGAGAAAAAGTAAAACGAAATTAGATAAGATTAGAATCACATGATTATCATTGTAATATTGTAAATAGTTGATAGTTTAATAACTTACTTGAAATAGCGGAGGTAGATAAACGTGAACTGTCATGGCTCCTCCATTTGTCATAACCTCAACTCCAGCTCCAGAATCAAACATGGCAATTATATGAGACATGTTACGTATGTCCGCCGGTTGGTATAAGGTTACTCCACGGAAATTTTGAACCCGAAGTGAAGAATCCCAGAAGAAAACGTATTCTTTATCGACTATACAATACATTTGGTATCGCCAGCGAGCAGCTTTTGGTCTTATCCGGAATTCAACAGTTGCTGATTGATTGTCCCGGGCAGCTATTGCTGTTAAGTAGGTAGCATTGATATTTTGATCTATCCTGAGTTTCCTCGGTACTTGTTCAAATCTTGCTTGAACCTCTATAGAATCAATGCAAATTAAAGATAAAAAATGATTGAGTTTTTGATAGGATAGTTGAATTGCTCAATAATAGTTCTAATTATCAGAGATAATCAAATGATGTGGTGTCTTTCAAGTTTATTTTACCTATTTTAGCACTTGGATCGTCAACACGGGCTAAGACAAACTCTCCTTTTCCGTTAAAAGTGTAAGAATGATTATCGAATGTGACAAAATGTGGATCACCATAAACTGAGGCTATTCCTGGAGCTTGATAAGATGAACAATCTTGAGAGGTTCTCCAATAGTTGTATTTCTGGCAGGTATCGGAATCATCTTCTTCGGGTTGCCATTTACAACAGACAAAGAAAGGCATAACATCATGAAGATAGGTAGATAAAACTGGTATCTAATCAAGGGGATAAAAAGCAATAAACTTAAGGAACAATTTCTTAAAAATAAATGATTCACTAAAATTCGGATGAGTCAAATAGACTCAGTAAATAGAAAAATATTCTCAGTTACTTTTCATTTAATTCAGTCTTAGGAATTAAATGTTGTTATTTCTATTCGATGTAAAATTTGGCAAAACTTACCATCATCCTCATCTTGAATGGATGTTTACCATACACGAAAGCTCTTGAAGGTCTACCTCCATACATAGTGTCCGCTGTTTGAATCAATTCCATGTAATCATCATAGCAGCATGTCTGTCCAGAGCCTCCAATACTATTGGTTTTGTTAGAAAATTGGTTAATGATAAAAATTGAAGCTTGAATTTGAATATTAAGTTATTTAACAAAGAAACACTTACGAAGGTCGTCCAGTAACTACACAATGCTGCGCTCCTTTATGGAATATTTCACATTTTCTGTCTTGAATATTACATTCGAGATCAGGTGAGAACCGTCCTCTGTCAAGATCAGCTTGGGATCTGGTACATGGACAACGGAAAACTGTTGTAGCAAAAGCATCTCCATATTGCTCCTTTTCATACCAATCATTACACAGATTTGTTTTCCATCTTCCATTCAGACCGTATACTCGTTCCCATTGACGTCTGAAGTACCAAGCTAAAGGCATAGCACGAGACCAGATGATTGGAGATTGAGTAATTTGTTTACCCAGAATTGTTGGATTTGTTAGATTGATTGCAATAAAACCAAAAAGCATATCAGTTAATCCATGATTGACACGATCACGATATTTTTCGGTTAAAAGCTCAATTCTTTGAGATCCAAGACGAACTCCCTCTTCGAGTGTATCAATATATGTAAGCTTTGGATAAAGATCACTAATTTCTCGGTATCCCCACAATGAAATACTAACTGAAGCATCAGGATACCAAGCGAGTCTTTCTGATTTCCATTTTATTACAAGCTTTTCTGGATTTTCTTGTCTATCCATGTCATCAAGAACTACTACAGCATCATCAGCAATATCAGGAGGTTCTGTAAAGGTAATATTAATAATATGAAGTTAGATACATTAGAGAACAACAATTCGTACTCAACGAGATCGGAAACATGAAAATAAATAATAGAAAACGAAAAAACGTCTTTAAACTTACGAACATAATAACGACCCAAGAAAATTGTTTTTCCTTGGACTGTTATGGATAAATCAATATAACCGTGGTAAAAAACGGGTGGAGAAATACAGGTAGCATGATTCGAATCACGGTAAATTCCTTTAGCAACTTGATTGTCGAAGTTACATGTTATAATATCATCTGGTTCAAAACAAGGTCCAGTCACATTAACTAAGGTACCACCCAACATGTGACCCCAACGAGGGAAGAATGTCAATGGAAGACGATCTTTCAAATTTGGATTAAGATCCTTGTTAATACAACATCCAGGCCAGATTTCCTCATCAACTTGGAAAAAATATCGACCCTCTAATCCATTACCATAACCTCTTTGCGTCATAACACTAACTCGAGGCTCTTGAGAATATGGTTTGTACTCGAAAGCTCTTGTAGTATTACCAGCATTGAAACCAATCTAAAATTCAGAAAATGAATCATTAAAAGTGATAAAAATATTATTTTTAACATGAAAAGCTAACTAAACTTACAAAAGCTGGTGGTCCTTTGAGTCCATCGTAATTATCCTTAGATGTGATCCAATCTATCTTTTCATAATTGAACATAACATATGTTCGCATTTCGTCAGTCGCTACAACCATTTGATAGGTATTTGTCTACAAATAATAGATTAAATTAAGATTAACATTATTAAGAGGGTGAAGATATAAAAAAGTAATATTCTAAATTTATAAATTACCTTGAGTGGTTTTTCCTCTCTTCGAGCAACAAAAGTCATATTTTTCCATGTGATAATCATTGCAAATTTAGGTGTAAAATCCGCAGCTCCAATCATTCCTTCTCTAAAATCGAGAATCAATCTATCTCGAAGAGTCGTATTCGTCTCTTGTTCCATAACAACCAATTGTAAATAAACTCCAGCGTCTAAATAAAAACAAGCAATTAGCAAGTTAAATAATCATCTTTTTATGCAAATCAAACAACTTTTCATTATATTGTTAGTGGTAGAAAAAAGTGAAAGGACAAATAGAAATATTTATAACACTCATCTAATTTGCTGTAATTGACGAACAAACAAGACTTCAACCCTTGTTGACCTTTTTGATTGTTAATTGTGTTACATATCATTTCATGTTTTTAAAATGATAATAATGGGTATTGTTTTGAATCAACAAGTGAAGTTAAAAATCAGTTAACTAAATCTTGTATGACTTTATTTTAGGGTTTCATTTTTGCTTTGTTTTTTTGTTCACTACCATAATTAGATTAAAATGATAAAGGTAACAACAGTAAATTGAATCACAGATTGTAATTAATTGTAATACAGAAAAGAAAGTTATAATCAACTTACTTGGAATCTCTGTTTGTCCAGGAATATCTTGCTGAGCAAACCAGATAGCAATCATAGATGGATCCTCTTCAGAAAGTGGATCAGTTGGTTGCATTGGAAATTTCAATGGAAAACGATACGAGAGAAGACCTTTATTAAAGGCAAGATGACCATTCATTTGAATATAAGCATAATTAAATTCAAATCCAAAGAAGGGCAATCGAAATGTTAACGGTTGATCATGAATAGGCTTGTTTTGGTTGATATCCAGAATGTACGTTAAGTTATATGGATACATGAGTTGTCGACGTTGCTCCTGAAGTTCAGGCGTCATGATTGGAGTAAATTTAGCTGGAGAACCAGGGAAAACATTTCCGTAATAGGTTCCTAAGATAACAAGTGAATTAAAACAAAATTAATTTGGGTTCAAGACCAAGAAAAGTTAAAATCATTACAATCTAGGAAGATATAGGATTAACTGGTAAAAAGATATAAAAAGGTTAAAACAAAAGCTCACCTCTTTGATCATAAGATGATTGTCCAACGGTTTTTTCAACCAGACCAATGGCTGTAAAAGGGAAAGAGATAAATCAAATTTACTTTTTGTATTGAAAATTTTCATTTCTTTTTACTTACCTAAAATAAATATTATAAGCCTGGTCAACATGGTTATCTTGAAATTGAATCTGTATCAATTAGAAGTTTCTTTTTTTTTGTTGATGGGCTAAATTAAAATAAAAATTAAAACACAATTAAGGTAAATGGTAGAGAATGTTTAAACTGAAAATTGCCAACGCCTAGGATAAGTAGTAAGTTGGCTTTACTGTTGCCTGATCTCTAAGAAAGTCAACAAAATTGTGTTCCTTATCTACCTTGAGTCGTTGTTTCCTTGTTAACCAGTGATAAGAAGGCCTTATTATCACTGGTTGACATAAATCAATATAAGTGTTTACGCTATAATGAAATACTGTTTGTAATTAATAACAACCAGATTGATATAAACTATTGTGACAATGATAAGCCATAGTTTCAACTGTTGACTCATTTTTGGGTAACAATCCTTTTAACCAGTCCAACTTGAACTTGATCATCAACCCAAGAAATACATGAATTTAATGTTTAGTCAATTTAGCTGAATATTATTAAATTTAGCATCAGTTAACTGTTTTGATTCAACCAAACCTAAATAGATTAGACATTAAAACTAAATCATTAAGAGGATCGAAATGACTACAATTAGTATCAAGGTTATCAAGATTTGCCTATTTGTTCAATTTACATTCAGTCTTACCAAAAATGTTACCAGATTTTACATTTTATTCAATGATATTAATATACAAGTTTATGCATTTCAATTGTTGAAATGTTTGTTAAATCATGTTATTTCAGTTGATAGCAATCAATCATTAAAATAATGATTTTTTTACTCATATCAATAGCTCAGTTTTATCATAAGAAGGAGGTTTTGATATTTTATCAATCAAGGAGGAAAATAATTTAACAGTTAAGGTTGTCTTAAATTGTATTACATTTTACATTTGAGGCTTAGTTTTCACTTAATTGTTTATGTGTACGTTTGTGTGTTTATTGTCATCAACAAATCGTAAACAATTGATTTCAACCAATTTAACCAAAATCAACACCAGATTTATCGGTATAAATTTCATACTCATTGTATATTAATGCGTGAATTTACAAGTAAACTGAAAATTGTACGATTCTCTGATGATATTAACTATAACCAACAATCAACTGATGAGGATTACAATTTACCAAATAATTGCGATGAAAGGTAAGTGAAAAAAATGATTATGTTTTGGGTGAAAAAGATGATTAACAAGTGAAACAATTTTGACTGTACAAACAATGTGAACCTTTGGGTTAGGTTGGTATAAAGTTGAAGTCAATTTTTTCCGGACTTTGGCTTCTGATAATTTAACAATTCAGTTGTATCCAGTAATTTATCAATTGTTACACCAAACAACAATCAATAAATTGAACAATTTAAACAATGTGACCTTCATAATCAAAAAATTTGGGTTCATTGTTTACCAATAACCTTTCTCATGACCATCAAAACAAGTAAACCCTTTCCTCTTTACTGGGCTGTTTTTTCATACATTAAACTTCAACCTTTGTGAATCACAAAAGATTTCATCTTAATTTTAATATAATCAGTTAATTGTCAGGTTTGCTAACAAAAACAATATATATTTAACCGTAAGTTCATCAAACTGTTGGTTAATGTCATTGATTTAATCAACAACACAAATCAAGTTGAAAACAATGACCAGAAAAAAATGGATTACAAGAGACACTTTTACGTGGTAGTCAACTGGTTTGCTCAACAACCAAAAATGTGTCGACAATCTAAGTTTCAAATAAAAATATCTCAAACCAAAGTTAATCCTTTGATCACCATTAGCATATTGGCTTTGAATTAAGATGATTTTGTTGACAATCAAAAGGGAATGAAGATAGCAAGTCTACGTGTTTACATGTTAACCATATTTTCCCTATTGAGGCAATGATGGATAATGTTTGTTTGTAATTGTTTGTAAGGTCCAAAATTTTACAATTAGACGACAATTTATCAATTATTTATAATATAAAACAATGTCTCGGTTGACGGAGTTTATATTATTTAACCCAATTTGAAGTTTGATTGAACATGATTAGACTTTAGCATTAACATTAAAGTATCATGTTGGACTATTTTTGGTCAAGTTATTTTTCTAACATTTTCCCTTTTCTTCTTCTTACATGAAGATAATTGTTTAAGAGGGAAAATGGTGTTTTCATTGCTGAACAGTTATTTAAAGGAGTTAACAGTTAAGATGATGATGATGATGAAGTATAACAAGTAGAAAGAGTAGAGAAAGAATGGCGAAATAACCTCCGCCTTCACCAATCCAAAGGAGGATCAAAATGTTAAAACAGTGTTTCGTCTTACCTTTCTTATCTTCTGGTTGTTGTCCATCTTGAATCTTCCAAAAAGCATGGCAATGCTCTTGATTCTAAGTGAAATTGTGATTTGCGTTTTTCCATCCAAGTTAATTAGTTGAAAATATCCAATTTGGTTAATGGCATCACTTTTATTTAACAGCATTGTTTTTTATTTGACAATTTTTAGTCACCAGTATCAACAAGTAAAGCTAACTTTCAACTGTTAGATCATTCTCTGGTTTCCCTTTTTTCCATTGTCTTCCCTCCATAACCGCCATTACCGCCATTACAGCTTTTCACTTTCAACTGTTAATCACCAACGGTTTTCATTTTTAATTTTCTGGTGCTGCTTCTAAAAACCATTGGATTAATTGTGTGATTCATTTGTGACTTTGTGCTCTATTTAATCAAACATGACATATGTTTATGGTTTATTGCTGATTTGAATTGTTTCAAATATAACATTTAACACATCAACCAAGTTAAACCAGAAACATTTTCTGGTTATTTGTGTTTAGTGAATGATTTGCAAGCCAATAATTTCTCTAAAACATTCTATTTTGATTATCTTCGACTTAACCCAATGATAACTTGATACAAGGTAACTATTGTTTTGATTTTAATTGTTCTAGCTACTGATCAAATCCAAAATTATGATACAACTCAAGTACTTTCAACTCCGCGATTTCGTTCAACATTTTTATTGACAGTCATTGAAAAACTGGTGTTTATGGACTTGATTTTCAATAAGTTTGATGAAATTCCTAGCTTGATCTTCAGCCTTACATTGAAATTGATTGGCAGTGAATAATACAATCAAAATTCACCACCAACGCCAAAAATACACTCAACAGTTATAATTTTTCTAATAGTTGATAACAAATTCAAAACGCCATTTGTGTAGCCCATTCAACTGTCTTATCCAACTTAACCCATTTGACATATTTGTTGCTTCAAAATCTGATCTGAGATTTAGCTGAATAATTTGAATATAAGAATGATTAAATCAAATAGAACTGATAGATTATGTCTAATCAAATCTGTGTACTTATAAATTTGAATACATTTAGTTTCTGATCATTGAAAGCCAATCCCAATGAAAAAGCACGGTAAAAGGTTAATAAAAAAATTAAACTTAATACTAATCTGCTAAATTAATGTTACCATTTAAATTAATGTTGACAACTACATATCGTTTCCTATTAAGCCTAACCCTGTCAACAATGAATACCAATTACCAGCCAATTAAACCTAATCATCATTCTAATTTAATACTCTTAATTTACTTGAAAAAAAGCCTTTATCCAACATGATTAACACAATTAAGGTTAAAAATGTAAAAGTGAAATTACGATTTGTGTTAATTTGATCAAACTAATTAGCTCATAATCCAAGTCAAAGATAAATCACAATCATTGATAACTTTCACTAAATATTCACCATTCAACTAATTTCACTCAATTTCATTTCATTACAGATTCAATTGTGATCAACCTCAAGTCATGATTAGTCGTAAGAAAATCTTATCCAAATCATGTGATAAAATAATTGATGATTGTAAACATTATAATGATCAAGAGATTTGGTTTAATAAGGATAAACTGTTCAAGGTAAGTTACAAATTGACGTTAATTGCTCTTTTAACAATTGTTATTAAACTCAATCAAAAAGATAGCATCAAAATTTAATGAAAATTTGAATATTGACTTTTGTTCATTTGAATAACCAAATGATTGATTGATTTAAATGGCTCTTTATTTACGGAAATTAATTTCACTAAAATCAGTTAACTTTTTGATAGTTTAAATATATAATCAAATCAATGATGAAGCTAAAAGCAATTTAAGACATTTGATTGAAAAATGTTTTCAATTTTTGCTCATCAAAGGTAAACTTTAATCCAGAAAAGATGATTTAACAGCAATTTATTGCTATTAAACTTGAGGCTGTAGTTAACTGCATCAATCAGTTCAATAATAGAATCAAAATTTTACTCAATTTAAGCTTTTAATTTTAACTGATCACAAATATTTCAATTTAAATTGCATGAATAAAAGTTATTAATTGAAATGGTGAACAAAAAGCAAATTGTAATTGTCTTTCACCCATCTGATTGTTTAAGACCGAAACATCAACAATTGTTAAAAGCAACAATTTAGATTCATTAGTTGCATATGAATGAATCTTGTTGAACAATTTGTTCAACATGTCACAATCAAACGGCACAATTGATGAAATGATTTAACAATCAATATGCAAATAAGTGAATAATCAATAATTAAGCATCTCTTGATGGTTAGTTAACTTTGAAGCCTTTCCCTTTCATCAGTAAATCATACACTTAATAGACTTGATTAGTATAATAATCAACTTTGTACACTTGAGTGAAGCTTCTGGTTTCCAGTTAAATTGTATTATTTTGAGACAATTATTATTTTAAGGTTAAGCGGAACCTGATTTGTAACAATTTAAACTGTAACTAATAGCAAACTGTTTGTTTAACTAATCATTTCAACTTTCCCTTGATTTGGTGAACCTTTTGCATCCTTTGATCATTAATGATTATCACTGGTAAATTATCCATAATTACCATTCCAATTGAGATGCAAAGTAGTCTGATCAATAATCATGGTTAATCTGATTTGTTCAACTGTTCAATTGTTGATCAATATTCTCCTTTGACCCAATCAGTGATCACAAGCTTCCTGATTCAACTTCATCTGTTAACCTCAAACAATTAATTGACCATTTTGATTGCTGTGATTTACAAATTTCACTTTAAATGTTCATTTAAATTTACGGTAAAATTAGCTTTTACATTTACACTTCAACTTATTCAATATCAATGTAAAACTCACTTTCCTTTTTGAATTTAATTGTTTTTCATTGAATATTGTATTTAATAATAGATTTACAATTTTGCTTTCAACTACAATGAGATAAAATTAAGATTGATATTATGAGTATGTTAATGATTAAGTTAATTATGATGGAAAAGGTAAAATTCATGTTAACTTGATAATCATGATTAAAAAGTGATGTTAATATTACTATTGCTAATAGGGATAAGCATTCACACGTATTTAATTTAAAGTGTTGATCCAACACTCATAAGGTTTGCTGTAAGCGTTATTGTGATGATTGTTATGCTGTTGATGATAGTTGTGTTGATGTTAATCATATCTGATTAATCAATCAAAGGGAACAGATCAGTGTAATTTCCGGTGTGAAAAGTTGAAACATTCAGTGATAAATGTAAATTTAATGTTTACTGATCTCAACAGTTTTGACAGTTTCAGGCCAATCCAAGCAATTTAGACTCAAAGGATTTTGACAAATTTTTGATTCTAATCTTTTTCAGATGGTTATGTTGATGTTATTGTTGTTGCTTTTGGTGATGAAGATGATGATGATGATGATGATGTCCTGATTCACGGACTGGTCATCTTGAGGATTAAGATGAGAGAAAGTAAATAAAATTTCTTCTTTTTTTGTCTTTTCATTATTTCCATCTTTTTCTGATTCTCTTAATGTTGAGAATTGTAAGCCTAAATTGTTATTAATCTTAATTGTGAGAGCACTTGAACTTAGCCATGATGTTTTAATTACTGTTGACAATTTACCTAATTATAAACTGGAAATGTTTACCAAGTCTAAATTAGGCTTTTGTTGGTTTAATAAATTTTGGGTTTCTGTGAAATGGAGAAATTACTTTTAATGAAAGTTGTTTCGCGATTGTTATTAGTTAAATGTTTTAACAATGATTTAATTAATGAAACCTGAAAAGGTTTTACATGTTCAATCAGCTATTAATAGTACAAATCTGCTGGAGTTGACCATTTGTAATGCTAAACAGTTTATGTATGCCAACCCAAGTTGACCAGATTAATGAGTCTTATGAATATGTTAACAATTAGTCCATCAAATTCATTAACTTTAATTTGATTTTATTAACAACTTAACAATTAAAGCCTAAGCACATACAATTGAAAAGGCCCTCATTGATATTAAAAGTGAAATTTGCTACCAAAAAGTTAACCTTAAAACCAGTAAAAGCATCACGCTCAAAATCTTGAAAATTGACCAGAAAAATTGAGAAACCTAAAAAATTTTCTGGTTAATTTTCAAGATTTATGGCTTCAAGTTTTATGCTTAATTTGACCAATAGCTATTAAACATAAATTTTGATGAATATTGTAATTAATTGATATTTTTCTTCATTAATAGGATCATATTAGAGAGATTCTGGACAAATGGGATCAAATCGATGATGATATTTGGGCAAAGGTGATCTTTATGGAGAGGAATCGTCGAGTTGCCAAAGCATATGTGAGAGCTCAAGTGATTACTTTTAATGGATCTGAACGAGGCTTTGATGGTCATCTTGTTGGTCTAAAAGGATTTGCTAATTCAAAACGAGATGAGAGGACAGCTAAAGTGTTGGAGGATTTAGGTGAAGTGAGTTGACTTTACCTTCATCTAATTATTGTTGAACCACCGTCTCAATCAAGATATTTGATGTAACAATTTAATTTTGCTGCTTCTGTTGTTATTTAATATCATCTTTTAACATCCAAATAGCACAAAAGATGAAGGAAACAATCAGTTTAAAGGGAATCTAAATTGTTACAATATTGAGTTGCTGCCATTTGAGTGATGGTAATGGTACAATTAGGGTTTTATGTTAGCTGATAGACCATATCATCATTAAATTGTTTTAAATAAGATGATTTATTTATCAGTCACCTAACCAATTCATCATAATTTCATCTAACTTCTTGTCTGTTAGACATTTTTTCCATCAAATGGTTAATCGTTTTGATATTTGTAACACAAGCTCAAAGTGATTTATTGAATCATATTTTTACTCTTTTCGCCATCTTTTCATTATTTTGATAGTTGATTGTTAATTTCTTTGATAAATTTATATCAATCAAAAAAGCTGAATAACACCAAGTTGTGCCAGGTTAAATAGTCATAATCAAGATGAATTGCAATCGAATGGCCAAAAATGGAAAACTGGAAAATCAATTGAAATTGAGTTTCAATATCTTTATACAGATGACAACTTTCTCTTGACTAATTGATCAGAATTATAATTGTTGCTTGGTGATCAGTTAATTTTACATTTCATCTTAGCTGGTAATTGTTATTGTGTGCAAGTGTTCAATTAAGATTCAAACTAAATATGGTGATGAATAGCAATTTTAAATATATAACAACAGAATTGTCATTAAATTGTTTCTCGTTCTTTCATATAATTAAAGACCGGACATTAAGAGTGTCTAAAAGTAGCCTGAATGTTGGAGAAAAAATACAAATGTAATGACCAAAAAGATGACCAGATGAATAAGATGATGGAAGATGAGTCTCATCATTTTCTCACCTTTGAGAATGTAATTTACCTTATGGCCAAGGAAGACAAAAATGAAGACAATCATCACCATTTCCATCAGTATCTTTCCAATCCTTTTGTTTTGCGTTATGTTGGTCATTTAGTTTAATTACGGTTAATTTTTGTTGATATCTTTCAGTCGCTTTGTTTCCAGTTGATCCCATCTTTGTTGGCCATTTCAATTAAGCCATCAAAACAGCCAAACGATTGTAATTCATGTTAATTCATTGATCTTACTTGCTAATGTGGTGATTAATTTGATGACTGAACTGATCTTATCACTTCCATTCATCTCAAGTCTTCCTTCAACAAGGAAAACCTTATGAACCCAAACCCAAATTAATTGGTGTTGAGTTGAAATTAACATTAATTTGAAGCCTTTTAGCTCAATCTTAATTTCAATGTATTACAATTGACTAAATATTTCAATTTTAATAGCTTTCACTCAAATTTCATTTTGCTGATTCCTTGACAAAATCTTGCTCTTTTATGTACAGTTTATTAATTTGATTTTTGTCTTTTTTTCAATTTCATTGCATTTTGAGGTTTAGGTTCAAATGTTTCAAATTGGATCAGTTGCGGATGTTTAGGATAAATACACAAGATGAAATCAAGATGAATTGCTACAGTTAAATGGAGTTATGTGAATGAAATACATTAAAAATTCTGGCTACTAAATTAACCTGATTTTATAACAAAGGTCACCCAAATTTAGCGGCCATCCTAATGATACACTTATCCTTTAACATGTGATAATTATTAAATTAAATTGTTCCATTTACCAGAAAAGTAGATTAACTTACAGAATAGTCTCAACAAAAGTTACATTAGGATGTTTCTATTGAAAAGGATCATCTTATTTAATGTATTTCACCTGTTCATCTTCATTTACCGAGCAATTCATTATAAACATTCAATTAATTGATGAAAGTTGAATGAATTTCATTTTTCAAATCAACTCTTTTAATGAAATTAACAATGAATGTTTAATCTTTCATCAAATTTTATAACATTATAACATTAATAGAATGCAAGTTTAATTTGACTACAAGTTAACGCTTTTTGTAGGTTAACTCATTTACAATTGTCAAATCGTTTACAAAAGTAACATCTTTTTTCATGATAATTCATCATAATTTAACAGGTATTTTGATTGATTATGATTTGAGTATTTTGTTTGCTTAAACACCTTAATGGTCGTAATGAACCATTTTAAAATGTCATTTCATTGTTGATGCAAAATAATCAAATCTTGAAATTGAAAAATCCTTTTATGAACTTGATTCACTTTGATCAATGAACTTGAATATGGCAAGGTTTTCACTCTACATGTTAATATGTAAACTGTTGTGGTTAATATCGTGATTGTTGATTAATTTGATTGACCTTTAATTACAGGTTGTTCCCGTGACACTAGAATTAAAAATAATTTAAAGATTATCTTTGTATCTTGAAGTGTTGGAGGATTGTATTAGCTGGTAAAGTCAGCGTTTAATTGCCACCAAAATGGGGAAAAAGCTGCAAAAATCAATTGACAATTTAGTGAAGTTTGATATTGATGAATCAATTTGAGAGCTTAAACCATTCTTAATGATGAAGTTAATCATTTCTTGTGCTTGTTATAAATAGCCAAACAACATAATTGTTAACCATAATATATTAATCATTGGATGATTGATGAATCCAAGATTTAAAGTGGTTTATAGTTTAACACAATATCTTGACAGTTCAATTAAATTATTTTGTTATTTGTTCATTTAACTTATTTTTGCTCTTCTTTTGCTTCTTTCTTATCCTTTCGCATTGTGGTGTCTACAATTTAACCCTGAATCAATCAACTTGGAAATGAAAAGGGAATCAAAATGAAAATAGATGAATCTGGTGATATACTAATCAAAAGGTTAACCCGGAGTAACGTTAAAGTATCTGGTAGTACACCTGATTATAACTGTCTTGGAAGTGAACTGATTGAATCAAATGGTCGACTTGAAATGGACAGAGCAATGACCCTATTCCAGATGAAGAAGTTGATTTCCACAATAGGATCCGAGATACGATCAACTTATCCAAATCAAAGGAGATTGGAGAATCAATGTATTACTTGTATTTCAGTTGATATTGAATCTGACAATTTACTCGAAACACCGTGCTGGATGATGGTAATCAATATTGTCGCTATGGAAGTGATCAAATACAAATTACCTTGTATAATGATGAAGTATCAAAAGATTCCTGATTTTGTTGCCATCTTTGATAACCAGCAGAAACAAATTCAACAACAAAAATCAGTCAACAATAATAAAACATCTTCCAATGACAAAAGTAATCAACATCTTCGCAACTCTGTCAGCAGCAATAGCAGTACCAATAGTAGTACTAATAATAGCAGTTGTAGTAGCTTCAATCCGGTCAATGGAAACAATAATATTAGCATAACGACTAATAACAATGTTAATAACAATAACAATGCCATTTGTAGCAGTAAAGTTGATGTCAAAGCTGCTAGCTTATCGGTTCCAATAACTTCAGGATCTAATGGTGAAAATACTAATGGTTCTGGTGTAGTTAAGCGAAAATCCGAGTCAAAAAGGACATCAGAAGAAATGTCTCCATCGCCTCCATACAAAGAAAACAAGGAATGTCTTCATCATCATCACCATCATCATCATTCAAACAACAATCAACCTCAGGTTAAAGCGGTCAAACAGCTCAGTCAACTTGGACGAAGTAAAGATCAAAGAGTTGAAATGAAGGAAATCAGTAACAACTCTGATAAAATAGCGCATTCTAATATTGATTCTGTCCCTGTTGTAATAAAAAGTATCACTGTTAAGGAAGAAGAATCAGTAACAAAAGATGGTCAACATGATAAAGCTCGAATTGAAATACCAATGCCAGATTATGATAAATGTGAATCAGATGGAAGTAAAATGAAAAGACGAGGTAAATCAACACAGGTAGACAAATTGTAACATTAATAAACGAAATATATTTCGAGCAAATTAATTACTTGTTGAAAATGATTGATTGACTAATGACTTATTGAATTTTGTTTCAATTTATTCACAGAAGAGGACTTTATCCGAACCTCAGATGACAAGATTTCCGACCAGTTATTGCTCGGCAGTTTACCAAAAATTGAGGAAACCTGTTTGTACCAGTTGAATGCTTGTTTAAATGGCCATCCAAAATCAGTTGGTTATTTAAATAGTGCCATGAGAAAGTTACCAGTTAATAGCAGATTGTCATCTTGTTCATCATCATCAGACTCATCACAATCATCAGGTAAATTAATCTAAATTTTCGTAATACAAAATTTGGTTTAAGAGAAAGAAGAAAGACTTATTTCTCAGCATTTTTCGATGATCTTTAATAATAATTTTGTTTTATTTCCAATAGGCTCTGAACCATCCTACTATCATATTTACAGCAGCATAGGAGAAGGAATAAAGATAACTAATTGTCTACCAACGAATCATCTTGTTGCTTGTGACAAAATAATCAGATATTATGTTGGTAATTGGGAATAAATTATCACCCCAACTACATCAATTCATTTTCAACTCCATCTTCATTGAATTTCCGAATATTTTTTTTCTGCATCAACATTATAGCAAAGTTATTACAAACAAGAGGAACACTCATTGTATTACATTTTTTTGAATAAATCTTTGTTTAAAAATTGCCTTAAAAACGTCCAATTTATTGAACTCAATGCACAATGCTGTGCATTTAAAGATAAAAGATGATTTTGAACTAACTAGTAGAGAATGTTTAGCTTTTGTATAATATTAGGACGTTTCGGCGAGGTAGATTGTAATAAATTGTAAAATATTAGGTAATTTTTTAAAAATTAAATAGCGCGCTTCTACATGTTGTCAGATTAATTCACAGGGCTGTTGAATTACTGTCATGCAAGAGGGAATTTTTCAGAGTATTCAATACATGATGCAATACAATAACAACTTTACACCAGTTTTGTTTGTTTACATCAATAAATTATTCATTCAACACTAATAAGATATTGTATAATTTGAATATTGTGAATTGTATTGTCTATTTATTCATAATTTTGTATCAAAAACAGCTGTTGAAAGCTCACTCAATACATTTTTGATTTCAATTTTTTACAAACAAATTTCCTCTTGTAAGATTTAAGATGGAGTGCCCAATTAATATTACTGAATTATTAAACCCGAGCGAGGAATCAGCATGCAAATGGTCGGATTTATCAGTTTTACTCAGTGAAACAATCAATTCACTTGAACAATCACTTCTGTCATCTAATTTAAAAGAGTTGTCACTTGATGTCAAAGAGGACTATCCATTTTCTAGTGATAGAGATGCCGTTATTGAGAAAACTAAATTATCAGTTATTAATGCAACGCTGGATTCATTGAAATTATTATATGATAATTTGGAGAGGTGGAATGGTGTTGTTATACATTCAGATTACTTTTACCGTGGAAGAAATATAGATTGCAAAATTAGAAGGAAAATGGAACAACTTGTTAATAATCTTAATGACACTTTTGACTCGCTAAATAAGAATACTAAATCTCCATATGACTTGGTTGCCATTCTGGATCCTGATTATTTTAAACAATCATTAAAAACCCATCCAAATAACGATCTACATGGTAGAGCTAGCATGTTTATTGGACTTGCTCAAAGTGAATTAGGAATTATCAAAGAATCTTCTGAAACAAATGAAATGCAAAAAGTGATTTTGACATCTTATCTCGATAAGTTGAAAACATTAAATGATCAAATCAATTCTTCATCATTGGTAACTACAACATCTTCATCCAAGAAAAAGTCAAAGTCGTCCAAGTCCAATGAGATTAACAAGATTTGTGAAATTATGAGAAAATGTCAAAGATTAATCAAAGACGCTTACGGGTTGATGCGAATATTAACTTTCAAAGATTATTTCAATGAAAGTGATGAAATTTTCAATGTTATTAATGAAAAGGGTCGTGATGCTATTTCTGAGGTCGGTGAATTCATAGAAAGTATAAAAGCTGATTGGATTAAAAGCGAAAGGGAAAACATTACTCAAGCAACATGTCGAAGTGGCACGTTACAGAGATTGAATACAATTTTAAAATTATTTAAAAAGTTGAATTCATTTAAAGATGATTTGGAATCTTCATACGTAATATTGGGCCTTAAAAACATAGCAACTGACACGTTACGCATAAATTCAGCCTTCCAATGGGTTAACTGTGAAGCCTTTTACTTAACATTCAGAAATTTACCCAAACCAAGGATTGATGTTCCTCCAAATTTTACCAGAGCTGACCCAGTTTATGAAGAAATTCAGAAAAGCCCTTATAATGGACTTTTTATTGTTTATTTTCATATTTTAAATTATTATAAGTACATGGAATCATTAGATTGGAATCCTTTTCAGCGTCGTAAACCATGGGAACTGAATGATTATTTGTATCATTTACAATTGCTTATTGAAGCTGCATTGAATGCTAGTTTGGACCAAGATGAATCTTATAAAATATCATTAGACTTGGCTGATCGTTACCTGATGACAAAACAAAAGATACGTTATGATAGAGAAACTTTAGAGTATAGATTTGATCATTTCAAGCCACTCAAGCCATATAAATTCCAGGAAATTTATAAGATCTTGCATTCACAGCGACCAGATTATAGAAGAAGATGGGCTTTGAGAGATCAAATGACTGAAAAATTTGACAGTTTAATCAGTGAACTCAATCGTAAAGTTACAAATAGAGGACAACTAATTGTATTTGAACGAGCAATGGCCATGATGAAACGATCTATTTATTTATTCAGGATTATTCGATACGCTGGTCATCCTTGTCATGAAGATAAATTCAACAAACTCATTGAACAAGCTGTTAATGAATACTTTTATGCTGCTGAGATTGTGGTTAAACTACTTGACTTATTGAAATCAAATCGCCGAATTACATTTAGTTTCTCGGCAAATGGACCTTTCGCTAAGAAAATAGATTCTATTGGATTGAAGGTGAAAGATGAATTCTTGGAAACAGTCAATTCACAAATGAAAACTCTTAAAATTCAAATTAGAGACAAAGAAGCTGATCTGGAATCCGTTAAAAATGAAAAAACCCAACTCAAATATTTGCAATCAATTTTAAATAGAATCAAATCAATTCCAATCAAAGAACTTGAGATGACAGATAAAGATAATATTATTATACTTCGAGAAATTATTGAGGAATATGAATTCACGATTATTAATTATGGACCTGTTGAAATGTCATAATCAGATTACTCTTTCTTGTTAGTGTTTTATTTTGTATTTTTTGTTATGAATTCATATTGAATTAGAAATTTGTACGAATCACTTTTGTTAATCTTAATAATGTTCATGAATCAACTTTTCTCGAAATTTAGTCAAACTGTACAAAGTTCTGCATATAAAAGATACTTTGAATTTGAATAAAGAATTATTGACCAAAAGCTTAGCAAATAATTGTTTTATCTATAATTTAAAAATCGAAAGGTATCATTGAGTAGAGGGAACTTCATTTATTTTTTGAGTTTTCTAAGAAGTTCAGTTTGAAAGCTTCATTAACGAGTTCGATCTATTCTGAAGTCAAGAAAACCTCTGTCTGGGTCATTATCAATCGATTGTCTCTTTGAAGTTGAATAATCCTCTGAAATGAAGTTCATAATAGTCATCAAGTAATTCTGAACATGGTTTAGATAGGTGATTACTCCAATCACCAACTTTTCCAGCTCGAAAAAATTGAGATTCATTCAAATTGCGAAGACCAATGCCATCCCAATGACTGTAATTAACCATGGGGTTTACTTTCATAAATCTGAAATCACAATGCTTCTTTAATTGAACCATGGTTTCATCACTTGGAAAAGGTTTGCCCAAGAAAGTGCAAAGACGTTTTACTGATCCTTCAAAGTCATTATGAAGATCTTCATAAGCAACAATAAGAACTTTGTTTCCATCAACGGTCGAATATTTAAGAGTATCAATATAATGCCTATGCAACGGTCCATATGCTATATTTCCGGCGACGAAACGTTCCACAAACATTTCAATTGATTCTTGATAATCAACCAGCTTGTTCATTCGAGCAAAAAAATAGTACGAGACTGTGACATCCTTGATGTTTCTTGTAATAGAGATAACTTTAGGCTCAATTTTGGTTTCTTGATTGAATAATATACTCAAAGGAAGGTGAGTTTTAACTAGACGCGGACTTTGTTTTTTATTTATGGCCGATATTCCGGGTAAAATCCATTCCAGAAATGGAAATCTGTCTTCCAGATTAGTTAATAAAGCTTTATCGAAATTGTAATCGTTCATAATAAGCCAAATAATTTCTTGTAACCAAGTCACACCTGGAACAAATATAAAACAAAATTTTCAATAAAGACGGATTGCGATTATCATTAAATGAAAAGAGGAGAAGATGTGTAATTACCAGTTTTTGGAAATGTCGATAAAATAACATCATCGGAGTTAAATTTGATTTCAGGCAACTGCTTGATCACTGGTAAAACTTCCTCAGGCAAGATGAAATCTCGAAATTTATATAAAGTCATGCGACCAATCTTGTTGTTTAATCGAATAGCTTCTTTTAAGATTTCGGATTTTTTCTCTATTGCTTGTCTAGCATAATAAGAGGTAACCACAACACCTGAGAAGATGAACCCATAAATACATTTTTTTATTATATTGAACCTGCCAATATCAGGTTTACTAAAATCTGAACACTTGACACATGTGAGATTAATTATAGAATTAGATTTTAAAGTTGATTTAAACAATTGACTAGGCAAACGATTTAACAACATAGTTACTCGAATAGAGGAGAAAAACAAGTCACATGTTTCCAATCAGCTGATTTCATCCACACTTGTGTTTTGCTTCACCATTTTCAATCTAATGAACTTCATTTTAATCGATTCAACAGCAATTTAGCTAATTTAATTATCATATTTTGATCAAAAAATTTGGATAATTGGTAAGTTCAAACATAATTCTTTTTATTTTTATTTTCAAAGCTTTGATGTTGCAACTCGTCTCATATTGAATTTTGAATTTTGTAAATTTAGATCATGAATTACTTCTGTCGGACATTGGTCAATACATTATTGGCTCGACCAGCTGTTACTCCTGAACTAAATTTGATGCAAAAGAGAGGTCCTAGAATATTTTTCATGAAAAGATTATCTGAAGTGAAAACTCACCGTAAAAACTCATTCAGAGCTCATATGTACCAGCCAAGCAAACGAAAAATAATAATGCGAAAGCTCCTCAACAGCAAATCCATTCTGGCGACCTGCTATTAACCTAAATCAGGTACATATTTATCAGGATATTGGATCAATTTAAAAAAGCAAAGTAACTATGTTTAGATAAAATAGCATTTACAGTTTGATTAAAGTTCAACCTTAAGATTGATGACAAATTTTTGTTATTTTTTATTTCAAACGATCAAAAAGACGTGTTAAAGTGCATTTTTCTCTTATTCTTCATTAACAGCAAATGGTCAGTAGTTTAAAAGCTTGATTCGGAGATGAATTGTAATACTAAAACTGATTTATTCTGTATCATAGATAGATAAAGTGTGTATCAGGAGAGATAAATGCTGGTGAATTTCAAAGAGATAAACAATTATAGTACCTAATGTTAATTTTTGTTTCTAAAATTCTAATGTCTAATTTAAAGTGATGATTAATTTCAAATTTAGGTGTAAAGCAACATTGAAATATCGTTTTTCATGTAAGATTTTCGAGTTCAATCGCGAATAAAAGGTTTACATTTAAAATTAAAAACGCTGGTTAAAATTGGTATGAAGAGTGAACGTTAGATGGCACTGCAAACGCTAAATTTGGGTTAAAGTTTAGGTTTTTTTAAGCAATTTATTCAAAGAATAGCGTTTTATTGCAATTAAATTTAGTTACAATATTTTTTTATCAGCTTTGGTAAATATAATTAACTATCAACGTTATACCCTTTGGTAATTATAGAAAGTTTGTTTTGATCCAATATTTTGATGACCAGAACCCTTTGGATATTACTTTTAAGTTGTGTAATACAAAAACAAAATTACAAAATGACCTTGATTATTTATTGATTTTGGTTTACAAAAGCTTCAGGCAATTTGATCTATGTGAAGGTAAAGAGGACATAAATTGTATTCCTATGGTAATGATGAACAGGTAAGCAAAGTGAGGTAAAGACATAGGAATTAACCCAAGTTCAAAGAGATACTAACGTAGGTGGTAACCGACACTGCAATTTGTAGACAAATTTTCATGGAAAGCAAACATTTTTTACTTTATTTATTGGTTTTATTATATCAACTAAACTGTTTTAAATACCCTGAACATTTGATGAATTTGGATGTTTCAAATTATTTCAAGATGAGTTGATCTGGAAAACAAAAACGTTAACCCAACATTGGAAGTTGACCTTCAGTCAAAATGACTGTTTTTAACATTTCAATCTGTTTCTACAGTTATCATGCAGCTATAAACAATCACCAATTAGATAAATTATTTGATATTTCTTCAAGTTTGATTAAGTAAACATCATCACATTAAACAAATCCTAGCATCATTGATGATGAGAAAAGCATCAAATCAAATTTAAAGCCAAAATTATTTTGTTTAATATTAACCTTAATTTGAAGCACGCCTGGAGTAAAATCAAACAATACTTTGTGATTTACCTTGAAAATTTCCGCATTATCTTCAAATTTAATAGCAATAACTTTTCACTCTCAAATCAAATCTTATTAAACTTGAAAGTAATGCAATTAAAGCAAACTTGAAATCAAATTAACTGATGGCCAGGAAAGTCCTATGAAAATCATTGAATCCTCCAACAGAGTCAAGTGTTTCCTCATTGAAAGTTTTGTACCCCAAGAGCTGGTAATTATTGAACTATGTGTCCAAGCTTGATACAACGTTTGGATGAGAAAATGAATAATCAATTTTCTCAATCAATTGTGAACAATTAATGCCTCCAAATGAATCATAGAGAACGCAAACGAAAAAAGCAAACGTCATCACCAGAATCATCAGCAACATTAATATCCAAAATAAACATCAGTAACAATGAGAACGAGATTTTGCCATTCCAATGAGATTTTAGTTACATGGTGATGAACCTGTGTGCCTGTGAACAATAATAGTCATGTAAAATACGTGCAAAAAACAGGAAAAAAAGTAAAGTCCATATTTAGATGGAAATGATATTGGCTAAGATGGATGATAATATCGTTGAATGAATTTCTCATAACAGATAAATGTAATCAATCGATTTCTACATTTGATTCAAAATTTATCTTCAATCTACCTTTTACTTGTTCATTTTTATCTTCATCTTTAAAATTGTTTTGCTCCTCTCTTCACTTTTCCCGTCGACCCATTCAACTTGATAAGATGAAGATAAAAGATATTCCCACAAATGGTTACAGATTTAGTAGAACGGAGTCTTTCTTTTCTTTCTTTTCTTGATTTTCTTGTTCAGATTCTTGTTTTGAAACACCATCAAGAGCAAGTGAAGATGAGAGGGAGAGTAAGGCCAGTTAACCCTGTAGACGCATTAAAACATGATGAAAACCAGATGAAGCCAGGGGTAGTTGATAAGCCACTTGAATCGGAACGGCAAAAGAAAGAGAAACATGAAAGATAAAACAAGAGTCTGTCTCCAGGTCAGTAGGCCGGTTGAGTGTGTTTGGGTAAAAAGTCGGACAACAACCTTTACTTGGAAAGGTCAAGGTGTTTTTTTTTCTGAAGGAAGATGCCTTTATCCGTTCTTTGCCCATTCCAAACAACATTTTCTAGTGGACGCTTTCTCTTCTAATCAGGGCAACAGCAGCATACAGCTTTACCACCAGAAACAAGTGTTTTCATTTCAATGTATAACTTGGATTCAGGGTTAACAGGAGAGAAAACCATTTTCTCTTAAATTCTGAATAAAAAATGCAAAAAAATGATGGTTAAAAAGTAACATTAAAACAAGATAGATCAAGGTGAAAGATTGTCTAAAATAACCCAAAAGAGTGAAGTTGAAATTCAAATATAAAAATATTGGCAACTTTGTGAATGTTAAGATATGATTTTGATCTGGTTAAGTCTTTCTTGGTTAATGGTTAATATTTTGCCGCAATCGATGAAGTAATTTACCTATTTTAAATTTTAGTCACCAACCATGTGGACCTTTCCTATGAGTGTCTCGATGATTCACTTGCTAAACAATTAGATCAACAAAGTATTATATTTATTATGATATCGTCATTACTTGCCTGTATTTTCATAATGTATTTAGTTGATCCAAAATGATGAGCTACAAGACTTGATTATGCTCGCCATTGTTTCCAAAATTTCATAAATCTGGTCATTCATAGGTTATCCAGTTTATTACATGGTTGTTTCTGGGAGTCCAACGATATATTTACCTTAAGAAAGTTGCCATTATATATTAGTTATACACAGTCTTGTATAATGTACTAATGTATAATATATTATACATTTTATATGATAAAAATAGATGAAAAGTTTGTAAACATACCTCAATGAAATTACAATGGTAAAAGTAATATCTTTGTAAATATTTTAGACAGCATTGAAACTGATGAGCTGATATAACTGGTAAAGAAGGTGCAAATCAAATAATTACTCCTTGTTTTTTGGTTTTTGGTATCTTTTCTGGTCCATTGTTCTCTTTTGGGTTCTTCCTTGCTTTTTTAGGTTACATTGGGTTAGGTTGTCAAGTGTAACAGTTTACATTGTTGCTATTTACTTAAATCACCATCTAAAATCAAAGCCAACTCGAATAAAGAATTGTAATATTTGTCCTTTTGTAATTAGATTGTAGTTCAATTTCTTAATCCGGAAGAGAAGAAGCAAAAAATAACCAATTTAGGACTCGATTCCAAATGTTGTTGTGGTTGCAACTGATTTGTGTTTATCGACTTCTATCTGAATAAAAATTCTTTCTTCCATTCCATTCAATAGTGAAACAAAAAGTAGACTTGATTGAAATGAGAGACAATCAAATAATGTCGATTAAAATAATGATGGACTTCTTTTTGCATTGATCTTTTTCATCTGCTTTTTTGTTATGTTATTTCGAGTGTGGGTATAGTTGATTTGATTGCCAAAAAGAGCTGATTGAATAGGAAACTGCGAACATGAAAATGTGTCTGTCTGACTTAAATCATTGACGATTAAAGAGTAGTTAAATTGTCCTTAATAACATAATGATGAGCCTGATTAAGAATGTACAGTTGCAAACGTTTTCAGGTATAAACACACTCTCTTTTCAAAACACTTTTTCAGGCAAAGATAAACCCGTTAATTTAGATTTAGTTCACAATTTTTTTTCTCTTAATTCGCCGAATCAAATTTCTCCAAACCATGAGGCAAAATGTGTTTAAACCTTTTAATAACCTAAATGGTGCTAAATTGTAAGAAAACTAAATTAGTTCACTTGATCGTTTTTAGCATAAATTTTCAACATTACCTACCTTAACCAATAAAAATGAATATGCCCATTGCATTTCAAATTTGATCCACGATACCATGAAAATCACAATTGTAAAAGGTCAAGTTAATGGATAAATCAATCAAGCAAATGGTATTTCGCATTCATGGTCAAAAGTAAACCTATTAAACCAAACAATTTAGAAACCATTCGTTAAATAACACAAGATGCAAAAATAATGCAAAAATGTAAAGAGTTAGAGGGGCCGATTGTAAAGTTTGTTTTGTTGGCGTAATCCTTTTGTCTTAAAACGCATAAAAAGCATTAACATATGTTTATTTAGCCGCTTCTTTTTTTACTGTTAATTGATTATTGCTATTTTAATTGGTGTGTTTACGTTTTTAATTCAAGTAATCATCAATCAATTGGAATTGCATATGGTGGAAATGTATAATCTTTAATTACAATGTTACAAAAATGAAGTATTTTTTTCACAATTTGACAAATTCAGTCCAACAAATGAGCGAGCCATACAAAGCGATATCAAAAATAAAGCCTTGGTGTTGATAAGGTAATAAGGTAATTAATTATTTATATTTTTCCATCTCTCACTTATTCTTAAATTACTTATCAAGTTGACTGTTTATGGTCGAGGTCCTGTATTGATATCCATTGAAGTCAATTGAAATTGGATTGATTTTTTGTTCCCTCTCTTTTTTCTGTCCTCTTGTTGTATGTTTCAATGATGATGTCTTACAATTCATGACGTTTGGCGTTGACTTAATTAACCAGGTATGACATTTAACTATTTTCCCGATTTGAATCAATATTTTCTCTCCATTTAATTTGTTTTATTCATTTCTCACAGGTAATACTGATGTTTCTCCTTGCATTGATATTATCTCACTTGATATTGGCTATTTTGTATTGATCCTTGAGCAAACATGGCAAAAAAAGAGGCAACATCCAATTCCTATGGAGTTTACTGATCACGACGACTTTTATCTCAAATGTGTTACACAAAATTACTAACCCAACACACTCTTAATTTATCTATATCTTTATATTATTATTTTATATAAAATTTTACATTAGTACATCATAAGTTTCTGAATTGAATGACGAAACTTCAGTGTAAACACATAACGCTCACTATTAATAGATAAAAGTTGTCAAAATTAGTTAACAATCTAGTTTGTTAATAACTCATCAATGACATAACCTGGAATAGTGAACCTTTTAAACTCTCATATTTTCATTGTGACTCAAACAACTCAATCATGTGAATTTGCACATAACTTTTACTTGATTGTGCTACTGTTTGTCTGTGCAGTTAAATAATAGACACTTTACATAAAATTTCAAAATAATCGAGCAATTTGAGTACATTATTCCAGGAAAACATGGCGAGTTGTGAATAATTGACTTAATTTCCTTATAATTATTACAAGCAAATTAATGACCCAAAATTTGTCAAGTATCAAAGCCAAAAAAGCCTAATATCAAGTCCCTCTACTCTAGATAATATTGTTAATATTTATTTTGATGAGTGAAGATTAACTGATAATATTAACAATTTGAAAAGCTAAAGTAACCTTGACTAGTTATTGATTTTACTGTTTCCGAAACTTGAGGCAATTTAATTTAGGTTGCTTATGCATTTACTATATTTGAGTGAATAGCAGGATCAATCAATAATTTTAAAACTCATCAGTCAATGAAACAATCTATTGGATGCTGTTGTTCCTGTTGTCCGATTATTAGTTACCTCTGTAATTTATGGCAATCAACAAAGGTTTACACATCATGTAAGAACCTGTACCAACTCAATGAGACTTACATTGAAGTAGATTGTTTTACATATTGTACACTTCAAGGTTAACAATTGGTTACCTTAGTTATAAGTCAAAATCAAAACAGTCAACCTAACAATTAGCTAAATTGTCTGATCGTTGATTTATTGGTAGTCTAAAGGACAACACATAAAAAATGTACATGCATTAACTGAATCGTATGATTGAACTATCAAATTGAACGCAGAGTAAACCAACAATCTATTTGAATTCCTACTTCTTGCCTGTTCAATTTATGTTAAATTATTATACTAATTTTCATCTTCTCTTTCTTTTCTTCCTCTCTCTCTCAATAGATCCCATGTTTACCTTGTCAATCTTGGAGTATGAAAAAAATTACCAAATGAAAAATAACAAGTCAAAGTCTTGAATGGATCACCTCGTATTATAATGAATACAATCAACGAACCAATTGATGGCCAGGAGAACCCTAAAGGTTATTAATTGCCTGGAAACATTTTAATTTATTTTACTGTTATTCTGAATTAATTTGGAAAGCTGATGATGGAAAGGGAACAGAAGAAATGATAATGTTAACTGGTTTTGTTTTTTTTTCAAGTGAAATCCTTTCAATGAGAAAGTTTGCCTTATCTTGGTCAAGTTTTCAGGGCTAAAGCTGAACATACATTTACAAAAGAGAATCTACATCATCATCATCATTAACGTACAACAACATTCGTATGGTTTAGTAATGATGTACTTATAATACCAAGTACTGGAAGAGAAGCAAGTAAAAGCTAAAAAAGATGGCGAAAAAAAGGAAAGATTAAAGATGGCGAAGCAAGTTGAAGATGAAGAGGGCTAAAGGATAGCAAAGATTTCGATAAATTGAGAGTTGAGGGTTAAAAGGTTTGTCCCGTTACCTCCCTTTGAAAAAAAGCTGATTGTGAGGCCACTTCACTTTTTCCTTCGTTCTGATGAATCTCGTGAAGATGGAATCACAGCAAGCCCGAATAACAACAACAACAACAAAAAAGAGTCTGCTTTAGGTAAAATGATGTTCCCACAAAATGGTTTCAGGCTGAGTAAAATCAAGTTTTTATTCATTCATTTCTTTCTTTCACTTGTTTCTCTACCTTGTTTAGATTCAAAAATTGTAAGGTCAGTTAACCCTGAATAGCATCGGTTGAAGAGAAAGGTCAGTTAACCCTGGAGAGATAAAAAGGCATTTCCATCATCATCATCATCATCATTATAAGACTACCCACTAATACAGTTTGATGTCATTTGAATCGGAACGAAGAAAGAGCAAGTAGAGAGTGGATGATGATGTTGATGTTGATGGTGGTTGCGATGAAAGAGAGAGGATGGATTCAGTAAAAAAGATGAAACAAGGAGCTGTCTCCAGGTCAGTAGGCCGGTTGATGTTTGCAATATAAAAAAAATATATCGGACAACAACCTTTACTTGGAAAGGTCAAGGTGTTTTTATAAAGGAAGATGCTTTTATCCGTTGGAACAAATAGAAAGATGGATTCCAAGATGATCAACAACCAGCCGGACGCTTTCTCTTACCTAATTTAGGCCTCATCTACATGTTATTCATTCACCATTATTTTTCATCGTTGATTCTTGATCTTCACCATCATCACCACTCTCATCATCGTCACTATCATTATTATTATTATTCATTGAGGGTTAACGGGCAAACAAGCGAAACGGGGAAAAGTTTTCAGATGATATTCAACGCTAAAGAGCAATCCGAGTTGATGGTTAAAGAAGAAGAAAAAGCAAAAACAATTAACAATCAACAATCAAGATCGCAAAATTTCACTATCAACAATCAAGACAGAAAAAGCATTCACCTGTAATTGGTGTGAGTGTATTTTTTTACTGCTACTCCTGCAATCATCAGTAAAAGTGATTTACATTTTTCTTTATCAACTATCAGTCAACGAGGACGACGCTAAATAGTGTCAATTAGTGTCTTATTACTCTTCAGCCGATTCGCAATAATGAACTAATAATTTAATAGTTACGGACAAAGTTGATCATTTTGTTGTTATTTTTTTTTGTCTTTCAAAGTACAACACATTTATTCAAAGCATTTTTTGTCTTGGCTTTTTTTTATATATATATGTTATGTTCATACATCGCCAATTTGGTTCAACAAAAGGTGAAATGTACTTAAGAAACCTTTAAGAACCAACATTTATGTACAGGTATATAAGAGTGAAAGAGAAGAAGAAATAAGAAGAAGAAAAAAGAGAAAAGATGAAAAGTCGAGAGAAAGGTAACTAGATGAGGCTTGGGATGACGATGACATCCACTTCACACTACAAGAATGAGTGTCGAGTGATTAAACTCCCAACAATCAACAAAAAAAAGAGATAATTATTGGACAGCATTTTTGATTTCCACTTTTTGTTTACGGTTAACAATCAATCTTGACCATATCCAATCAAATGATGACCACATCTACTGAATTAATCCATTTCTTTATTTATTAGAGGCAACAAGGGATTGTGTATTATATATTATTATTAACATTAACATCTTTTCTTGACCAATTGTGTGTGTGTGTGTTTTTCACGGACAAAACAATAGATAGAGACACATTAAGATTGAACAGGATAGAGATGTAAACTTGTGCAATTGTTATTCATATCTGCCATTGATGGTGATGCTTCTTGTGGTGTTGCTGGTGGTTGTGGTTATAACTTCATGTTGATGGTTTGAGTTTTTACAAATGAAAGAAAAAAAATTTCAAAAACAAAAACAATAAGATCACATATCATCTTGATGAACCAGAAGATGATGAAGACCAAAGGCAGAGAGTGTGAAATAACAATAATGAAAAGTAAAACAAAAAATTATCCATTGATGTCTCTCTCTCCCCCTCTCTTTGAGTTGATCAAGTTATTACAGTTATTGAGTGAAGATACACAGATGATATATTCAAGATGATGATGATGATGATGATGATGAGATGAGATGATGTTGAGGATGATGATGTTGATGATCAATGTCACTTGTATTGAAGGTTTATGTGTAAGTGAATGTTGTGTGCATTTCCAATCAATGCTTGTTTTTGTCGATTTAGTATTTTTTTTAACTTGTCTCGTCAATAGTCAACTAGTTAATAATAATATAATAATAATATAATAATAATAATATTAATAATAATAATAAACTTCTTATTTTTGAGTTGATTTGATTTGTTAGAAGAGAGAGAGAGAGAGAGAGAGAGAAAGAAAGAGTTGATTCTGGTGTCTTTAAATATATTTTGATGATGGTTTCGTCCATTTTGTATTTATTGTTGAATTTGATTTTGGTGGTTGGGTGATTTAATTAAAAATAGAGTTATCATCATCTTAAATCAAATTAATTATGTATTATCCAAGTCAACGTTATTAACAAATTGCTAATAATCTTTCATCATAAGTCTAAAATTGTCCAACAACATTTTAATCATCAATTTGGGTGACTTTTGGGTTTTCATGTAAAATTTTTTTTGGGTAACAAAATACATTGAAATGTATTTTTGCCTTTCAATTCAGCAATTCCTTTAACTATTTACTTGCTTCAAAGATGGTTTCCACTTGATATTGATTTGTTGATTAATTTTGGTTGATGTTGGTGTTGTTGTTGTTGGTTTGCTTCTGGTTCTGGTATTTTTTTTTTATAAATTTTGATTCATTTGATTAAATTAAACATTGTCAAGCCGGCCAATTACCATCATTGGGAACTCGCAATCTTTTCTGTATTGGACCTTCGTAATCGGAGCTGCAGGATGGATCAGGCGATGAAGAGGTTGACGGTGTTAACGGTGGATGACCAGGCGATAAATGGCTTGGTGTGTTTGATGAGGGCCTTACAAGGTTACCCGAAACTGAGTGACCCTGGTGGGAAAGATCCCGTGGTGGTGATATTGGTTCACTTTTAACTTTAACTGATGAGGGTGAGGTTGATGGGGGTGGGGTGCTTACAGTGCTAACTGATAATTGAGGTGGATTAACACTCGTACTTGGAGGACTGATTAATTGATCCGGATCAATGGGTAAGAAGCATCATGATCGAGGTGAAAAGAGAGTGAAAAGAAAGAAAGGGAAACAAGAAGATAAATTAAAGTTAATTGTTGGATGAAAAGTGCAAGTATTACATTTTTATTATAATGATGATGCTGATGATAATCATAAAATAATTAATAACGATATTTAAAAGCAATGGAAGAACGAAATTTCATCTTTAACTTGATGACAACAAGCAAAAAAAAACTTGGCAAACCTTAAGTCAATCAGTTAACATTTATGTCAACCCAATGATGATGATGATGATGATGATTATGATGATTTTTGGTGATTGACCTAAATTATTTAAGGTTCAATTGAAATAAGATTTGTATTGCAATAATCAGCAGTTAATTGTGTAACTGTAAATGATAAATTGTATTCTTGCATATAATAAGCAGCAATACAACAGCAACAAAAAACAAGCTCGAGTTGAACCTTTTTTTAGGAAGGTTTATATTGTAATCATTTATTTTACTCAAAGCAATTGTAACCAATTGACTATGAATTCTGGTTGACAGTAACAAGGTAGACAAAGCTAAACATCATCATCATCGTCGTCATCATCATCAATGATCTAATAACCTTTGTTAATAGCTTAATCACACGCACCATCAAACCATCACTTAATATTAAATCACCAAATAACATTGGTCTTCACTATTAAATGGTTCACCAAATTCACAATGAAAGTCACACACAATGATAATTACCTAAGTTACCTATTCTGATGTAACCCCTGGTTCTGGGTTACAAATATGTTTTTGTCAACTCACAACCAATCAACAGTAAATTGATTGTTAATTAATCCAATTTACAATCTTAAATAGTGGCTGACAGTTATAAAATGATAATTAAAAGTCTGCTAATCAAAGGAGTAAGAAATGACTTCTGAATAACTGTTTACCAATGTCTACATTGAACAACCCAATCTTTTACCCAATCTTTTTCAATCAAAATTTTCTCTACCTTTTTCTTGATTCCATCATTTAAATTGCTTACCAGTAATTAATAGCATTTAACAGTTGAAAAAAAATGTGATCATGATAAATGATTATTCAATTGATTAAACAATTTTTTTCCTCTGTAATGGGTAAATGTTGTTGAAACTGCTTGAAACCCAAAAATTGACCAACGTTTAATGAGAAAACAAAAATTCTGGTAAAAAATGGCTAACAGCTATTTCCTTGTTAACTGGTTGGATTAAAATTGTGATTGAACAATTGAAAAATACTCATCATGTAAATGTGAGTGAAAAGAAGATGAATTGGAAATAAACAACAATTACTATTAGTAAATAACAATGTTGTTCAAGTTAATTTGTTACTAGAGTAAATAAATTGTGGTACTAATTTACCTCTATCAAGGCTATTAATCAATATATTTATCATTGAAGGTTTTCATCGTCAAATCATTATTATCATCACCTTCGTCTTCCTTGATTGTTACCTTCAATGTTTTTTTATTTATTTTGCTTTTCTCGTTACTATTAGTAATTATAATCAATCATCAATGCATTCTTGTACAGAGAGAAGAGGCTTTTTTTGGGTAAAGATTAATAAACTTACCTTCCATGGTTTATACTTGAGGACAGTTGATTTTGATGTGGCCAATTTTGAAGTAAACCCGATGAATTGAACGTCGAAATATCCATATCTGAATTATTTAATTGAAAACCATCTAAAATTAGAATAAGAATGGAATGAGAGTTGAATGAAAAATGAAACAAATGAATAGAGTTGAAAGATGAACAACAACAATGAGATTGAAAAGGTTAAGATTAACATATCTCATCGTCATTAAAATGAATGATAATGGTGATGAGAAAAGATGGGAATCATGGTGAAAATTGATTAAAGAAGATAAATTAATTCTGTTAAATTGTAAACAAGGTTAACATCTAGAAACAAGTGACTCGAGTAAACACTTAATTGTACATTAATAAGCAACAGTTTTTCACGTTTAGCATCAATAGGAATTCGTGATTCAGTGACTACAATTTTCGCTCAACTTTTGCCATTTACATTTCACAGCATTCATCTGACATTCCCTTCGAGCTAGAATCAAAATTTTAAGGAAATAACCAGGTTAAAGGGTTTGAGGTTTGATGATTGCCAATTTCATTTAATGTCAAAACCTGTCAATGTTCAAACAATGATAGACATTTCTCAAGGTATTTACAACTTGATTTTGTGAAGTTAAATTTTCAATCTTAATCTCGCCTCATGTTCAACTCAACATGTTTTGTGTCTGATTACTGTTAATGAAGTTTCCAAGTCTATGAAAATTACTGACGATTACTTTGAGCAAATAGTAGCCTTTACTTTAATGATGATTTCATTATCATTGTTGTTGAATGTGTTCATCAATTAAAATTGAAAATTAATGATCAACACTTACTGGAACCAAAAGATGAAATGGAGGACGAATAAGCCGACATTGCCGTTGCTGAGGATGAAATTGCTGAGTTAAGAAGCGTACCATTACGTGATGCCTAGAATGCAAAATGATGATCAAATTGAAGAGACAAAGAAGATAAAGGTGAAAAGGGGAAGAAATAAGAGATTGATTAGTAAATGGAGAAAAAATCAAAATATTTTTTCCAAGTGAACACAAAAAAATATATATCGATATATCATCATATTAGGAAGGAAAGGAGTTGAATTTAAGGAGATTGGATGATAAAGGAAGACAAGGGAAAAGCATATTCCATTGGAAGATAACGAGAAAAAAAGAGATGAAAAAGAAAGAGATGAAGATGAAAAATGATGAAAAGAAAAGCAAAAGGTCTTCAAGGCAAGGTTTTTTTTTCTTGCTTCTTTCCCATTATCAAGGTCTTGGAATTGCAAGAAAATAAAAATGCAAGGTAAACCTGAATATTTGGGTGAGTATGTATTCAAGTGAATAGATCAATGGGTAAAGTGAAGAGGAAAGGTGGATAATAATAATAACTCCTGGACAGGGGAGTGAAGAGGAATGAGGAAAAAAAAGAAAGGCAAAAGAGTCTCAGAGGTTGGAGTAGGTCACAGTCAAGGTATTTCAAACTACTCAGTGGTGCAGGGTAAAAAAACAAAATGAAACCAAAAAAAATGCAAAACTCTATTCAGAGTATATATCTATAATGTCTATGGATATTCATGTCATTTATGCATATAAAATATTACAGTTAGTTGTTCAATGTAAATATTTTGTGTACCATAGCAACATGAGTATTGGGTATGACAACACGTATATTGCCTCTGGATGTTGTTGTGCTTAAACTGTTATTGGACTGTCCACTTGGTAAAGGTGATGTTGGTGAGGTTAAGTTTGCAGCAGATCCACTGCCACTTCCATTGCCAGTCACCCCACTGCCTCCACCTTTGGCCGTTAATTGGTGGTTGTGGTGGTGATGGTTATGATGGTTGTTGGTGTGATTGTTGTTGTTATGATGATGGTGAAGGGTAACATTGGTGGGTATAACTGATGTGCTATTGGCTGGTGTCAGGTTTGGTGAAACGTTTCCTTTAATACAAACAATTGAATTGGGTGAACTTGATTCACCTGATAGTGAAGAGGGTGAACAGGGCTGATGGTGAAAACCATTTGATGAGCCACTGGTCATGTCTAACATTGCACCTAAAAAAGAGGTTTTGTATTCAATCGATGGAACCAGTAAAATGATAATAGATTTAACCAGAAATAATAATCATATAACCAGAAATAGAAAGTATCAAAATAGAGAGAGAAAAAGAAAGAGAGAGAGAAAAAAATTTAATCAGATTGTGATTCAATGAAGTATTCATACAATATGATTATTATCATAAAGATGAAAAGTTATGTGAAAATGTCATCAAATCGTCATAAATATCGTCATCATTGATCGATTGAAAATGGTATTTAAAATGGTTTTTAAAGAGATGACAAAATATTGTCTTACAAAAGCAAAAATAGAAAATGAAATAAAGAGTAAATTCATTTGTATTATTCCATCATGAAATGTTCAAGATTGAGATGAAGATATACAAGGTTTCAAGTGATTTTTGGGTAAGAGTGAAACATAAAGAGGATAAAAGAAAGAGAAAGATCATCTTTTTTTTGTATGTTCAGGTAAAAAACAGAACCATGGTTCACCTACTTTTCAAGAGGATGATGAAGATCATCAGGTTACTCAGAAAATGTTGAATGGTGAAAAAAGAACCCAAAAAAGACTGAGAAGAAAAAAGAAAGATGAAGAGTTGAAAAAAAAGGATTGAGAGTGAAATAGAAAGAGATGAAGAGAGAGAGAGAGAAAAAAGATTTACAGCAAAAAAAAAGGATTGCTTGGATAAGCTTGCCAATCAACTTTCTATCACTACTTTCATCAACATCATTTTGAGCATTTACTTTGAGCTTCACTTTGAGCTTCACTTTGAGCTTTGAGCATCCTTTTCTCTTTCGTTAACATCGTGATGATGATCATGAAAAATGATCATTCTTTTGTATGTAAAGATGAAAGAAAGGTAAGAAAGAAAGAGATGATAAATTAACCCCACCGTGATTCCCTAACCCACACTGAGTTTGTTACCCTAAATTTGTATTGAGATGAAACAATCAACAACAAAAGCAACAAAATCCAATTGGCTTTAACTGTGTCAACCTCAACTTGAAACAATTTGCTTGATTGTTGTTGACCGTTGACTTTTTTTTCACCACTACTGATGCTGATTGAAACATCAATGTTAAGATAAGTTCATCATCGTTCATGATGATGACAAAAAAAAGGTAGAAGAGAAACAGAATCAGTAAATTGTTGTTTAGCTGGTTAGACAGTAATTTAGGCTAAATTTTTCATATCCATTATTATTAACATCATCATTATCATCATCATCAACAACAACAACAAGATGAAACAAAGATTGTCAGGCAACACAATAAATAGTAATGACAATAAATAACGGAAACATTATTCAAATTGATTGCTAATTTGTTCAATGATATACAATTTTTGCTGTTAAATTATCATAAGTCGATTTAAATTGTGGCGATGTTTTTACAGTAATGATGAATAGTCTATGGTTTTGGTAGCAACAACAATTATTGTTAAATGTTAATGAATTAAATCCAGGTAAAACTGAAACAAAAAGCTCAATGATAATGTATTTTCAATTGATTTATGTTTATATCGGTTTGCCTTTTTTTTTTATTTTCAAAGTACACTTTTTTATTTTGCATCAAGCTTAAGAAAATGATTTACTAATTACTAAACTAACTACACATTTAACATCGTAACAATTGCAATAACAATTGCTACTAATGACAATAAAGGTAATTTTTACGGAAATACCTTTTGACAAACTTTTTCCTCAATTTGTTGATTGTTGTTGAAGCTTTTGGCTGATTGTTAACAAACAAAAAGTGACTTAGTTTTAATGAAACAATTTTTACTTTACTTTACAAACCCAATATCAAGTTGAAGGAGGAAGAGGAAGGCAGAGAGTAAGGTAAGCAAAGTTAAGTAAAGGTATGTAAAGGTATGTAAGAATATAAAAAAACGAGTAAATCAACATTAAGAATCTTTTTTCTTCTTTTCTCTCTTCATTCCCTGAAAGGAAATGTCTTCATGAAAATTACAATAATAAGAAATGAAGAAAAACAAAGAAGAAGAAGAAAAAAAATGATGACAAAAATGAACCTTGGATTGAAGTTAAATCAACAACAATCAATGGTCAGTTATCATTATTTACTTGTTTACTATCATCATTATTTGGTTGACCAAGAAAAGGAAGATAAAGATGAATAAGATGAAGAGAATCACAAAAAGGCTGATTGAAGAAGATAATTGGATGAAGATGGGATGGTGAGAAGATGATGGGATGAAACGAGGGTCGAGGAACCCGTTATGATGATAAAGATTGGCGAAAGGGAAAAATTGCTTTCAAAAGCTGATAGACTTGAAGATGGTAAAGCGAGGGTCGGCGAACCCGTTAAATGATTAGGATTGGCGAAAGGGAAAAAAGTTGGTTAAAGAAAGGGAACAAGAAGATGATAGACTGACAGAAGATGATCATCATCATGATGATGATGTATTCTGTTGTTTGGCAAAAAGAGAACAAGAGAAGTGGGTGAAGAAGAAAAGATGATGATGATGATAAAGGAAGGTAATGAATGGAGTATAAGTTGACCACCCTGAAAAAAAAGAAATTTTTTGAGGTCAGAAATTGAGATCAAACCGGAATTACTATCAAGTTTGCACAGCCTCTTTAAGACCAACTTCACCATCATCTTGTTAATCATCATTATCATCCTCATCAGATACATGAAACATTCTGTGATCTTCTCATCATCTCTTCTTTTATTACATTTTTGCCTTTTCTGTTTTCTTTTTTTCCTTCAAAACGAGCTTTTGAGCTTATTTTTTTCATTCCACTCTTCCAGCGTTCTTCCTGTTAGAACCTTCGAGTTCTCGTTTCGCCACGATAATAATAATAGAGTTATAATTATTATCATTATTAACAACAATACAATTATCATTGTATTACAATTGCTATTCAAAGTTAAATAAAATGTAAATTTTCGTTTGCACTCTAATATGCGAATGACCTTAAATTGAGTTTCAATTTTTGTCATTTTTTTCTGTGTAAAACTGAACTTTCATCATTTTTTATCAATCGGTTCAATTTGATTTTCCCCAAAAAGATGTGATAATTCATGATTAATTTGCTAATCAAGTTAATCTTTGATCAGTAAATTCATCATTTTGGCAAAAACATTCACTTAACAGTTGAATTAGAAAGCAAATGAATAAAATTAAATCTGTAAAAGGATATTTTAATCGATGTTTAATTTTGTGCTTTCAACTCATTTTTTTGTTGTTTCTTTAAAAACATTCAACCCTTGAATTTGGACAATTTGTTTTGACCAAATTTTTAGGTTAAAATTGTTTCATTTGTAATTCATTGACTTTGGATATCGATTTAAAGAGGTCAAAAAGATGCTTTTTGCACACATTTTAAGCTTGTTTAAACATTACTTGGACTCTTGTTGTGTATCTTCAAGGTTGGTAAAGATGAAAAGGAAGATGAAAATAGAGACAAAAATGAAAATGAAGACAGAATAAGAGGAAAAAAAGAAAGAAAAAGATGATTATTGTAAGGTAAAACAAGATTGAATAACAGTGAAAAAGTAACGGCAGTTTAAATCGGATTTCAATTTATCCCGGATATGCTAATTGATATTGAGTGATAGTAAAAGAGAGAGAAGATGATGAAGATGATTTGAAGAAGAGAAGAGAAGAGAAAGAAATAGAGAAGAAGAAACTGAAATAATTGTGAGAAAAAGATGTTTAACTTTTTTGGCTAAAGAACGACTTATTCTTGAAAAACGTACTCGAATCATGTTCAGTACTTACGAAGGAGGAAGTTATTAGTTGATTGTTGTAATATAAGTTAATTCTTGAAAAGCGTCGTAACTATCAAAAAATTGGCATTTTAATTTGCTTACTTTAATCACTATTAAAGCCAATTGTGAAGACAAAATGGATTGACCAAGTTAATGTGATTCCTCTTTGATAATCAGTTAATAACTTTACATTGACTAATGTGAAAACAGAAGCACCTCAGGTTTATCAATATCTAAACCATGAAAGTGAGATAAAATGTTCATGTTGATGAACCAATGAAATCATATTTATTTTCAAGTTTTGGGTTAATCTACTTTTCTGTCCAAAATGATTGAATGATGAATAATATTTGGCTTTTGTTGGCTTTTTTCAATGGTAAATTGTATTGTGAACCAGGAATATACTAAAAATGGTTTCCGGTGATCTTTTAATAGATGATTTGTTTTTGTTTTCCTACAATGCTCATTGACTAGACTGGTTCACATTGAGAAAATTCATGGGAAGATTAGGAATGAGAATTAAAGAGATGAGTAAGATGAGGAGGAGGAGGAGGAGGAGGAGGAGGAATTGAGCTTTGAAAATGATGTCAACAAAACCTCATAAGGTTCGAGACAATGTCTTTTCACAGATTTACAGAGATTTAAATTGACTAAAAAAATGTAGCAAACTACTTCCGAGTAAAATGAAATGAATATCATTGCAAGTAATTGCCATGGGAAAGATGATTCAAGATGAACACAGTGAAAGGAAAAGGTAAATGTGTTGAAAAGTTAGTCATTGATTCAGTTTGTTATCTTAGTGTTAATGAGCAATACATGTAATAATGACGATTCATGACGATTTGATTTACACTTATGTTTAAAATTAAATGATTAAATAAATTGTTTACCTGAGGAACTTGGCCGAGGACTGATTGAAGCTGGTTGAGGTGATAACTGAGCTGGTTGAAGTAGACTAGAATCCTGATTTGGATATGGCGATGAATTTAAAGCTACTGTAACTGGCACTGGTGATAATCGAGATGATGAAGGCTGGGACTGAATTGATTCATCAAATTATGTAGTAAGTCCAATGGATAAATTATAATAGGTGATGATGATTATGATGATGGTTAATTGTTGCATTGTTCATTCAAATGTTAGAGCATTTTGCATTTGATTTTGTTTCAAAGGGATTTTGGTTTTGGTTTTGTTTTTTTTTGGTTTTTTTTGGGTTTTCATTTGTGTGCGTTCATAAATTAACCAATGCAATGTAGAGACAAGAGAAAGGTAAAGTTGGAAGGATTAGGTTAAGGAGAGATTTTTGGTTAATGATGAAAAGGTGAAAGCAAAAATGAAAAGTTGAAAGGTTAAGGTAAATAATGTAAAAACACAGGTACAAAAGGTTTATGTGTTTATGATAGCGCATTAGGAATGGTGATAATCATACAATTATCATAGACAAAATTAGTTGGAAAGAGGCAGTTGAAGGTTTGTGGGTGGTAAAGTGCAATATAACCAAACAATTTGTTCAAATTATAATAATAATAACGATAATAATAGACATTCAGGTGAGTCGAGTCGTTTTTTTTTATAAAAATAGCAAAAATGAGAAAGTGAATGAATAAAATAAAAGGATAAACCAGAAGGAAAAAGTTACAAGGTTTGGGTTGAGTTCAAGGTTGGTGATGATGAGGAAGATGATGATGATGAGAGAGGAAAAGGAAGAGAGAAAGGTAAGAAATAGAGAAAGAAAGAGAGAGAGAAGAAAGAGAAATGATGAGAACCAGAGAAAAGCCATTCAAAGAGAAATGAAATTGATAACAAATTTGGGTTTTTGTTTCAATACAATTTACTCATTTCAATTTAATTTTAAATTGTTGATTGTTTTGCACATTGACTTGAAAAAATTGTCACTTATATGATGATATATTTGATTAAAATGTACACTAATTTACAAAAGGATAGTTAACTCATAATTTTGTCAATTTTACTGGCAAAAAAGCAAAATTAAATCATTTCTTATTTTCATCTATTTAATGGGACAATTTATGTATGAAAATGGATTAATGACGAGCAGCAAATTTGGTTAAATAAATTGGTTTAATTGTAATACTTTAGCCTCTTGTTAAATCATCAAAGAACAAATGATTTAATTGTTTTAAATAATTTACAAAAAATTGACAATATTATAAGTGTGCTATTCTTTATGCAACAGAGTGTAATTGTGTGTGTTATGGTGGATATATGGATATTCAAATTACCCTGTTTCCATTGATATGGGCTGGATTCCTCTGAAGCATCATTTCGTATTGCTCACTGATTTTGTTGTAATTTTGCTCGCTCCTTTGGTTCATGGTGTAACTGGCCTCATCAGGCTCAGGACTGTCGCAACCATTGGCCGAATTTTTATGCTCTTTCTTGTTCAAAGTCTGGAAAAACAAGTAAAAGTTTAGTCATGAGTTGTGATGAGTTAGCAGAGTTGGTGAAAAAGGATTGTGATACTTACCTCTACAATATCGCTGTTGGTCCGGCTTTCATGGGGCTCATTGTACTCGGTATATTTAAGGAGCACTTTGTCCATATCGGTGCTGGCATATTGAAATAATTTATTTGTGCTATTAAAAATGATGAGAGCGATCTCACAGTCACACAATACACTAAGCTCATAAGCTTTTTTCATCAAACCAAACTTCCTTTTGGTAAATGTGACCTGAAAAGGTATATTTTGTACATCACAAAACAAAGATACGATGTATTAAAAGTAAGGCTAAAAAAATGGTTGTACAAAGGTCAGTGTTGAAACTGGACAAGGCAAACAAACAAAAAACTTGAAACACTGTTGGAAGGTAACTGTTGATGGATTGATATTTGGAGGGTAACACCAGAGGTTAAAGGAAACATGGAATCAATGTTTAAACTCTTGACCAAAGGTTATATCCAAATGTATTCCAGTTACTGTTGTGTAATTGTTGTACCTTGTCGAGTTGAAGACACAATTTGAATTGGACAAGGGCTGATCGGGTGACAGTAAAAAACTAAACTTACCTGACGATTACGTTCATCTGTAATCCTTGAAATTTGAATTTTTTTGCGTCCCATTATATAATATTATTGTTGGTTATTTATTACTGTTAATGTTCCAGTTAGTTTAATGTTGTTGTTGTTGCTTCTGTTATCAATATATAACTGTATTAATGATGATACTGGTGCCGATGATGATGGTGATGATGAAGATGATGACAGTGAGATGATGTGATGGTTAAATCTCTATAATAAGTAAAAACTGTAAATAAATAAAATGTTGTGTTAATCCAAATACAGTTTAACCAGTCAAGTAACAACTAAGCAAGTGAATAGCAACAGACACAGAACCGATTCAAAGTGAGTTAGAGGAGCTGAAAACAAGTCGATGAGTGAGTCAAGATCAGAGAGGAATCAAGCGAGAGAAAGATAGACAGAGAGAGAAGAAAGAGAGAGGGAGGTTGAAAGATGCAAGTGAGAGAAGATAGAGAGAGAGGCGAATGAAGAGAGGGATGAAAAGGGATGAAGAGCGATTGAGGTAAAACATGCAATAACGTGTATAACGATATGAGCGTCTCTCTGTAGGAAATTGTATCTTCACTTCAATCTTGAACCCAATATTGTCAACCCTTTTTTTTATGGCGGCCTTTTCACCTTTTTTTAGGACAAAACGAAACAAACTTACTCTGGTAATTGGTAAAACTGTTTAGGATTGAAAGGTAATAAGACAAAAAGCTTTTCAATATACCTTAACTTAACTTAAACATTTAGTCTCATCTTCATCAGTTTCATCCTTTTTTTACCAATAATAGTTAATAGCTTTAAAATAACTAATAGGCCGAATAAATAATGGTCAATGAATGGACTTTTTTAGGGTTCACTCTTGAGTCCGTCTTAGAGTCCGTCCTAACAAGGGATAACAATAAATAAAAGGTAAACAGGACAAAATGGGAAGAAAAAGTTATCGCTAACTTTGGCCATTCCTTCATCGTCATTTCACCATTTCGCCTTTTCTTTCAATCACTTACTCTCTTAGGTTTCTTTCAATGATGATGATGATGATGATGAAGATGAAGATGGCGGTCTGTGTTGAGACCTTTCGAATATTTATCTCTATCTTTCTCTTTCTTGTTCTTCTTGTTCATCATTTTCCTTGCCTATCCTCATCTTTACGAGAGCATCATTTTTGGAAACTATCCAAATTGCATTAGATTTATCTTGCTTTTGCTTTGAAATTGTCATGCTAGCAGATTTTGGGATCCATCCCAAGGATCCATCCACATCCCCATCACCTCTCTTTCATCTCCTTTCTTCATTTTCATCATCATCTTCATCGTCTCCTTTCCTTTCTTTTGTACTAAAACCAAATAACATAACTTTTCCTTTTCTCTTCTTCTTCTTCTCTTCTGGATTAACGATGTTTCCACTTCGAAGTTTTTACTTGAGGTTTAAGGTTCTCACTCTAATCTTCGTCATCGTCAGCTCCATCACTATCACTATCATCAACATCATCTTCATCATCTCTTTCTTTCCCTGCTTCTATTCAATCTTTTAATTTTTCTTCTTCTTCTTTCTCTTAAACGTTTCAAGTTTGCCTTTTCAAGAGTCTAGCGTTAGACAGTTAAGTTAATTACCTAAGGAAGTTAGGTTTAGTAGAGTGTAAGATGAAGACGAAAAGATGAATTTATGAAGATAATGATTTTGACGATGATGTTTGTTAATGAAGAGAGACTCACGCTTAATATTTATGCCCAATGAGATTGAGAGTAACCAAAAACAAGAGAAGAGAGAAAAGGAACCGGAAAGTGTAAAGCACGTTATTTGGTTTTTATTTGACACGCAATTTCTTCCTCTTCTTAGTCTCATCTTAGGTCTACTCTGCCCTCTCCTCTGCCCTCTCATCATCTCTAATCATAATCTTCATCATCACCTTACATTGTATTTTACCAATACCAATGCCTAACGTAATAAAGTTACGCCATTTCCGTTTCTAGTTTTCTGTATCCATGTAAATGATAGTTAGTATCTAATTTGAACACAATTCAGGTTCAGTGATGATCAAAATTAAGACAGTTAACATTGTTTTTCCGCTCATCCAAATCTTTTTCATTCTCATTCTTTTATCATCCTCTCTCTCTCTCTCAGACTGCTGGCCAATCGTTTATGGGAACCAAATCTATCTTCAATTATTGATGTATTATTATTATGATTTGGTCTCCCGTTGATGAGACGTTAAAAGGAGCGCAAAAAAATGTAAGATTATGATTGCAATGGTGATGAAGATGATGAAGATACAGATGAAGATCCAGGTGAGAGTATGAGTGAGTATAACGTAAGTGTGTCAAAAGTTTCTCTCGCAAAATTTAATATCCAAAAATGAAGTGACCTACCCTTTTATCATCATTTATTAGAGTAACCTCAGAATAAGTTTTCTTCTTCTCTCTCTCTCTCTTTCCTTTTCTAGCTTCTCCACTTTTCCCTTGACCATTGAGATGTCCATTGATTTTGTTTACTGGATTAAGCTTTTAGTTTCTATTCAAATAACAATCCATTTTACTATTTTTTATCCTTATTTTTCATCCATTTTCAATATATGGATTGTTGTTGTTGTTGTTTTTTTTTCTTCCTCCTTTCCTTCTCAATGTAGACGAAAGAGGTAGAGAGGTTACACAGAGAGGGTGGGATAGGTTGAGGGAGGGAGGGAAGGTCAGAAGAAAGAGAAATAAGATGAGTGAAGAAAAGGAGGAACATTGAAAGAAGGAGAGAGAGAAATGGGAGTTGGTGACCCTTTAACAAGATATTTGGAGCTGACCATAAGATAGGTGCTGAGAAAGGCTGAGAAAAGGAAAGAAAGTGGATTGAAAAATATGGATATAAGAGGTCAACAAATATAACAATAAGCAATAGACATTTTGATAAAAGAAAATCTTTTTTACTCTTTTTCGATGAACTTACACTCTCCATCTCTCTATCTTCATCTCTCCCTCTCTCTCTCATTCACTCTCTACAACATCTGTCTTCTTCCCTCTTCCTGTTTTTGCCTATCTTCAACAATTTTAAACTTTTTTTTTCAGTAAACATGTTGCTTGTTGTTATGTATGAAGAGGTGAAAAGACGATGGTGATCAAGACGATCATCTAGATGATGATGTTGGATGAAGGGGATGAAGAGAGAGGTGGATGGGGATGTGGATGGATCCCAAAATCTGCTAGCATGACAATTTCAAAGCAAAAGCAAGATAAATCTAATGCAATTTGGATAGTTTCCAAAAATGATGCTCTCGTAAAGATGAGGATAGGCAAGGAAAATGATGAACAAGAAGAAGAAGAAAGAGAAAGATAGAGATAAATATTCGAAAGGTCTCAACACAGACCGCCATCTTCATCTTCATCATCATCATCATCATCATCATTGAAAGAAACCTAAGAGAGTAAGTGATTGAAAGAAAAGGCGAAATGGTGAAATGACGATGAAGGAATGGCCAAAGTTAGCGATAACTTTTTCTTCCCATTTTGTCCTGTTTACCTTTTATTTATTGTTATCCCTTGTTAGGACGGACTCTAAGACGGACTCAAGAGTGAACCCTAAAAAAGTCCATTCATTGACCATTATTTATTCGGCCTATTAGTTATTTTAAAGCTATTAACTATTATTGGTAAAAAAAGGATGAAACTGATGAAGATGAGACTAAATGTTTGAAGTTAAGTTAAGGTATATTGGGAAAAGCTTTTTGTCTTATTACCTTTCAATCTTAAACAGTTTTACCAATTACCAGAGTAACTTTTTTGTGTTGTCCAGTAAAAAAGGTGAAAAGGCTGCCATAAAAAAAAGGGTTGACAAAGTTGGTCATTTTTGCAGACAGCTGATAACTTATTATCAAAGCTTTTTGCTGTTGGATTGCTTTAGTTAACAAAAAGGTTTATGATCAACGAAATCTTGTTGCCATTTTACAATGCAACTAAACAATTTGAATAATGAATATAATGAACAAAATAGAGACCAGAATTAATCATGTTTCCATGAATTTCTGGTAATCATTGGTTTAAACTTGTAATGTTCCAAGATTGTCATTTGATAGGAATCTTAATAATCTCATGGTTAACATTTTTTGGACTCTATTTTGCTTACAATTATTTAATTCAATTTTTGTTCATGTCAATATTTAGTAATTGATTTTTAGTTTGTTTGCTATTCTCATGGAATCTGATTCAACTCATGGATTAATGCTGATTAATACATTTCTCACAACAAGGATGGTGAGATGTTTTGATAAACATGAGGATGATGATCGTCGTCAGCATCATGATTATCAAATGGTTGAAATAAATAAAAATGGTGAGAGTTGTTTTCTGGTTGTGATACTTTTATTATTAATACACTTGACTCTATGTTACCTCTCATTGGTTTATACAGGGTTGGCCATATATTTCTGAACGTCTTAATTTTTAAATATCTTAAAAACTAATCAACTTAGAGACTCGGTTTTTGTACTATTTTTTTAAACTGATTATGGGGATTAATTTAAGTATACTTTAGTAGCAAAAATCAGAGAAATAATGCATTTAATTTTCAACAAAAGAATAAGTCGTTTCAAAATGGTTATTCCTAGGGAGATGTTCCGATTCATCATTGAAAATTTCTTCAAGTGTAATGAAAATCAGTATAAAGTTTATAACTTGTGTAAAAGTAAATATCGCCGTCATTGTCCATCAAGAACAACAATTCATAATGTAATAAAAAAATGGAGAAAAGATTCCGTTTCGAAGAGGAAAAGAAAGAGTACGAAACTCAGTGATGAAAAGTTAAAGGAAATCGAAGCTAGCGTTTCATTGGAACCTGAGATATCCGATAAACAACGAGCTGCTCAATTGGAATTGTCAAGAACAACATTACGAAGAGGATTCAAATTTCTCGGGATAAAATCTTACAAGCATCGAAGATTGCAATTGTTACATAAGGATGACCCTGCAAAACGTAAAGCCTTTTGTGATTGGTACCTAAATTTCATCAAAAGTTCACCAAAAGTTATCTTCTCAGATGAATGTTATATTGAATTATCAGGACCAAGGAATCATCAAAATCAACGAATAAGATCAAAAACTTTGCCAAAAAAATTTCAAACTAAGCCTACCTATTCATCAAAGTTGGGAATCTGGGCTGGACTAGGTCATGATCGACTGTACGGTCCGATTTTTTTTCAAAATGTTAGAATTAAATCAGAAATTTACATTGAAATGATTAAGGAATTCATCAATCAAATTCCAAATCATTTGAAACGAACTGTTTGGTTCCAACAAGATGGTGCTAAAGCTCACACATCGAAGAAAACAATGGCTTTCTTGAAGACAAAATTCAATTCAAGATTAATTTCTCAAAATTCTGAGCATTCATGGCCTCCAAGATCACCCGATCTTAATCCTCTCGACTTTTACTTATGGGGTAATCTAAAACAACATCTCCTCAACAAAAAATTCAGTACAACTGATGAACTCAAACAAATTATTCAAAACTTTTTCCTTAGTATTGAAAAAACTGAGCTGAGTAGAGTCATGGCTAATCTTAGAAAAAGGGCTGAAATTTGTTCGAATCTTAATGGTGAACATTTTGAACATACATTAAATTAATCCCCCAAATTTGCTCTTCAATCTGATACCAAATTCATCTGAAAATGTCTTTTCATCAAGTAATAATTTCTAATTAAACATGTTCAGAAATATATGGCCAACCCTGTATCTTAACTAAAACTGCAGATAAAAAATGGATAGTTACCTGACAAGGTGCAAGTGATTTCACTTGAAGAAACAATCAAAGGTAACGTTAATTGTAAACAAAATAACACACATTAACGTTCAATTTTGGCAAGCCAAATTGGAAAGCAATTCATAAATCAACCCGAAAATTATACATTTTGTTACTAGACTGGTGAGAGAGTGAATGGGAGTGAAAGTGGGTGAGAAGGTCATCAAATTGAAAATGAAATGAAAGGAGTAAAAAATTATCAATTAAGGAAAGAAGTTGAATTAAAAAAGCTGATTGATAACAAGGACATGAATGCTGTTGAAATAATTCAATGTATGATTGCGATGAGGTGCATAACTATCACAACATCATCGTCATCATCATCTTATCTTTCAATCAACTCTCTTTTTCCTCTGTCTATTTGTCTTCTTCTCTCTCTCTTTACCTATGTCTCTGTCTTTTTTTTCATCTCACTTTTATTCTCACTCATTCTCTTTCATGTTACCTTTAAACAAGGTAAATGCTGTGATATTTGAATGGCCTCGAATACTCATTTTTTTCTTGCAAAAAGAGACAGAGAAAAACAAATTGATAGACAGGTAAACAGACAGAGGAAGAGGGGAAAGAAGAAAAGATTGTGAAGAGAGAAAAGAAAGAAAATGAGACAAATTGAGAAAGACAGTTAGGATAATCTCTCTGTGTTACTGAGTAAGAGGTCTTTTCGGTTGAACCTCAAGGAAAAGGCTTAAAAGATTGGCTTTTCGTTATGTAGGGTAAGTTAACAATAATAGCTAAACAATATTGACGGAGGTTAGTGAGCTTGAGAGATAAATTAATCTGATGGTGATCATGAAAATAGTGGTAACTTAAAAGGGTTAGAAGAGAGAGTGAGAGAGAGAAGAATCAGGTTTTGATAGCAAAAATGAGCACAAAAAAAACTGGTTGCTTACCTCAAAGTACAACCAATGGGTTAACCTTTGATAATTACAGAGATGATGAAAACTGGTCCTGTAGTTAATTGGTTTGTTTGGTTGTTGATGGTTGATATTTATAAACAAATTAAATTTGTAAATTGTTAACAAACAATAAAGGTCACAAGTTGAAGATTCACACTAGTCAATAGTCAATAGTCAATTGAGGTAAAATATTAAATATTATTTTTTTTCCTAGACTCTCATTTAATGTATAAAATGAAAATGATGTAACCAGTGTTTAGGCTCCAATCACTGAATTGATTTGAAAATTTGATGTAAACACAGATTTTATACACATTTATAGATTATTTGAAAAGATGAACAATAGATTATAATAGATGATGATATCATAATTTTTCGAGAGAACGATTATAACGTCGATTATAACAATTTTAACGCATTTGGTGAAATAAACATAAAATAGAGAGGTCTTACGATTGATGAAATGTACACAGATATATGTGTGTGTGTATTTATATATATCTATGTAAGTATATTATATATACTAACGAATTGAAAAACAGTTAACGGTTTAATAAATATATTAACTCTACAAGGCTTATAACTGTTTAATGAAAACAATTATACTTTTAACAATGCGTCTTGTTCAATATATTATGATAATATTTCACAGCTAATATGGATTAAGAAGGAGAACAAAAACGAAACAAATTGATAATGAAAAATGACACAAAAATATATTGTAATGTAAACAGAAAAAGACTAAGATTTCTCTGAGTTTTAACCTAATTTTGTAGATTTCATTTGTAGAGGGTATTACTGTCGGTTAGACGCTACCTAAAAATGCGCAGTGTGTACAATTCAGGAATCATGAGCAATACAAGGTTTGATAAAAAGAGGGGTAAACATGAAATGAAAGAGGGGATTGTTTACAGTGTTGTTAGGGATCATTGTCATGAATCTAAGATATGGTGACATCAATCAGCAATTTAAGACTGATTTTCACATGTTTCAAGAGTAGTTTTCAGTGATTTTCATATTTTTACCAATACGAGTAAGTTGTACTCTTTTGTCATTTGAATGGACAGTGACAAAGAAGATGTACGTTGGTTGGACTGTTGATGTGACAGATTCGTCTTTTGTCTCCTATTAGGTAATTGTATACTCCGAGAATGGTCCAGGTCGTCGTCCCGAGCTTGTCATGTCCGGTCCTGGTTTCATCGAGAAAAATGGAGCAGTTATTGGTTTGATGAGTGTCTACTTGAGAGGAGGAGATTAAACAATGTTTCCTTCGTTTGAGTTGTACCATAGATCATATTTTGGGTAAAGTCTGGATTAGGAAATAATTCTGGTTTGTTGCGAAGTATCCATTGTAATATGGCTTTTTGGTTGTGGAGGTTTTAGCAAGAATTGTTAAGCCAATTCTTAGAATCTTGATATAGGTGGGAATATTGTTGGTAACGGTGTTTGGCGGCAATCCTCTATCAAAGGGTTTAAGTTGAATGTACAAGAAACCCAAAAAACCAGGATTGGAGCGCCCTCTTGTGTTGAGAAATCTTACCATTCCTTTGCACTTGTTTCAAGTATTTTTAACCGGTTGATTCATCGGCAATAAGTAACTATCGGTTCATGAATTACTATTTTCATGAATAAATCGCATCTGGATATTCAATAACCGCAAAGTTTTACTTAGTGTTTCAATAAATCTAAATGTTTGATATTCTTCTCTTGAAATTTATCAGTTACAATATTTTGTTTCTAGATACTTGACCAGTCGAATTCAAAGCGACTAGATAATTGGCATTATTCCGTTATTTTCGGGAAAATGGTCATGGTTACTTATTCTGCAGTTTCCAGTAATTGTTTACTTGCTGAGTTCTGAATTTTAACCGCTGAGATTTGAAAGCTACAAATTTTCACAACATTATTTTTAACTTTTGATCGAGACAAGTTCAAGACGAGTCGAGCAGTCAATGAAAGATTTCTAACTCTCTTGAATGTTTTTTTTCAACAATCAATAATTTTAAACATGTAATTATGTTGTCTTGGCGGCAATCACAAATCAACCGGTTACTTTTGTTGATTCAAATAAAGTTGCTTTTTTCACGATAGATGACGGGAAGAAGATCAGAAAGTTTCCATTTCTATTCTCACTTTAATTCAATACAAATTGCAGTCTTCAATAACTTCAAGAAGCATTTATTGAAACAAGAAAAACCAGAATATGTGAGAATATCAAATGATATTTAATATCAGGAGTGTGCAAGAGTATTTTAGAGCATTTTGTACAATCAATAAACAACGGGCAAAGCAAAGAGTCCGATAGAATCGCAAATTACATTTTGTGGGAGTTTTAATGCAGCAGATTGACATCTCTTATGTTGGCAAATAATAGTTAAGAGACTTACGGCTCAAGCTTGCTTTTAAAACTGCCGTTTAATCGCTGAATTGATCAACCTGTAGATAATTTGACGATGTTGAACCTGAAGACTTTCCATGAAGATGAAAAGAAAACTGAATAATCTTCCAATCTGATCAATAAATATTAACCATTTTAGTGCCAGTTTTTCATTCAGACTGAGTGTTTGTACAACGAAGTGCATTTATCAACAATTTGCTCTTTTAGATGTAAATTGACTGCAAATTTAATCGTAACTATTTTCAGTTCCAGTGAACATTTCTGAGCAACATTTATGAAAAATTATTTCATTCCCTTGTATAAACTGAAATTTATTATGAAATTAATATATAATTTCAGCAGTGTAACTATTATATTATATTCACTTGCTTAACACTTGCTATTTTTATTTTATTTTACACAATTTTATTAGAGATTTAGCTATCACATCATCACTTTCATTAGCTTCCACATCATTGGCACTAGTAAAACCATTAATAGTACAGTTACAATGGTAATGATTCAATAGAAACTGGCATAAATTGTTATCCCGATCCTGTTTTAAAAATAAATTCAATTTTTGGCACTTTTTGGTTAGATAGTCTTCCAATCTTCAGTATCGTCTGGTATGGTCTATTGTTTCAAATCCAATCCTTATTTAATTAAATGAATATATGAAACTATATGAATAGGTATTTAATTAATTGAATAGGCTTCAGAATGTCGAGATTAAATTTCAATTTCATAATTTTGTTTCTATCAGATTACCTCGTAACTCAATTACATTAACACAAGAACTTGTATTTGTATTATTATTTATAGCTTTTATTCAATTGTCAAGAGCATTTAAATTCCGTCTTTGAAAGATAATAGTTTAAAGATATTTCTGGTTCCGTCTTCACGAGCTAGGAACAGCTTTCTTTTTAATTGGGAATTGGATTCAAAAATAGGTAAAATTTCAATTCGATATCATCAAGGATTATACTTTTCGAATGTTGAACAATTCAATTTTATCCTTTTTTACATGAAAATGTTAGTCTGAAGATGTATTAGAGGTAATAAACGGCAGATGAAGCTAAAGGATGAGTAGCATATAAAAGTTAGACTCAATTTAGTATAGCAATTATCGTCAATAATGTCACAATTAATAATATGATTAACCATTGATACTGATAATTAACTGATGATATTTATATTTGAGATGTTCAGGTGAGACAAATAATGCCAATTCGGTAGGAAAAACAATTGAAACAATGAGATAAATCTGTCAGCATCGCATCAAAATCAATGTCAAATCATAAAAGTACAAGCAAGTTCACGATGACTTAAACTACAAAATGATATAAAAGGCGATAAAAATCCAGAGTAAATTATCATAAAATTGTTCCCAGTCTAGTTACAGTTGAATCCAACGTGAAATCAATCTCCATCAAAATGATGCGTTTACTTGTTGTTGCTTCACTCCTCATCCTTCCATCTTTCATCGTCTCCGGTAAGCTATGAACTCCAATTTCTAACATTGAACAATATTTTCACATTTCGATTTCATTTATCATTCATTTCAGGCGATGAAATCGCTAACAGTGGTGCTGTTACTGAAGCAATCCCATTGCTCCTCTGGGCTGCTGCTGACCCTAAAGAGGACTGTCAAGCAGCTAAGATTGACGCAGCTAAGTTTTATCAGTTTACTGAGAAGTATCGAGATGAGTTTCTTAAGTACTACAACTCACTCAACATCATTGGTGCTACCAAGTTTTTAAAGGATCATGCTGATGAATCAGGTACTAAAGGAGTCCATTGGGTTCTTGTTTTCGGTAAGATTCTTGAGAAGAAAGTAACTGGACAGAGTGAGGAAAAGGAACACGGACTTCCATCTCTCGTTGCTTGGGCTGTGAGAAACACTGGACCTGGAACTAAATTGACTTCAGTTAAACGAGAAACTTTAGTCTCTTTCCTTTTGGCTCACAAAACTGATATCTTGAAGTACCAACATGCCGGTGATGTTGATGGTTTAGTCAAGTTCCTTGAATCAACCAAAGCTGAATCAACCTCTACTGATGTCGACTGGAAGACTGTCATCAATGAGCTTAAGGATAACCGACAATTGTTCAAGTCTAAATGTGGTCTTTTCAACCTTCGATTATGTAACAACATCAAAAAATGATCTAATTCAACAATTGTATGAATTTCTAGTCTTAAAAAGTGATATTCAATAAATATACTCTTTAAAATCAAATTTCTTTTCTGGTTCCAACTACAATTTTTATTATTGTCAGGTATCAAATGTTTATGTAAGACCATTATAAAATCAGTTTCATTAACCGATTAAGAAGCACTCATGGTTTCAAAAGAGATCTTCAAATACTGAGATCGAAGATTTAGGAACTCGAAGAGTTCAAATCTAAGCAAACCTAATTTCAATTGGATCAATTTTCATAAACTTTATTTGATTTCTGTCTGTAAAACAGTAATAACGAAATTAATTTGAGCTTTGGTTGATCTTGCACAAAAATGAAAGTCATGAAAGCTAGTCATTAGTTTAGCAAACAACGAATGAAACATTGTATTATTAACTTGAACATCTTCTTCACTAAAATTATGAAGTAAAATGACAAATTTAAAGTCATTATTGAATCTATTTCGTATGAAGAGTATGGACTTTTAGAAAGTCTCTTCAAAAAATTGAAACAATCGAGCTGCACTGCACAAACTGACTCATAAGTATTTTCAAGTTTTTCGACAAGAACTATGGACAAAGACATGCTTTTAGAGCCGAGAGTATGGACTTTTTGGGTTTGTAATAGCATAAAAACTGGAATTTCAAATATTGAGCGCTTATACATTGAACTCTGAATATTTAACATGTTTATCATGACTTATTTTGGGTCAAAACATAAGTAAAGCACAAAAACAATGAAGAAAAAGGTTTTTACTCTTTTTAAAAGACACAATTAACACATTTGTAATGTTTATGCATCAAACTTGTACACAAATGGGCTAAAAGCGGGTAAAAATTGGCTTCTTTCAAGTTTGCACTTTGGCAAGTTGTAGTGGCATGAAAACTGGATCTTTTATTGCGACAATAAGGTTTCTCTTATCGATGGT